CAGGGGGTGGGGTGTACCTACCTCATTTGTACATGGACATGTAATGTCAACCATGTTCAACCTGAATTCACTTGGGGAGCCAACAGAGTCAAATATCGATGTCTGTCTAGAAAGCTGACCTCTGGAACATCATCAGAATTGTGTGGTGAAAGATGAACAAGAAATGATATTCAACTTGTTGGGATATGACTGTTACGCCCGTCACTTTGAAGATCTTAGTTTTGTTAGATTTCACAGGTTAAGGGTTTTTATTCATGTACATGTTGTAGATTTCCTTGTACATGTACAAACATAACATTGCAAATATTCCAGTTTGAGTCTACTTTCTTTTTTTTTTCTATATTTTGAGAGTAATCAAGCAGCAGGATGTAGCATGCTCATTCAAGCAGAGTAAAGTAGAGGAATTCCCTCCAAAATCGTATTTAGCATGTTTTTCGAGCCGTTGTAGCAGGCCTCAACCTGAAGCTTACTATCCCACCTGACAAGTTAACTTATTATTTTTTTCCTAGCCTGCAGGAATTTTCACTTGCCCACTGGACATATTTTAGCAGAACTAACTTTAACTGGCTTTTTTTTTCAACTTCAGTATTTCAACTATTACAATTGAGTCTTCCTGTGAATTTTAAAAGCACAAATGTAGAGGATTCAAAGCTGTTACAGTTAAAAAGAACAGTTAAAAAGAACACTTAGAATCAGTTTCACAAGGTTTGTAAGATTTGAAACTTTTGCACTGGTTCTTTTGTAACCGGTGAGTGTTCAGTGTTGAGTCAACACTCACCTGTTCTTTTAAGAACCACACCTCGCCTCAAAGAGATTTATTCCATGGTGTACCTGCAAACCTATTTCTCATGTCTCTTCACAAGGTTTGTTTTGTTCATCTTTAGAAATGTGACAAATGACAGTTTCAGATACACACGGGTGTTTCTTTTATCGTCTGCCTGGCAAGAAAAAGAAAGCATTTTACCAGCCCGCAGCAGGTTTACCAGAATTTAATGGTGGATCTTGAGACAGCTTTATGTCAACGTAACTTTGTACAAAAAATTGTTGCAGTCGGGTTATTACAGGAAAGTGAGAATTGTAGGTTGGGGAAAGCTGAGTAATGCTTTCCAGGAGAATAATGTAGAGGAAGGCCTGTAAACAAGTTTTTTCATATTTTTTGTTTTCATGTTTAAACGCAAACCCTGAATTTGTTTCCCTGAACTTATCTTACTTTTATGTGTACGTATATTTTGAAATGGTCCAAATAATCAGATATGAAACAGAAAATGAACACTGTTAGTACTCACAACAACGAGCAAAACAAAAATTTTCTGATTTGACTCAAGAAATAGGCGTAGATAGAAAAAATATGTAAAAACATTAAAAGATACAAAGACATCATTCACAATCTTATGGAACAAGAATACTGAAACTGAACAACAAAGCTAAAAAATTGTCTGCACAAAAATGAATTTGAATGTCAGAAAAGGAAAAAGAAACCCGGCAAACAAACCGAACTGAAGCATCTGTGTAAATGGGAGTAAGTCTGTTGACGTCTATGAGCATATTTTTGCTGAATTTGGAAAACCTACATTAGGCACCCAAAGCACTTTGTCACAAGACGGAATAAATTGTGTTCCCCCTCCCCTTGCAAATCTTTCCAGGCAGAAACCACATGTTGGAAGGTCGAAAACCGGTATTATATTACTTTGTAATTTTGGTGTTGGTGCCAATCCTTTGAATAAGCCTTTTGCAAGTTACGCAGATTTGAATAAAATCTGGTACACATTTCTTTAAATTCACGTGAGCATAACAATTAGAATTTTCCATACTAAAGACACTATTGCTATACCTCTTGATTCAGGGCAAGCTGTTGCTTAGTTACATACCGTAAGAGACGCCTTGCCGCTCTGTCTTTAATGGATAAAAGGAGCACAAAGGAAACAGTCCATTTCAGAGATGGCAGTCTGGCAGTTTGAATTTTACAACATAGTCACTTAGAAGTAAAAAATTTAGGTTGGCAATGCAAGCAAGGATTGTTGCCCTAAACACTAAATTCCTCTGAGAAGTTTTGAAATGTATGAGCAACTTTGCAATTATTTTTAGGACATGCATGCGTGCACCAGTGTTTGGTTTGATCATTTGTCTTTAGTTGGCAGAATCTGTGAATGAGTTACTTGTAATTTATGGTATAGTGAAACTGTCTTTCCTCCCTAATCATTGAGCATCTTATTTTCCCTCCATTTTGCCCATGGAATGTGAAATGCACTCCATATCACCTCGGGAGTCTTTACCACTAAAGGCAGGAGAATTAATCATTTGGATTCAAATATACCAGATGTACATGTGCTTAAGTGAGAGGAGTCCATTACGTATAATATGAAATAGGAGGCCTGTAGAGAAACATAATACGCATGACTTTCCTTTACAGTGAGATACAATTACACACTCATAGTATCATAGTAGTTGTCCATTGACTCTTATTTGTTGGAATATGTGGGGTGAGTTGTTGTGAGTGAAAGCGAATCAGCAGATGTGTAATCGCGTGAGCTCGGTGCATGGTTCATGCAGTGTTAGGCTGATCCAGCCCTTTAGATGAACAAACATACCAATTGGACATGGCAGAGTGTGATATGTTTTGGTATTTAGTTTGTAGATGCCTTCAAAGTGTGTCAGATACAATTTACTTATTAATAGTCATATTCAGTTTCAGGAAAAATGACATGTACCGGTACAAGCTTTAATTCCGTACTCTCTAAATAACAGCACTTGATACATGCATTTTTACATGTACATGAGGGTAATTCCAGTAATTAGGGGTCCATTTTTTTCTGTGTCCCTGTCACATCTGACTTATGATTTTGTAAGTTCAGAACACATTTTCTAATTTCCAAGAGTGATGAATTAATGCAAATTACCTGCAAAACAAATAGTAACAGTTACAAATCAATTCCGGTGATATTTCCACGTCAAATAACGAAGGTCAGATGTAATAGGGACATGAAAATGTCACACTTTTGGATCTCTAATTTCTGGAATTACCCATGTGTGATAAAAATAAATAAAAAATGTAACAACCTTTTTCGGGTTGCGCAATCTCACTTACAAAACGACCAACCAACAATGACAACAATGAAGCCCAGTTACCCGGTATTTATTCCGGTTACGTTTCAGGAATCAATGTCATGGTCCAAGTCTTTCTGTTGAAGAGAGCCCTTTCCTTTCAGCATGTACAGTACGTTACAAGCTGTCAACTATTTTTGAACTGGGTGTGGAATCAAAACAAAGCACTAACAACTGAAACAAAAACTATCAAAATGCAGTTTTCACTATTTAAATCCACAAGAAAAGAGGTCATAGCTTCATCATCCAAATAAACCCCCTCCCCCACAACAAATTGAATCGCGGAAACCGCATGAATTTCACAGTCGGGGTTGGGATATGTTTGTTTTGGTTTGACCAGTGTACCAGTACTCAAGCTACCCAAAACTACCCCTGTATTCAGTATTATGGGATCCTTTCCCATGTGCCCCACTCTCCCTACCCACTGTGTGACCATGAAACCCTCCAGTGCAGTGTTTTGATATTCAGGTTTGTCCATGTACTGCTGCCAGTTAGGGCAGGTACATGTAATTGGGGATATGAAGACCAGTCCAAAGTTAAAACACTTCACAACTTCAAGGTTGTGACAAAGTCAGGAAATTGGCTGAAATAATTCAGGTGCATTTCAGAAGTGATACCCCATTTTTTAGTCACATCCATCCAGAGTGTGCCTGCACTTCAGAAAAAAATTTTAGAATGTCTTTTCCATAGACAAACATCTGGACAACTTTGTTGAACAACTGCAGTTGTCTGTTGCAAAGATGAATGCAACGGGACAGTTGAAAGAACCCTAAGCTTACAAACACATGTATCCATGGCTACCTAAGTTATGTTAATTTGTTCATTAGAAAAAACCTTTACATACTTTGTTCATTAGAAAAAAATTGACATACTGGGGTACACTTTTCAATTCTGAATTTATCATTTCTCAATTTCTCCAACTTTGAAGGGAGGAACTTGGTTTAGTTTTTCTTCTTCTTTTTTTGTTTGTTTTTTATTACATATACCTTAAAATGTCAGAAAAAAGTAAAACAAATTTCTGAGAAATTGTTTTTATCCTGATTTCAGTTTTGAATCACTATGTTGTATTCTGGTCAAATTAAATATGCGGATAAAATAACTAGAACACAGAACTAGAGCATATTCCTTTCAATTTCAAGTACAGAGTCAGACATTTTTTATTAAAGTGACTGATATTGTCACATCCTTAGTTACCCCACGGTTGTCCTTAAGCACAAGGCAACAGTTTCCCCTTTCTTTTTTTAAACTCCCAAGGGTAGAACAGAGTACATGTGTCCTTGCCTTATATGGCCAGTTTCGTGAGTCACAAGCAGATTACGTGGTCAAAGGGGGGTATTTTAAGCTCGAGTTGAGACATTGTGATACAGCAGGCACTGGGGTCAAATTCAGATTGGGCTCGCTGTTCAGTGTGGAGTGTTGGAAAGGCTTGGACAGGATCATTTAAGGTTGAAAGCTTTGAGGAATGATTGCATGTACATGTAGTCCTTGATTTATGCTGTGGATGCATAGGAATGTTGTTAACAGAATCCAACTTGTTGCAGTTGGAGTAATCTCTGTGGGTGTGGCTACACTAACCTGGGGGGGTTCAATGACTTCAGTAAGGGCAGTTTGGATCTGCGAAGTAGCTAAAAGTTTTCAAAGTGTTTCAGTAAATTACCTAAAGAATCGTGTTCAGGTTTTCATAGATATTTTCCATTTTTGAAATGTTCGTATGTACATGTAAGTATTCAAGCAAACTACATGTAACTGCTTGCCAAAAAATGTACATGTACCGGTACGTATATATGAAAAAGAAACCCTGCACATGTACATGTATTTTACCTGTACAGTCATGTACATTTTTATGTGCAATCTTTTTGCAAATTTCATTGAGTACACATGTGCATGCGGTACACTTGTTTACTAAGTACAAGTAACACTCTATACAGGTAGGTCTCAAATGATGCATAATTTTGTAACTGACAGTGCAAGACAGCCAAAGTTTAGAGGCTTGTGAATTTGGCAAGGACCCTCGAGAAGCACATGCAATACTTGATGCCTACCTTGCATGACAATGCGTGATATTAGTCCACAGCATCTATTGTTATCGGATGTATTGTGTAAGGTACAGAGCCTGTAAGTCCTGCCCCTGGCTAGTACACAAACATACATTGTACATGTAGGTATGTACTGATCCGAAGAGTCTGTGGATACTGACTTGGGGAATAGGCACCATGTATACCGGTAGGAACTTCTACGGATGCATGTTCATGTACATGTTACAGTGCATTCCTGTTGCTAACTGTTTTTTAAATTCAGATCTGCCTGGAAAACATAGCCAGATGTGTATTTTGTGAATTTACATGTATGTCCAAATCAAATGGTCAGAACTGTTCTCTTAAGTTCCCCCCCCCTTGTCTGAAGGGATGATCATGCCATACACTTACTTGTGCTGATTGGATTAGCACAGGTAGGGTAGCTTTTCAGGTTTTCCTGTTATACTATTGTAGGTTTGCCGTGTAGGGTACCGTATATGTGTACATTTATTTATCAGGAACTGTTTTTTACTTCATGTTGCTATTGTGATCATGTGTGTGTATCATTTCTGTACTAACCGAGCCATTTTTTCCCCACAATTGTGACAGCTAGAGATGCGAGGTCCAAAACTAACGAGATGACAGCTGATTTCCTTTCTGTCAAGCATCATAAAAATGAAAGAAAAGTTACTGTAATGGGAAACCCTTGTTACTGAATGGGTCACTTTTCAAAGGCTGTCCTGTTGACGTCATGTCGTTGTGTTTCTCTCCCTGTTCTCACAGTATGGTGCGCTGTTGAAACTTGAAGGTCATTGTTTTCTGACATCACTGTATGACAAACACCTCAGTGAGGGGACCTCCACTGTTGGGATAAAAGAGATACCACGAACAGTACTGGACCTTGCTCGCTCAATGGTTGGTGCCAGAAGTGGGTGGCCAGTGGCATAAGACTGACCCGTGCTACTCTGGCCCTCAACTGATCCTTGACTTTATAGGCAGGGAAGTTACTCTTCACAGGAGTCTCTGTTGGAAGGCCCAACTCACCAGGTGGGTGATGAACATGACCACATTGAAAGTAAAAGGCAAAAGAGGTATTATGTGTGTTCTTGATTGACCTTGTCAATTTAGAAACTTGTACGTGTATATTTTGCATGTTTTTTCTGTGCCTAATGTTGTATTTCCAGTGGCAAAATTTACTTACTTTCATAAGTATCCAGGATGTGAGGGTTATGAGTGCTGAATATACATATAGTACATGTATACATGTGGCTGCTCAGAGCATCCCTTTTTATAGATTTCCATCTTTTCAACTTTTGTTCTAGTTGTCATCTTGAATTGCTTTTCTAATCAGTGTTTGAATATTTTTAGAAAATCTTCCCCATCTCGAAATTGCTCTTTCTTTAACAGTTAACTGTGGTTTTGCCAAAGATAGATCTTCAATTTGAAAAAACAAATCTGGGATTCCCCCCATTTTTCAAGATGTTTGTAAAATGCATTTTGCTCAACTATACACCCTCAAAACTGGTTTCCAAACTGGACGCTTGGGCTTTCCCATGTGTATTGGTAGGACTGATAGACAATTATTAACAGGTACACCATACTGGTGTTATTTTGGGGGATGAAACAAAAGGTCCTGCCACCCCAGTGATTTGCACATCGTTAAACTGTTAAACTGTTTTCCCTTTGCTCTGCCTGTTGACAAATTATCTGAAGGTGAAGTCGTGGCCAAGGGCACATAAACACAGCATGCCAACTGTGTTTGTTGTTGGTTTAAGTGTCTTGTCTAGTACATAGTACATACCTACATGTACATACCCATGTACATGTGTACACTTTGCAAAGCCCTGATATTCTCCACCTAAATATGAGGAAAGTACACCACAAGAGACACAATGTATGGATGTAATGCATGTGTTGACTGCCACTGATAGTTTTGTCAGGGTTTAGATACTGCATGTTGACTGCTGAATCACCTGTTTCTGGGAAGGCTTCAGAGGATTAGCGATTAGTAAGACATTAAAGATGCAGTGTTACGTTTTTAGTTCAGCCATTCTGTGTCTTTTGCACCAGGGAGAGAACCAGTTTTTGAAGACATTCATGAGTGCTGGGCAGGATCTTTAGAAACATTGGATTTGGTGATTTTTTTTTAAGTAACTATTTCATTAGAACATTGTAAAACATGGGGGAGATGAATGGAGCTGCATTTGGTGAAATTTGGTTGACATCACGTATGCAAAACAATAAGTGTTTCTTCTTTTGGCTAACTCCAGATTCAGGAAGTGATTAGTTGCGGCCAAGGAGACAGATATGGGAGCTCTGAAAGTACTTGCTTCTTTTGTTCTCATCGTCACTTTTGGAGTAAGCGACGTTGCAGGGGTCCTGACACTGGATCAAAATGGACCTCACGTCTGCGTAAGAACAGAAAGGTAATATGCGAAGTCTCCGAAAGTCTACAAGAAAAAGATTATCCAACATCAAAACTTAATAATGTTTGTTGTATACCTTTGCATGTCATTGATAGTGATGTCTTTGCACAAAAGTCCCAATCTGTGGAGAGGTGGCTAGCTTGCAATGGGTTAAGAATTATCTTAATACACGCACATGGGTAATTCCAGAAATTAGGGGTCCAAAAGTGTGACATTTTCGTGTCCCTGTTACATCTGACCTGTGTTATTTGACATGGAAATATAACAAGAATTGATTTCAAACTATTACATGTACTATTTGTTTGGCAGGTAATTTGCATTAATTCAGCACTTTTGGAAATTATAAAATGTGTTCTTAACTTCTAAAATCATTTTTTAGATTTGACAGGACAGGAAAAAAATGAGCCCCCTAATTTCTGGAATTACCCACATGTAAGTTTTGGTTTTGTGTGTATGTGTCGGGGGGGGGAGGGACAGTTGTTGAGGGGGTCATTATCCACTTGTCTTGCAATCAAAACTCATCTTAAAGCGGGGATTACCAGAACATTCACGGTAGAAGTTAGACTCTCCAAGATACAGGTAAGATCTCAAACTTTTTACAGATACTGTACTGTATGTGCATTTACCTCCTAGTTGTCTCCTGAGAATCCTACTGAAATTAGGAACAAGCAATTCTTTGTCCCCGAAATTGGTCTGCTTCAACCCCTGTACAAGACTCAAAGAGTTTAGCGACACTCCCGCTAGCATACTCCTTGAGACCTTTCCACACTACAGCCTCTCAACGGGGGTTGTTTCTCATTTGTTGCGAACAAAATGAGCTTATTAGGGCGAGTTCAACTGGAGATGAGCAGGGAGGATTTTCAAGCCGGGTTGAAAAAGTCTCAACCCTGGTCTGCAGCAGGGTTGAGTTCAAGAGGGGTAGAGGTGAGTCGCGGGGTTGATGAGGGTTGGCACGGGGTTGTAAATATTCAAGTGTGAATCGTCTGGACAAGCCTTAACAGGCTTTGCTAGGCAGTTGCTAAGACCCAACACTTGAAGATTGGATCGTCCACTGCAGGTCTTTGTGAATGTGGAAGGAAACGTGCAGTAGAACACATCATTGGCATGTTCTACTGGTATATGCAGAGCCCCCCTAGCGGAGTGCCAACTTCGGAGATCTGGGCACTGAAACCACTGTCTGGTGATCGCAACTCCTATTATTCATACAAATGAGTCAGGAACAAGTCGACAAATCTTGACTCTCTCTGCTCAAACAACATAACTCATAAAATAATTGCAGGATATTTAACTCTAATAACACTTGATTTTGCATGTCTGACACTATTGAAAAGATAAGAACAAAACATAGGGTACTATAGTTGTATGGATTTATCATTAGATTAGTTTACAGTGTAGCAGTAATACTGTCAACAAGCTGCAGAAAAGTATCCTATGTCCACGCTTGTGGTTCAGCCAATGCAGTGTAGCTCCAGTTAAGTTTTATCTTTGTTTGCCAAACTAAGGAAAAAGGATCCATGAAAGATAAGGTGGAATTCTTCAGGAGACCATTGTATTTTAATGATGTACATGTGCATCCATTGTTTAAAGGTTTAGTCCAGTATGAAGCTTTTCAAAAGGACTGACAAAGTTATTGGAAAGCAGGCTTTCTTTACTTGGTTTAAAGATGTTTATGGGACGAAAGTCCTTGTGAAATTATTCTTTATGGCCAGCTGTCATTTTGAAGAAGACAAGAAAGGAAGGCATTCCAATTTTTGGAAATTGCCACTTGTAGTTCATTAATAATTCAGCGAAGCGCATGAAATGTTGACATGATACTAACGCGCACATGTGGTTTCTGTACGCCGTAAGTTAACTGAGACATTGCGTAGCTACGTGTATTTGTCCGAACGAGAATGTGTCCTGGATTCTGAATTTGGGCACTATTCAAAACATGACTCGACAATTGTTGATATGAAATGAGATATGAAGATATTGTTTTTCTCAGAATATACAGCATTCACTGGCTGATACTTCATCGGGTTAGTTGTTACGCACCCTTCTTAAAACTTTTGAGCACGTGCTTTGCCTCAAAGGAATATATACCAGTAATGCAAAGAAAGCGAATAATGGACTGAACCTGTAAGTTATTAAAGAGAGGTACTTTCTTGCAGCATTGTGTATCTGTTAAAACATTTAGTTAAACTTTACTATTTTGCGACCGAGTGGTTTTTAAACTGCATGGGATCCAATTTAACCACACATACAAAGATGAAACCTCCACAGCAGAGCGCTTGTACATGTACATGTAGCACTGTACCATACCAAAATGGTGCCTAAATGGTTTGGAATTAATCCCTTGTTTTTCATTTCAATTTGTTGCCTGACTCAGTTTGCTTTCTGTGCACAGAATCACAAGATTTCGGAAGCGTATCGGCTTGTTCTTAAAGGCAGAACCTTTAGTTAGTCTTCGTTCCTTTGTAGCAGTTAATTTTGCCTAACTAACTCCAAGAAAATTAGTTTTCTAAAAGAATACAAACAGAAGCTGGAAAACAAAGACTGCCTTCGGGCGAGAACAGACATGGCTGTACCATTCGGGGGGGGGAACAAAGATGATCGCACAAAGCACGCATGAAGTGTAACTGTTGAGAGACTTGCACCTTAAATGCACATTTCGGCTTGTCAGCCAAATATTAATTTCACTACATGTATGCACAGGTACCTCTTGCAAAATCTGCCCATAAAATGAGAAGAGTTGGAAGCATGGTCCACATGTATGAATGACATGCACATGTTTGTACCTCTGCACCAAATCTGAATGTGTAATATATTGCTGTAGGTTGCTTTACATGTACCCAGTTCCGGTACATGTATACCATTTGAAATTTATGTTCATGTATTCACATGTATTCCAACCAACGACTAATTTAAAGTTTTCCTCAAATACCCCTTGTGATTGTTATTCCAGACTGATTATGGCTGAAAATGAAACAAATACAGGTGCATGTAGCATGTAAAAAGTTGTTTTAATTAAAATATTTGAAAAAAAAAACAACCTCTTTTGCCTATAATAATCACTTCGGATTGATTTTTTTTTGTTTACTGGTAGCTATCACATCACAAGGCAAGTCACCGAGCAAAGAACTTTTGAACAGATATACTACACTGCTTGCACGGACATCCTTAACTGGTTCCGCTGCACGAGGAGAAGGTATGTTGGAGTGTCTTGTCAATGCAGAGAATTTCAGTGCAAAATCATCATTGAAAGTTTTTCATGTACCCAGAAAGTTGGACGAATATGTGATGTGATCAAGCAAAATGAGTCATTTGTTGAAATTGGATTCGAAGGAACAACTCGGAATAAAAAGTCCAAAAGCCGAATCTTTTCATGTTTCAATAGTCACTACAGTTGATCCAAGGGTTGTGTCAGGGTTGGGATGGCATAGAAATGAAGTCATCATTGTATACCTTTTCAAGGAATGGCATTTAACGAATTGGCCTGGGTGGAAAAACGACTCAATTTGCCGGATTGCACGGGGATATTAGCCATAGTCCTTTCGTATGCATTAAAATCTTTGAGGAGGCACTTGTGAAGAACAACTGTGGAATCTCATTCCGCACAATGCTGATGGGGGGGTTAAAGAAGGTTTTAAGAAAAAACACCTTGGGATTTAGGGTTGAAACGTTGTATTTGTGTGGAGGTTCTCATAGGGGAAGGTCATAACTAAGAAAAGAAACGATTTGGTCATACATGTACATGTAACTCTTGTCAAGCTCCCTCTAAATTGACTCTTTTTACGGGTGGCACTTCAGTGTAAGTTTTAAAAACCAAGTTCGAAGCGCTTTTAGATATTTGTGTCTATTCAGGGGAAAAATTATTCACTTGAAAAACTTACGTTGTATTTTAATATGTGCATGTATTTATCGGGTAACCTTGTAACTACTTTCACTCTCTTGCATAGTTCATTCTTGTTTGGTCATGAACATGGCTTTTGTGTGCGTAACATACCTTGCTGATTGAGTAGTAGTTGGTCTACGGAATACTTTGGTCTTTGTTGTTACATGTAGGTTAAGATACCGCACTGGATATGCTCAGAGAGTGATCACACAGTATCGGAACGTTCGCGAATGTTGCAGTGGCTACGCACAATCTGGATCAATATGCATACGTAAGTAGCGACCAGTACACAGTCCATTTGTAGTTTGGTTGACTAATAATTAGCCAAGAATAGGTTTCATCGGCCCGGACAAAAACGGCTTTTAAAACTTCAGTGGCTGTGCCAACATGCATCATGGTGTTTCATGATCTGGCTCTCTGTCTGTGCCTTGTGATACTGGGATTAAAGAGACAGTACATTTGTATGTCAAACGAAAAGACCAGACTTGAGAAACAGTCGTGTGTATAATCTACCGTACATGTTTCATTTCGGAGAAACCACCGACACGTTCTGTAAAAATCTAACAGTTGTCAATTGAAGCATTGGAGTTACATGTAGGGTTACCTGCTCTGTGTTGGGTTCGGTCCAGTCTGTTTGCAGGGTTTGCTTTGCTATAATCCATTGTTGGTGAGCATCGTGAAACCACATACCGGGAACTTTTTTTCAGTCCTTCCCCCAAATGGACAGTGTCACAAATTGAAATTCCACTTTCCCTTAAAGAATGGATATATTGTCCCTCTCACTTATGTCCGCGTATCACCTTGCCTTCTTTGTAGCACTCTGTGCGGATGGATGTGTACACGGAGAGTGCACTGCACCGGGCATCTGTACATGCAGTGCGGGCTACCGAGGAACCTCATGCGACAGCCGTGAGTATATTTTCTGTTTAGAAATTCTTTTACACAGAGCAGCCGATCAAGAGCTTAAATTTGACCCTCTCTGCTGAAGCGCAGAGGTTGTGGCGAAGATTGAGTTCTAGTGGTAAGGTGCGGTCTTGTTAGAAAGCAGTTGATTGGTGCATCGCGGACCGGTCCAGGATATTTTGCTGCGCAGCTGCGCTTGTCTCATTCTGTCCATTATGGTCTCCGGTTCAGAATAGCACTCCTGAAGGAAAACAGGCTCCATTACAAGTGCAGCAAATGCAATGCAATCAAACAATGACAATGCAATCAAACAATGAAACGCCACTCAATTTCTAACAGCAGCTTCTATGGTCCACTTTGTAGCATCTCGTTATAAGTGTCTTGATGTGAGATAACACGCAAGTCATCAAACTAGTCAAAGCAGATCTGAAACAGAAAGCTCCAATTCAGATTAAATTGTTTTTCCTGTATTTTACATTGAAGGCTCAATGTTTGACTTCAGCTGAGCATGTTTATGTACATACATGTGCATGGTTCATGTTTTCCGTGTCTGATCTTTTGGCTATTTTTTTTCTAACAAGCTAGGCAGTTGAAAGGGGAGTCTGTCCAATTTTTCCCCCTTTTTTACAGTTTGCCTTTTACAATTTGGAGCTTAGGTATGATTCATTCCATTACGTGTAGCTGGTCAGCAAAAATATATCTTTTTATCATTTTAATCACGGACAATGCATGACATGTTTGACGTTGGTGTTCACATGCATTCAAATGAAAACAGCTCCTCAGATACACCCAGTGGAAAGTGCCAACTCTTGAACCCTCTTCTACGGTATTTACGCTCTGTCAGCCGATGGTCGTGATTCATCAAATCCTCCTCCCCTCCCCCCCCCCATAAAAATTGCAGTTCTTTTCTGGGGCCTCTTTCAACTCCTGACACACTGCCCCCAAGGTGAAACCTTACAAAGCTTAGCAAACTGAAACCGAGCCAACCCACACATTCTGCACAAAGGGTGCAGGCCAGTCAGCATTGACCTGTCAGAAATCTTCCTCTTCGTGATCTTTGCTGTGCTGTAACTGTTCCCTGATATTTGTTTGTGCCCCGCACAGTTATGCTCCAGCAACTCTATTTTCCTCTGTACACCGTGCCATTTTGTGCACAGTTCCGTGTGCAGGGCTGTACCAGGATACGTGTTATGACCTTCATCCTTGGAATCACAGTATTGTATTTTGAAAAAGTCAAAGACAATTCAACAGCCGTCACCTGTCAACGGTGCTTGTCCCTTCAAGTGGTGCAGTTTTGTATTACATGCACAAGCTCCCTTGTGGATCTCAAGTTGTATTTGAGACACAGGCAAAAGCTTTTTATCACAATCAGTAACTGAACAAATTTGATCAATGAGGAATGGTTAGCTTAAAAAGGATTTTTTAAAAAATCACCAAAAGCAATGTTTTTAGCCCTTAAGATCAGGTTGTATTTTCTGCTGGCATGGAAAAAACTTCAACCATGTGTTAAGAAAACAGCACATTTTTGATGAGGAAGGTTTCAATAAGATTACTTACATGCTTGCGTTCATGTACGGGGACTTTGCACATGTACCATCGAAATTACATGTACATGTATGTGTCATCAATGTACATGTACTGTCTGAATTTCAAATCAGTGAAATACATGTACATGTGCAGTGTAGACGTACATGTACATGTATGTACATGTGAACCGGGTCAGGGTTCCTTATATTAGACAGGAAGTGATGTGTCTCTGGGCTGTTTCCCTAAGACTCTGGAAGCCTTTAGGTTTAAGGAAAAGTCTGTCTACTTACTCCACTTCAGCCACACATGAAAAAGTCACGAACTCAGAGTATGAATGCCTTACTTGATTACCATTGTATTTAGGATGGTGGATTCAAAATTTTTTCATTGAAGACCAAAGCATTGCAGCTTTTGTTTTCTGAAATATGAGAAAAATGTCGTGTTAAATAGGACTTTGGGCTGTTAGTGGTTGCATGGTGCCACAAATCTCATTTGCAAATGTGCATCTGAGAACAAAGATGTGGCTCAACGGTAAAACATGCACTGGATTGGTGCTCTTACATCTGGTAATTGTACATGTACACATGTGTTGACACACTGGCATTAACAGGGATTGCATTGCAGAAATTGGAGCATCTTTAATTTCTTAACAAATGCTCGGTGTGGGACCTGGAGCACAAGTTTCATAAAGTATTAGCATGTGGGTCCTGGTTTTGGATTACCACGGGTGCAAATCAAGTTCCAAATTCTGCGCTAGTTCATCCTTGCCATCAACATATTCCAGGGTCTACATTTATGTCCAGCATACATAGGTGTGCCATCACTTGGATGTGTCCATCCCAGTATAGCTGGGACTGTGCTTTCAAGTTAAACTTCTTGAAAGAGCCAAAATTACAAATGATTTGCCAAGTTTTAGCATTTCCTGATTATGAAATGGTGAAGCCCTGAAATTTCTGCCCACAAAGGAAGCCTTCATTATGAGTGCGCTTATTTACTCCAGATTTCAAAACTTTTTGAGTAGGCAAGAAAAATAAAATACATCTCATGCTTTGTTTGCTGTAACAGCATTCGTAGCATAATGCCCCCAGCATCTGTCAACAGTTGTGTTGTCCATCGTGAAAACAGTTTAAAGACCAGAAGGAATGCATAATTTTCAAGTCCGAAATAGTTTTCTCTAAACTACAGTATTGGCTTCAAGGAGTTGTCATAATTGTGGATGGTGTCAAGAGACAGTGGATTCTGTCCAGAAGCATTAGAATACAGTCATGGAAGCGTGTACACTGATCTACATGTGCGTGTATTTATAGCATGTATTTTACTGAATGTTTTTCCCCCAGAATGTGCACCCAATCAATGGGGCTCCAGTTGCACCAACAACTGTACTTGCCAGAATGGAGCGACCTGTGACGCTGGTACTGGGAGCTGCGCCTGTGCCTCCGGTTACCGGGGTAAGTTGATCATTTAACTCTGATGTTCCAGAATCTCTGAGCCTGTACCGGGTCATTACGCTGGGGATTGTGGGAATAAGCTGCAGGAGAATTGTCTTCATTCACAGGTTGCCCGTTGGAAACAAAAGCCCATCTGTTTTCATCTGTGAGGGTCACATCATTTGGGTAATAGGTGAAAGAATCCAGGCAGGGTTCCCGGGGTCGTGGAAAATCCTTGAAATAGTTTTCATTGAAATTAAACCAAATGTCATGGAAATGGTCATATTTTAGCCCTGGAAGAATCGTGGCATTTGGTGCTCAGATTTCTGTGGGAGCCCAGCTTTGTTAGTTTTTAAATTCAGCGCATACCTATTGTCTTCCTCTTTCATCAGGTAGTAACTGTGAACATCCTTGCCCGATTGGGAATTTCGGTCCCGATTGTAGTCAGATGTGCCGCTGTATGAACGGAGGGACTTGTCATCATGTGACTGGTGCCTGTCAGTGTGCAGTTGGCTACCAAGGAGCATTGTAAGTCTTCAGTGACCAAAACTGACCAGTGGTCATGTGCAAGAAATCTTTCAAAATACCCAAACCACACAGGTACTTGTCTTTTCATCATCTTAATTAAAAACATCGTTGAAGTCATTCTGAGGACAAAATGCTGGAACAGGTTCATAACTGTCGTTTCTTAAAAATATTGTCCAGCCACTAGATGTTGTTTATTAATGTTTGTTTTTTGGTTGATTTGTTGACATAATATGGAATATTTACTGAGTTGGAAGTTGCTTATCAACAGGTTTTGTTGGGTGTAATGGTAGATCAGATTTTCGTTTATTCCTGATCATCGCTTTTCAGAATTTGAATTCAGCTCTCTACTGTAAGTCTGTACTTCCAGTTTTCAATTTTTGTTTGTTAATTTTGTTCATGAGTTTGGTCAAGTGATGCTGGTCTGAAGCCGTGGAGCCAGATATCACAAAAAAAATATGCTCGTGTCATTAACTTTGATCAATGTGCATTGGTTGGTACAAGTAAAGAAATACATTTGTGTTTTCCTCACGTCCACAAAATTACAGAAATTTCCTCATCTTCGCAGGTGCGAGAACCTTTGCCCAGTGGGAACTCATGGACTGAACTGCTCCATGGTGTGCCAGTGTCAGAACGAAGGAGTCTGCGATGCGAGGACGGGGGCGTGTGACTGCCCTGCCGGTTTCACTGTGAGATTTGGGGGGATCACATGTTGTTGTCAGTCAGTAAATGGTGCTTGGCGAATTCATTCACATGTACATCTCAATGCTTGACTGAAGTTCTCTGTGCAAAGAACACATCAGATCTGTCGGCTAGTAGATTTCCCAACTGAGATTCATTGCCATCTTTGACCTCGTGCTCTAGCTCTTTTTCCTTTCACGGCCCTGACTTTTCCAAATTTCATTTCCAAACTTCCGTGTTTGAACTAACTGGCTGTGGCTATGAGTACCACACATACAACTGGATGTACTTGAAGCAGCTAGCCATTGGCTGCCATGGGCATGCATGTCTGTTCCAGCCAAAGCCATAACTTTAGACACAGCCTGCCTCTCCATTTTCTACTTCAGGGGTTTTGAGTCCTGTCATGCAAGTTCATACCCAGCAGGAGTTCCGAGAGAGTTTTTAAGCATAAACAAAAAAGCCTTAAAATGGTTCCGGGTTCAGCAACATCTGGCACGAGGCCAGGGCTTAAGAGATGACTTTGGTAGATCCTTGCTCATGATCGAAGCTCATGTGATCTCGTAATTTATTCAAGGCAAAACCTAGGCTGCATCCAAATCTGTTTAGAGCTAGGTCTAGGCCTTCCCTCCATTGGAGATGTGCAGAGACACATAGACAATAGACCTAGTCGTAGCTCTGGAAGCCCGTTTCGGACACGGCCCTAGCTGTAACTGCTCATTAAAGAGATTCTTTCAGCTGCTTTAAGATGCTGTTGAACTTACTTTAAAGTTGGCACTGTTAGCCAGTATTGTAGTTTAATGAAATACAAAGGGTTAAGTCTTTGAGAAGTGAACTTTTTTAACACTCAAATTTGTTCGTGCTTTTCTGGACAACTGGGGTCGCTGTTGCTGTGATGTCACTCAGGGAAGACAGTGTTTATTTTGTCTGTTTTTTGTTGTGTATCCAAAAATTGCTCATTAGGAGCTTTTCTGCGAAAGGGTTGGTAGGATATTACCATGTACTTACTTGTACACAACAACAAATTGCCAAAGAAAGGGTGATGTACAATGTGCATGCAGGACAGCAAAAATATCAGGTTTCCAGCTTTTTTTTTGAATAAATCTTTGCAACGTTGAGCTTGGTTGACATCACTTATTTTGTTCATGAATGTGTAAATTGACATCAGTTTAAACACCAAAAGTCACCCGAGCACCTTTTTGATTGGGCAAACAAAATGTTAATAAGGCTAATTTGAAACACGAAGGTGCATTTTAAAAGTTTGTTGTAATAGAAGATACTTTGTTGCATGGACCCTTGTTTCAGGGAGAGGTGTGCGCACAGGTTTGCCCCAGTGGCACCTACGGCAAGGACTGTGCGCAGTTATGCCAGTGCTACAACGAGTCGCCATGCCAATCGGTCTCGGGCTCCTGCCTGTGCCGCGCCGGTTTCATCGGGGACCGGTGCGAGATGCAGTGCCAGTACGGCTACTACGGCCAGCAGTGTAGGGACAGGTGTCAGTGTCAGAACGGCGGGACCTGCTCCAACGTCGACGGCAGCTGCAGGTGAGTCCTGCTCCTGTCTGGCTTTTTGAGGATGTCGCCTCTAGCGGCTACTTGTAGGCAACTGCTGCTGTTGAGTTTTTGGAGTTTTTTACTGTTGTTGCTGCCAGGCTTTTTTCGGCAGCTGTTTCCAGTAAGCGTTGCTGCAGTCTGCTGTTGTTCATTCCGGATGGTTCATGTTATTGCTTTTAATATATTTATCTGTTGTCGCTGCTGCTGCTGTCACAGAAGTTAGATTTTCTATGTAACTTCTCTTAATCATAAATGCTTCTATGGATACACACCCTCCAGGAAATGAAAAAGCAATCACAAATGACTTCACCATCATGAATTTATTGGACTTGATATCTTGGATTTATTACTGATCATTCTCTGTCTGTTTTCACAGCTGCCCTCCTGGCTTCACAGGCACAACCTGCGATCAGAGCAGTAAGTTGACTCTCAAATTCAACGTGACGTTCTTTGTCCAAAATGTTTTGAGAGCTGCTGGTAGCAATGAGTTCAGAGTCTCCCTCATCTTCTGTGCTAAAGTGGACATTTGCACACCGTGGAAACTTTTACAGCTGACTATTTCCAGATCAGCCTTTTTCCTAAATAAAAATTATGTAGGTAATGAATGTGGTGGACAATTTGAGCATGAATGTCACGGCCAAAATATTTTACCTTCACTAATTTCTTTTGCCCACAGTTTGCCCACAGTGGCGCTACGACACCAACTGTTCCAGAGACTGTGGCTGCATCAGGACACACTCAATTGGGTGAGAATTTCATGGCCCTCTCACTGAGCATATTGCCCACTCAATTTCTTGCACACGAACCGAGTAATTTTCACAAGGCTTTTTTTGTGCGTTACATTAGAAAAGGTATCGTTTTTCCAATAAATTTTTCCAGATGTCATGGTTTGACGGGCCAGTGCTTCTGCAGAGATGGTTTCATTGGTACCAACTGCGAGTACGGCTGCCCTCACGGTTTCTACGGCGCGGGCTGCTATGAGATATGCCAGTGTCAGAATGGCGCACGATGCAACCGAGTCGACGGATCCTGTGCCTGCTCCCCTGGATATCAAGGAGTCTTGTAAGTTGACCAAACTTGCTCCATGAATGCTTCATATGCTTTGAAATAATGTAGAAATGGTTTGGTGTCGGCAAAAAGAGAGTTTTGATTGGACAGTCTGTGTCTTTTAATGCATCAGCATTACATATTGTGAGATCAAGGCCAACCAGACCTTAAAGAAGGCAGAATTGTCAGAGAGTTCTGGCGCATAAATGTAGCAAGCTAAGCCTTCTGAGAAAGCTTGCCTGTATATATACATATTGAGCCAGGTGTCCAGTCTAGGTTTTCCAGCCAGCCCCACCCATCAGACACCCGCCCCCCCTTGACATGCGATTTCTCTCTCCAGACATGTCTTTGTCTGGTCGTGGAAAAGTCATAACCCGAGCCGAGCAGACCCAGCCAACAGGAAACAATTTGTGAGAATTAGACTTCCTCAAGAACTTCCCAGTCCTACTCTGAACAAATAAACCGAGGTTCCTTCAATCCGTGTGCAACAATATCCTCGCGATACTAGTTTTTTCCTTGCTGTTCATTGTTTCTTTTAACGTTTGCATGCAATTGTTACGTGAACATGTGTCATATGAAGCAAGATATGGGACAGAGAGCACCTCCCTACCTTTGTGCTGGTCACTGCTTGATCGGAATCTCAGGAATTCTTTACAGACATCCCGGGGGGATGTGTGAGGTAACAGTACTCAGGGGTGTGTTCAGGAACTGGACAACTGGGAGGGTACCCCTCAATCTCATATCTTGCTGGGTCTAACATTTGTATGAAGCAACTTGTTGGGAACATGTACACAGTAAATTTGTAAATTTTACTGTAAATTTTGACGTATTGAGATAAACTTCAACAAATGTACATGTACATGTAACTTTCACCGTATAAAACTTTACAGTCCTTGAAAAGTAACAAGAATAATACAAAAACTTCCTCCATTTTGTGCACTCAGACTCGTTCTTGTGTACGTAACATGCAGTGTCTGCAGGTGCGTGTTGATGATGTATACCTGCAGCTCCTGATTGTGTATTCTTTATTCAGTGAATGAACAAATACATGTACATGCACAGGGTTTTTTCACTTGATTGAGTACACAATAAACAGGATATTTCTGGTGATCAGTTTGGCCTTGCACAACTGAATTTGTTTCGAGTGAATAGATTTTCAAAGGCTTTAGAAGGCTATTGTTAGTTTTACCATGGTTCCGACCAAACGATTTTGCTTCCCTTGTCGAATTTAAAAAACTTTGTTTTTATAAAATTAGTTTGCAAAGGGAAACCCCGTCACCATTGAAATGATAATTTGTGCACCTTTATTTGGGAAACATACATATATTCCCTGAAGGGATTTTGAGCGTGTAAAGGTTTTTTTGTTTTTGTTTTGGTAGAACCGGATTTTGCTGACTTTTTTGCTGACGTCAGATTTGTGATGGATGGTTTTTAACAAAAGCTCTGGGAGAAGGTGAAAGCAGTGTTCAAAAGTGCTGCGTTCATTGATTTTACATGTATCTCATGTTTGCTGCAGGCATGCAGAATTGTGTCTGGCTTGTTGCCTGTGAATCACTGTACACTTCACGCTCCCAAATGTGGGAAAGAAAAAGAGCAAAACCACCTTCCCAGGAAAATTCTAGTGACTTGTTGCTTTTTCAACACGCGCCTGAGATGTGCTTTGATGGGCACTTGCCCGGGCTGGGTACTGGCATTGCACCGGACATTAATTCCCATAGCTGGATCCCAGACTTTCCAACAAAAAAAATCATCCTTTCCATGTGGGGCCAGTCAGGGTACGGGGGTAGCCCCAGCTGATCACCTCACACATGGGACTAGATTTTCCATATTCCCAGTTCAGAGAGTTTTCAACCCCGTCATCACCCATCAGGTTTAAGGGAATTCAGGATCCTTTCTGGCAAATGCAGTGTGGTCACTTGTAGTCATGAGACACTTTCTATTTTCACTAAAATGAACACATCATTTCAAATCAGATCACGGGACACTGCCTCACAATTAAAAGAAAACACACGGTTGTTGTGGAAAGTTTAGGTACATGAACGTATGGGTGATTCTATAAATTAGGGGTCCAACTTGGGGCCATTTTGGTGTCCTGTTACACGTGAAGTCATTCAACTTTTCTTCATGTAAAATTGTAACCACATTATCAAACATTGTGCAGATTGAACTGTATATTGTACAGGTCATAAACAATGTAATCCTGTTTGATCTACAGAATGTGAACAGTACTAGTATTAGTTCCATCCTGAAAAGTTGAATGGTTTCACCCGTAACAGAACACCAAAATGGCCCCAAGCTGGACCTCTAATTTATAGAATCACCCATATACACTTGGACTGAAAGTATTTCATAGCAAGTTTTATGACATTAATCTTGGCAACTTTTCCTCTCTGTATCTGATCAGTCGACCTGCTTTATTTATGTTAACATGCTATGAGGACATGTTTCTGATCTATCAGCTGCAACAAAAGAATAGGCCAACTCACCAGGAAAAGGTTAAATCTTTAAAACTGAAATGAAACTCTTTCATTCCAAGTGTGTGTATAAACTTGTGCTGGGAGCTGTACTTAATTTCCGTTAACCTTTGGTAACATTCTGGGTTCTTCTCATGTTCATGTTGCCAAGCACCAGGCTGTAAATGGTGTTGTATTAATTAACAAGAGAGTCCCAAATCCTGTCTTAATTATTAAAAATATAAATTCTCATTGTGACATACGTGCACATGTACATTTATTTATTATTTATTTCTGATATTTTACCAAGATAGCCAATTCATGATATTCTCGTGGTCTTTCCTGGGGTCCTGGGGTGAAGATGAACAATCAAATATGAATTTCCAAATATGATTACATGTACATAGAAAGAAATAAAGTTTTAAAAAACCACAATTGTCAAACAATAATCACAAACATTAAGACACTGGTTGTAAAAAATATTGAAAGAATTAACGAAAAAATGTGTATTTGTTTATTTTTTATTTGTTTACTCAGGTGTAACGACTCTTGTCCGGTTGGTTATTATGGAAGTGGCTGTGCTGGCGTCTGCGACTGCGAAAATAGTGCAAAATGTGATAATGTGGATGGCAGCTGCGTCTGTAGTAACGGTAAGTTAATAAATACTATCAAACAGATTGAACACATCACGCTCTGTTGTCACTCTGCCATTAGCCATTGGATAGTCCTTTATGGAAAGCATTTGTACTCCGTTGGACACATAACTTTTACATTTTTTTTTAATTTACAAATGTATATCTGAAAACGAACTGACTTGGACCATCAAATGATAAGTGGACTTGGTAACATTCGCTTTATATTCATTTCGGGTCAGTGCACTATGTGGACAGAGCAAAAGAAAAAGCATGTGAAACTGTACAGGTTTTTCTTTTTTTGTATTCCAAGGTCGGTGGACTTTATGACATGTAGAACTATTCTGTGTTTTTTAAATACATTGCGAGGACCAAAGAAATATAAAAATGAAGTGTTTGCAACCATGTTTCCAAAAATCTGTGTAGAATTTATGTTGCATCTCAGGTATTCTGAGATCATATAATAATGTCAACAAAGTGCTCCAAAGGATAGGTTTGTTACCATGGTAACTCTTGCATTCCTTTGCAGGTTGGCAAGGGTTGAGATGCAACATTCCTTGCAATGCAGGCTTCTACGGCGTGGGATGTAACATGCCTTGCCCCTGCGCCAACGGGGCACTCTGCCACCACGTCACGGGCCAGTGCGAATGCCCACCGGGATGGACGGGAGAAGACTGCTCTCTGGTTTGCCAGGCAAGTCAGAGAATAGTTTTTGATCTTAGTATTTAAATTCAGATACAGGCGAGCTGATTGGTTCAAAGTTTCTATCACATGACCACGGATGTAGGTGATATGTTTACAGTGTTCTCCGAGGTGTAAATTTTACACTTGGTTGGAACCGACAGAAATGTTGAAATTAGGGGTGGCGATTCCTGGCTCACTCAATGGCCTTGCCAATAATCTAGTGTTTCTTTTTGCCATGTTTTGAATGGTAGAAGCAATTACAGACAGTTATGGACAGGAGTTTTCATCAAAATTATGTTGCGTAAAACTCCTCTGAAGTGTAAATGTAATGCCAAAAATGTTATAAGCTTGCTGGCCAGATTTGGAGCTTGATGGCTACCTTATGAACTTGTTGGGAGACAAGTGCAACTCGGCCAGTCACAGGGTTACTTCAGTCACATTTAAATTTCCTTCAAACACTCTCTTAACTTGATTCGGTCTATCTTTTCTGTATTGTTTTGGTCTTGTGCGAAACCCACCCTCCAAAGTGGTTGAAATCACCGTTTCAGCAGTGCAGCTGATTCTGTGTATTTTTGAAAGTTTTTTAACTTCTACAGTTTTAGCTAAAATGCCCTCTGAACGTAGCCATGGATGGAGGACACTGTTGAACAGCGATGGAAATGCCCATGTAACAACACTGACTCACTTTTTCCCAAATGGGATCTGCCGATGATAGGAATAGAATTCATAAAGAAAAAGAACTAAGCTAACCAACCAACTGTGTACCAGATAACAGCATCGCACAACTTTCATTGTCTTCAGAGAGAAAGGAGTACATAATGGTCGACGCTGCAGTTTGCACTAGGACAGACCACATGTCCTTGCGAGAGGCACATACCATAGCATGGCTAGAGGGTTGCTTGAAAATAAGGTCTAACATTGCTCAACAAAAGCATTGGAAATTTAAAAAATTTTTATCATTTAAGACCGGCTCAGGAGAATGGACATCGACTGCATCTCTCACCCTGGTGGTATTGGCCGTTATCAGGGTCCATTCTTCTGATCTGGTCGTAAATGAACGGTTATGACCCGCCAAGTGCATGTTGATTCCCTCACTGAATATTTGTTGTTCTCACTTCTCTGCAGGCCGAGCAATATGGTGTGAATTGCGTGCACACTTGCGGCTTCTGTGAACCGATGAACTCTGTTGGGTGTAACAGCCGCACCGGAAAATGCCAGTGTATCAGCTCCTACTCAGGTTTGTCACAAGAACTGGTCTGATTTTTAAACGATGTCAAGTGGCGCCAGTCGCTCACAATTTGTCAGTCGCTTTGTCACCGTGGGAAGGTTATTTTGATCTGCAACTTCAGTTAAGAAAGGATCATTCCCTGTTTTTCAAACCAAGCACACGAGCATGTAACATTATAAATTAGCTTGGGACAGAGCCGTATATAGAGAGAGTTATGACAACTTTAGGCTGTTGGAACCAACATGGCTGCTCTTTATGTGTGCAGTACTGCAGCCAGCAATCGTTGGCTCATTGTCCATGTACACCGACGCATAATCCACCATGTTGGTTCCAACAGTTGAGACACCCATGTCGCAACTCTCTCTATAAACAGCTGTGGCTTGGGAGAGTGTAACTCTATACGCAACAATACCTCCAACAGTTAACAGAGTTGTACATCTCTCATTGACCGGTATTTGGGCACGATTTTTCACCTGTAGGAACACTCTGGGGCCCTTTTCATGGCAGGTTTTTCAGTAGACCTGTATGCCGTAGACCAAAAAGCATAATGGTGTCATGCTTTGGGTTAAGTTTAGGTCCCACCTCACTGCCCTAGCAAAGCGCACTTGCAAACAAAGCCTGATGTCATTATGTTTTAGGTCTGTTGATTGCTACAGCCAAGTAATTGGCCTTATTTACAAGTCGGCCATATTAAATTGAATACGAGGTTATAACCTTTTTATTATGGGAACTAGAGAATAAAAATGAAAGCAATGAAATAAAAGTTCATCACAAATTAATTAATGTATTTATTTATATCTGATCATCCAACAGCGCATATAACGCCAATTACAGGATGATGATTAATAATATTAATTATGCAAAGGAATCATTTAAAAGTTGTGATGTATTATATCTAAACTTTTTAAGCCATATTGAAAAAGAAATAAAAATGAGATGTAGAACCCCAAATTGTCATCACTACCCCATTTAACAGATTACATACAATATGATTCTGGAATGGGGGGAGGGAATTCTGCTGCCCTGCCCCTGGCTCTTTTAGAGTCAACAACCTTCAAATTTTCTGTATTTGATTTTTTCTGTTTTTACATTCTACCTATGCCATTACAAATTAAAAAGTAATGTAATCAGTTGTGTACAGCTTTGAAGTTCCTTTTTTCCTGTGTTTTACAGATGCATGCCCATCTGTATGGAACAAACATCATCACAAAGACAAGACATAATACGTTGATATTCTGCCTCCTGTGTTGTGCGTTTGCTTATCTCCAGGTGTACACTGTGACAGCCTGTGCCCCCTGGGAACCTGGGGCACGTTCTGTAACGAGACGTGCAACTGCATGAACAGCGGGTCCTGCTCTGTGCAGGACGGATCGTGCGAATGCCAGCCTGGGTTCACTGGGCCCAGTTGCCAGGGCTGTAAGTTGTCTCCCAAAGAAGATAAAAGATTACTGGTTAGCCAGAGGTTGATTCCTGGTGTATATTTATAGCTAACCGTGCTCCCTGTGATAGTAGAAAATAGTAAATGCCATGTGACCAATGCAGCTCTTGACCAATCAAGAGACAGAATCTGCCTTTGTTTATTATCAGTAGGAACGACCCTTAACAGGAAGTTCTGTGATCGTGAACTTGACGAGTTGTCAGGTATTTGTTAATAAAGGATATCCCTATCAACCGCTTTTCCAGATTAAGGGACTTTGAAAATTGGCAAATAGATTGATGGAGTTTTTAACATGCAAGATTGATTCCATGATCAAGATTGGACTCCCCGATCTCCTCATTCTCACCACAGCTTGTCCGCAAGGGACCTATGGTCCAAATTGCATGCACGGCTGCCCCGCTTGCCCCAACAGCAACTCTTGCCACCCTGTGGATGGGACTTGCGTGTGCGCCGCCGGTTACAAGGGCAACAACTGTGACCAAGGTGAGTGGCTCAGTTGATATGTCGGTCAGTCCATATGTCGGTCAGTCGATATGTGTAGGCAGGATGAAAGAAGTAAAATGGAGTGTAATAGAGATTCTTTCACAATCTTTTGAAAGGTGCCCAAAATCTTTAAGTGGAGAGATTTTTCTCATCATGCAAATCACCCTGAAAAAATACCAGATACTGAAGAAGGTGTCTTCAAATCAAGAAGATTTCCCATGGAAACTGATTTCAGGACTTTTATGATTCTCTAGTGACTCAATTTTCATGACTGATGATCCCGTATAAAGCACATGGGAGGCCCTCCTACAAAAGTCAGAATAAAAGAGGAACAATAGGGGTCCACAGTTTGCAGTCGGGGGTCCACAGTTTGCAGTAGGGGGTCAGCAGTTTGCAGTAGGGGGTCTGCAGTTTGCAGTAGGGGGTCCGCAGTTTGCAGTAGGGGTCCACAGATTGCAGTAGGGGGTCCACAGTTTGCAGTAGGGGGTCTGAAGTTTACAGTAGGGGGTCTGCAGTTTGCAGTAGGGGGTCCACAGTTTGTAGATGTGCTCGAAGATGATTGTCAGTGATTTTGGAGAGGTGTGAAATTTTGGTCTTGGGACTTGCCACACTTCATGTTATTCATTTCAACAGTGTGCGAGAGTGGTCACTACGGAATAGAGTGCATGGAGATCTGCTCGTGTAAGAATAATGCCACTTGTAACCCCGTGGATGGTACATGCCAATGTTACCCTGGATTCACTGGTGTGGACTGCAGTATGCGTAAGTAAAAGGGTTACCGCAATTCGAGCATTTCAAAGCAAGATGATTAGCAAGATCTTGAGAGGAAAATTAGTCACTAATTCAGTGCTTTTATTTGTTTACAATAAATTTTGTGTTTCACAATGTGGAGAAATCTTTCTTTTCTATTTCTGGATATTTGGAGTGTATGTTTTCCTATTTTATATTCTCAACTACGGGTACATGAATATTCATATGGTACTGATGGTCACTATTGAAAAAAGGGTGACTTTGATTGCTGGCATTGGCCATCGGACAGTGGTTTTAATGAAGGAAGTGGAATGTTATCAGTATTGGCAGCAATAACATGGATGGGTACTGTAACCACTTGATGTTATCTTGAAGACTCATCTGTGAGGGTCACATCATTTGGGCGGTAGGTGAATGAAACCACCTTCTCACTGCAGTGCATAATCGGCCAGCTTAGTGCTTTCAGGAAAAGGGGGACTTTTTCAAGGGACCATTGTCTTCATTTTTATCATGAAATAGCTTGTCCAGCTGACAAGTACGGCCTAGATTGCATCTTCACCTGCTCCTGTGAGAACGGCGCAACCTGTGAGGCGTACGACGGAGAGTGCAAGTGCGCAGCGGGCTGGACCGGTCTGAGATGCACTGAAAGTGAGTTCAGCACATTTGAAGAATTTTCAGTGGAAGCTTTCACAGTTGTCATCATGACAGGGTTAGCACGGTCAGCTGCTGGAATGGTAGCCTTCTAATCAAGGCAATCATGGCAACAGTTTTAATTAACAACATCTGCAGGCACAGAGCTTGAAAACAGACTACCATGTGCTATTCACATCATGCTGCTGAGATCACTTTTACCAGCTCATTTTCTGAGGCTTCCCGTTAAACAATTCAGCAACGTGAATGATTAAAATATAAATATTAGACCAGCCACACCACATACACTGATCATCTGTGCAGACGTAATTAACAAACAGATTAATTCCAGGACATTCCAATGACTGCGGAGGCACCACGCCCCTGAGTGCATTCTGAACTTAAGCAATAGTTGCTTTCTTGGGCAGGATGTAAGCCCCACATCCAGTGCTCACAGTGATCATCTTCACTAAAAAGCCACTAAAATACCTTTCTTTTCCGAACTCAGCTGCCAATAAACCAGTCAGCCAAGGTCCATAATATGCATGCAAATCCAGTGATTAATTATGCATGCATTTATGCCGATTTTCCGGCTATGGCCAGTCAGCAGCAGGCTACTTGTCGCTTCCAGCTGGCAAACAAAGATAAAAAGAATTTCCCACTGTAAAGAGTTGAAAAACGAAAGCCCTGTGGTGATTAAATTGGATTCTGTGACCAAATTTGCCAGAGGTCACAGCAGGGGTATTGTGTCTTGTCAACTTTAAGGCGGGCAGTCGGCGATGATAGGATGAAAGTTACTAATTTTGTCTGGTCTGTCCTTCTTTCAAAGGATGCTCACGTGACAGTTACGGACTTAATTGTAACGAGACCTGCAGGTGTAATACAACCAACACCAAAGTATGCAGTCCAGATAACGGTTACTGTGAATGTAAGGTTGGCTATAGAGGACAGCACTGTGATGAATGTAAGTACTGGGTCTTTACAGTCTACGTGATAAAAAAAAACAGATTAAAGTCCAGAGCTTTCTGTGTTGCGGAAAATCTGCAAAAATCACAGATTTTGGGGTAGAAATCGGAAAGGGCAATTCTCAGTAAAAAACTTAATTAATCAAATAAATATGAACCCGACTTAGGAATGACAAGTCATTTCAGTGTTTAACTCACTTTGAAAGTAACATTTGGTAGCATTTCCCCTCCTGTTTTTCCTTTGCGATATCGCAGAAATCGGTATTGATTTCCTCCGGCTCTCCACCGCGGAAATCACACTGGTCCCCGTTCCCTACATAGTGCCAAGACATCTCACGGCTTATGAGTAAATCAATAGGGACAGGGACCAGACCAAGATTACAGTGACATGGTGGTGTAGGCCCTACATGTATCATTATGCCAAAGATACCTGTCTAGATTTTCAGTAAATGTAGGCCTACAGTACGTATGTACAGTACATGTCGCATACATGTAGCATTGTATGAAAATTTAGAAAGCAGAATTTGACTTTCAGAAAGCAGAAAATTCTGGACTTTAAACTAGATCTTATGAGTGATAGAAAAATGTTGTACAAAAAAAAGAAGGGATGTGACATTGTGTTTCATGACTGAAATAGTATTGCAAAAGGGCAATTGTAAGCCACAAACTCTTCTGGAAGAAAATTTCTCGTACTGAAAATTGCATCCATTACAGAAAAAAGTTAGAGAATGGTGTCCAGTTAGTGAAAGGCACAAGCCAATATTAAAGTGTCATGCCAATAGATTGCGTGGTATACTGTGTTACATATTACAAATGAATTGGCTTTCAAAAATGGTTACCGATGTTCAAAGTTTTTATTTGAAGTTTTTTTTTGACCAAATTCGATCAGAATACACGTAACACCCAAATATTACCGAGACCTTTGAGGGTGCTACATTCCAAAGTTAACAATCCCCCCCCCCCATTTGGCAGCTATCTGTCAGCACAGGCTAGGTTCGATCAGCATTCATTTGTTGTGCATTGGTCAATTTTTCCCTGGTAAACCTAGGTACCAGGCAGAGTGGACTGCCAATCGAACCCGGCCATAATCATTCAAACATTGTCTGTCATTTCCCCTTGACTCTTGATGAAACAGTCTGCAGCCAGGGGCAGTACGGAATGGCCTGCCAGCTCAACTGTGACTGTCACAACGGTGCGTCCTGCAGCCCCTTTGATGGACAATGCCAGTGTGGGCCGGGATGGCTGGGTACCAAGTGCACAGAAAGTGAGTCATCATCCTCAACGAGATATCAGTTCATTTGGCTCATTTCGTTTTGTTTTGAAATGAGTTGCTCGTTGTGTCTTATGGGTCTAAGGAGTAAAACAAAAGACCAGTGTTTTTGTCAAGTACTTTTCCAATCCCAAATTCACTGCCAAATATTGAAGTGAAAGAAACTATATAGGGAAACTGACTAGGTGCTTATAAATGATTATAAAGATGAACAAAGAAATTGACTGGAGCAGATTTGAACCTGCGACCTCTGGAACAACGTACCAGTGCTCTACCAACTGACTTTTCCAAGCCCTACTTTGGTGGCTCTTCCCATTTGTCAATATCTTTGTTCGGGGGTGCTAGCCAAAAGCCATTAAACCTGAAACACCATGTAGCCAGGGATCACTCCCCAGTAACACGATACAACCTGGGAAGTAGGGCTGGATAGCTCAGTTGGTAGAGCACTGGTACAGCGTTCCAGAGGTCACAGTTTCAAATCCCACTCCAGTCAAGTTCTGTGTTCATCTTTATGTAAATATTGAAGTGGGTTATGTGTGACCAAAACTAGAGAACGTAGACAACTTTTATTGTTGGTCTGAAATTGTCCTTTTGTTTATTTAGTTTAATCTTTGTACATGTACCACTGAGTGCCCAGCTCTTCAGCTCTCTTGCCTCATAATCACTTAAATACTTCACGGTGAAGTTGGCTCTAGATTACAACATTGAAAAAGACAGTCAATGTTGCACAATACACATCAGAGTTAGTAGCCATGCTGAGTAAAAGCGTAGATTGACTCGAGATGAATTCATGTGATGCTTTTAGGAGCCAGGGCCCACCAGGTTTGAGACCCATGCGAGTTTCGTTCTCTTTGTCGCATTTTGCATTTGCTGAAATCTCTATTCCCAGGATGTCCGTTAGGACAGTTTGGAGTGGACTGCCTGCAAGCGTGTACCTGCCAGTTGGGGGCACCCTGTGATCATGTGACTGGAGCCTGTGAATGTCCTGCTGGGTATGGAGGTGCCAGCTGTGAGAAAAGTGAGGAGACTGTTCACATGTACCTTTAAGTCCTGACATTGGAGATCATATTGTAGGCTTATGATCACTTTTCTTAACGGCGTGTTAGCCATAATATCCATATCTCCTCATGTATTAGATTGATGTAGTGCTGATAAACAAGTTTCTTTTGTAATGTGGCCCATACGATTTCTAACCTGATAACACCTTCGTTTATTTTTTCACAAAGTTCTAATGGAAATATTGTAATATGCTTCTCAAAATATTATCACTCCCTTCAAATTAAAGCCCATTTTAACCCCATGTTGTACTAACCACCTTCCTATGTTCTGCTTGCATGATAATGAATACATGTTTTCATTCCTGAGCGCAGTGTGACGTAACCTGATCTTTAAAAAATTAATTGACATCAGTTGCCGTTAATTTTTTTCTAACAGCATGCAGCGCAGGTTATTATGGAAAGAATTGCTTCCAGAAATGCAGCTGCGCTAACGAAAACTTTGCATGTGACAGCATCAATGGTTGTGTCTGCACCAATCCCAAAGAATATGGACCAGACTGTCTTAAAGGTGAGATCATGTACTTCTCTTGTCCTCGTGCAAGACAGTTAATCCAAGTATTTCCCCTAAGTGCTGTGAGAAAGAGCAGCTATGCATAAAATAGGCGAACGGTAAGGCTCAGTTTTTCCCCTCTCTGCCCACTTTTAATTCTGACTGGGTGATTCTCCTGAAAAAGTCCTCGGAAAACTGAAGGGAGGTTTCGAAGAATTTTGGTTTGAGAAGGGTCAGAGCTGAGCCACTGTAGAACTTATTCACAAGGAAGCCATTTGCAATCGTGTTCTCTGAATCCTCGTTGTGTATCATCTATTGAACGGGATGGTGCCAGACTATTTTGCGTTCCAAGCCTCACTTATTAAAACATTATTAATATATGCCTAATCACAAAATTTGAATTATTAATCAGAGTAGACCGATGGTAATTTGTAACAAACTTTAATTTCATTGCTTTCATTTCTACTCTCATGATGACTTAACCTTGCTTTCAAGTCAGTGTGGCTGACTAGAATGAAGTCTTATGGCCGTGTCAAAATTACTTGGGCTGTGGCTTGAATTGACAATTGATTCTATTGGTAGTGACTGCGGACCTTATCATAGACTTTTGTGTAATTCTAAGCCCAAACTAAGTACTTTGGACAAGGCCTATACAGTGGAACACTGCTATAATGAACATGACGGGGGCCACACTAAATATTCGGTACAGTGGTCGTTCAGTATTAATTATTATTAATTAACTGCTGAAAGTTTCGTTGCCATGTTGAATAGTGCCCTCTCTTGTGTAACTAAAGTGCAACCTCTTGTGATGCTATGATTCGATATTTTCGTGATGTTTTGCCGCTGCATTCACATTTGAGATATCTAGAAATGTATCTGTTAATTATTTTTGATTTTTATTAAATCTCGAGTTACATAATTGATATTTAGTTTATCCTAAAATTTGTGAAGCTACCACTCAGGATTGATATCTGATGCATGCTGTGGCGAATCTCGGTTAATTTGCAACTGCATAATGTTCGGTAGGTTTTGTGCACAAGATATTGGGAGCCAAGAATGATGTTCGGTACAGCCGAATGTTCGGTATAGCGGTGCTCGACTGTAACTGCATAAGAGGCAGGCAATACCTTGAGTAGTGGCATTTGGAGGATTCAGGAGGATTCTTTCATGCTTGAAAATGCACAGAAATTTAGCTCCAATACGAATTCAAATCCTTAGCAGCAGAGTCCATCTACTCGGAGGTATTCATTTATGTATTCACACTGTTATACAGTTGAAAGCAACTTGAGTGTTGCCGTGCCAGGAAGAAACAGTTAGTTTTCTGTGAATGCCACAAAGTTACAGGGGGGACCAACATGGCTCGGGGCACAAATTCCACTGGGTCATAGATGGCAAACAGTAGTACACAAAATTAGGCCCAAAAAGTGGTTTGGCACAACTAGCACAGCCAACTTTGATCAGATGTACTTAACAAGGTCACACATGTGAGAACACACTCTCATAGTTCAGGTGCCAGACGAATTCAGCATAAAGGCCGCAGCAGAAACACCAACAGGATTTTACTTTGGGCACTTCAATATTTACCTCTGCATTTGTTTCAGACATTCTGCCGGACCACAGTTGCTTTTGATCAAATAAATGCCCAAAGTGGTCAAAAACGGCAGTTGTCGGACCAAAATTTCATGTTCTGAAAAAGTGTTAATAACCAGTGATGTTCCGGTATTTTGTTAAAGCTGGGGGAAAAGGCGGTCATACAGACAACAGCGATGGCCAAGGCGGGGGCCTCTATGCGGGCATCGCCGGGGGCGTCCTCTGTCTCATTGCTCTCATTCTCCTCCTGCTTCTCTTCCTGAGGAGACGGAGAAAGAACAAGGAGAAGTACGAGGGACCGGGCGTTGTGTGAGTCTCAAAGTTGACTTACTTAAGTTGTTATTTTTTAAATATCAAATTGTTTTCTTCCTTTGAGGGGCAACTATGAAAACTTGGAATTGAATGTTAGGTGTATTATCAATTTTAACCACAAATTTTTGATATTGTTCCTTTTGTTTTAGAATGATGTAAATAGTAAAGAATAAATTCAGCTGAAACCGACCTCCCAGTTTATCATGGAATACCCTTTCCACAGGCCCAGATGATGGCATTTCCTTGTTCATAGTTATCTTGCATATTATAAGGCTTACAGCTATTACAAAAGTGCTTATTGCTTGGGTTCCATTGCCCAGCATCAAAGCGGCTTCTATTGTCATTTAATTATGTCTGATATTGGATTATTTTTTAATGTAACTTAGGCATTTTTATTGTGCAAGAACTCCCAACTAACTGTCCTTTCCTTCTTTGCAATGCTTTCACTGTGTGACTTTGTCCTTTGGCTCGACCCGGGGGTAACAGCTTCACCAGGGATGCAGGCAGCAGCAACTCCACGCCCAACCATGCCCGCATCCTCCCCAACGGCACGATGGGGGCGTCCAACGACCTCAAGCTGCAAAACAACTCACTGTTCGGGGCCCCCGTCAAGAATGTGGAGCCTGAGGGCGCGTGCGCAGCCGCCATGGCCCTCGAGAGCAAGGGTTTGTCTTTCTGTTTACTACTTTCTGTTTATCCTGCACTCCCTACCTATTTGCCAGCTGGTAAGCCCATGACCCCTGACCTTTGAGCGACTCCATCCCTCTTTCACATCCTGTTTGCCTGACTCATTTAAAGAGTGCCTTCAAGTTGTAATCTTTGGATTTTTTCAACTGCCAAAGAGACTTTTGCATTTTTTATTTTAAATTTTGACCACATCCTTGGTTCATTTTTCTCTTTGATCTGTAAACCGTCCAAAACTCTCCATAACTTGAAGTAGCCCAGTGCAGTGGTTGCCAGGGCAGTATCAAATTCTGGAACCTTTGGGTGATTAGTACCGATGATTAGGCGAGTATTTGAAAACGCCTTTTCAATCACGAGTGCATTGCATTTGGCCAGATATGCACAGCACACTTCCATAGACATACATCCTATATAAAGGCAATGGTTGCTGATATTGTGTTGTCCCATTCAGGATTTTATGATGTGTTAAAGCTCCCTGCACCCGCTGCTTGGCCATGATCAAGATCAATGGTCATTTTTATATTGACGCTCTGCACTTTGACCCTATTCTTTATATCGATTTCTTGGCAGAACTTTGGGCTCAAAGTTCAACTTGGCTTTGCCTGTTCCATAACTAAGTAGCTCTCTCATGGGCTTACTTGCTGGCATCTAGCTGATGCTTCTCTACACTGCTTGTGGTGCTTGCACTATTTCATCCTTCTAGGAACCAGCTTTAAGACATACATGTAGCTATGGCTCTCTGTGCACTATCCAAAGTTTTATGCACCGGCTGCCTATTTTTTCAGTGCAATATCCTTGTTTTCTTCTGAAAGGTTTCCTCTGTGCCAGGCAAAAATGAAGTTAGTGTCTTTTCCCATTTCAGTATTTTCCTGGTTGATCCTATTTGCCATGGACCAAACTGATTTCTTGCATCAGCCACTCAGTAAAAATCAAATCTAATTCCATTGAAGCTCAAAACTTAAGAGAAGATACTGAAGAATATTGTAGATTTTCAGATTCATAGTTTGCTTTGTTTACTGCGTGCATATTGTATTAGAAAGATATCAACCAAGATGTCAGAAAACTGAATAAACTCGTGTAGTTCATACTTTTCCTTCTGTGTAATTTGGCAGGTAACTCCCGTATTCCTGTAATGGGTTTTCCTCTCTCAGTTTAGGATCATTGCACTTGCTCTTATTGAATGCGTGATCATAACTTGCTTTCTGTCATATTATACATAACACTACTAACAAATACCCAGTTTTCTCATCAGAACAGATCAGCTTATGTACTGAAGTTGCAGATGGATTTTCCAAGTCCAAAGTCTTTCTTGATGAGATTATCTTTTTGAGATTGATGTTAAGTTTCCTTAATCACTTTACACAGTAAAATGAATCCATATCAGTTGAAAAAACGAAAGAAGAATTTGAATTCTTGTGCGCTCTACCTCAAGGAACTGTCAGGAATTCCCTCGAAGTGGCTTGACCCCCAAATAGGATTTAGAAGAAACTCTGACATAAAAAGGAAGTGGGTCTTACCAGTTACACATTTCAGTCCAAGTCCGATCTGGTATGATGTGTATGTGTTACGAATGTGAGGGCCAATTTGTCAGCTCGCGTTTAATACACTCATTTTGAGTCAAACCTGCCAGCTGAGAATGTTTGAATGCTTATGTTTCACGAGTCCAAATCACAAACTTCAAGAGTCTGAAGATGCTTAAAGAAGGGTTGTAATGGTATTCATCCAAAAAGTTCCAGGTGTTCCCTCCTGTTCGTCAATGAGCCTTTGTTCTGAGTTGACAGTCGTGCCCAAACTGACATATTTGGCCCATAAAATGTGCTACATGGCAGAAGATATTGTGACAGATTTTACATGCTGGAGTTGAATAGGATGGGAACCAGTGACAGGCAGTGTGCATATCACAATGCTTGACTGGTAACCTGATCTCGCTTTTATAGCAAACCTGGGCTGGACCCAAATTTCTCGGCTGTGGCTAGGGACAGCACATACACCTGTGAAAGCCACTGACTAGTAGCTGCTGCTACCTCCCATAGACACCTGTGATTGCCAGCCACAGCCAAGATATTTGGACACTGCCTTGTGTTACGCTCATAGCATTTATGTGCTCAGCTGCTCTATTACACTGGCCTCTTGGCAGACGCTGTAGTGCTTTAATCTGCTCTCTTTTCCTCCGTGGGTGAATGGTCATATTGTAATATACAGAAGCAGAAGTAGAGGCAACTAACCCTTACCAATACCGCATACTGCACAATCAAGAACCCAGCGAGGCGTACGGTGACGTCAATCGCTTTGATGGTCGGGTGCCTAACAAGTTAACCCATGGCAAGGGCAAAAGTAAGTGTAGATTTACCAGACAACTGATAAGTTGTAGTCAGGGAACTCATCAGTTGTAGTGGACATGTGATGTTTTTGGGTGGGGGGGAACAGGGAACCTTGTCAATTTCACTTCTGGATGTTTACAAATTTGAGAATGTTTACAACTTTTGTCAAATGGCAGTTTTTTGTGACAAATATACATAAATCACTTGCTTTAATGGCTTATTTTCCTCAGACTTGTATAATGTTTACCCAAATCTAAACCAAGGGTTTCAGAATCTAGCTCTTCAATTTTCACAGCTCTGATCCAGTATTGAGTAGTTATGGTTTTTCTTTGCTGTGCAAACTGTCACGTGTGAGTGACGTTGATTGTTCATGTGTTACACATCTGTTTGGTGAGCACAAAGTAGATCACATATTTTATGGTGGTTTTTTTTGCACTTTTCCCCCTCGCACTTTCAAATTTGCTAACCTCGGTTTCAATGTTGGTTGGCTTCTCTATCGTAAGATGTGGTTCACTTTTTTGGCACCACCAAATTTCGTCATGGGTAAAAAAAGCAAAAATCGTATAGCACCGCAAAGCGGGGCAAGATGGCGAACTTCACCGTAAATACATGTAAAACGCTGTAATCGCATAGGCACCATTTGAGCAAGCGATACGCCTGCGCAATGCACATTAATGCACTGGCGCAGGCGCTGCGGCAGCCACATGCACCTGGTGAGCCTGCGCCCAATCATAACTGTAAACTGCACAGGCGTGTCGCTTGCTCAAATGGCGCCCATGGTAATTACATCTTTTGGGCAGAGTTACCCATCTTGCGCCTTCGACGCTATACGATCTTTGGTAAAAAGCAGTCTTGACTTCTTCAATCCAATATGAAAATTTGATCCCTGTCCAGTCTTGTCTATAATCTGGGAATACAGCAAATTTCTTACTGGGGTCACTCTTGGATTTGGAGGTCCAAGTTTTCCAAAGTTTCGATTGGATGAAAATTTACAAACTTTTCCCAAACTGTTTTAAATGTTCATAACAGCTGTCCATAGGCATGAACCACATTATGAATGAATGTCACCTCAATGCAACCAATTTAATGTTGGAAAAATGAAATTTTTATGTTTCACAAATTCAAGCAAGTCTCTCCAAAGTTTGACATGGCGAATATCAAGCCAAAAATATTCACAGTTTGCCCAAATCCCGGGCATTGTGCCTAGAGCCAGGAAATATATCATGAACAGATTTAACCTTATTTCTCTTACGTTACATTGAGGACATGAATTTTTGGGTCGAATTTTCATTTGGGAACTCGTTAATAGACCATGATGGGAGTCATCCCTTTGTCCCTGAATTTTTTCCACACATCACAAGGAAAATCAAACTGTTCTGGTTGCAGGGATAGACAACGACGGCTTCTTGATCGAGAAGCCAGACCAACCGGAGACTGGCACTCCAGAGAATCCATATGCCGAAGTCAGCGAAATGATGTCCAGGAACCAGCCTGGAAACCGCCACACCTTTTCCAATTTCCCCAGTAACCCCGTCTTCTCCACTAGCAGAGGTAAGTGGTGTGCGGCGTTCGAGTCCAGCTGGTGGAATTGCAGGCCTTTCGCTCTTTATTTGGCAAAGCACAACCTCTCACGTCACCTGAATGCAGAGTATCAGAGGGACATATTTTGGGTTTTTTTTATTAGACTTGGTTGCCGAAGGTTCGGAGAGCCCAGATGGTCTTAAAAGTGCATTACAGACTTGTTTAGTAAGGGTAATAACGATGCCAGACCTTAAACAACCTAGTACTGCCTTTTTGTTGGAACAAAGAGTGTCTGTCTTTACCAACACATCCCACGGAATCCTGACATGCACTCTCTCAACCTGCTGTTTGACTGGCTGGAATTTCTGTTATTTTTTTTTATTTTAGGAGCAACTTTACCCATTCCTCCAAACTACGACCGACCCAGAGACCATGCTGACAGCTTTGATGCCATGGTTTCAAACTCCGACCAAGATCCTCTGAGCCACTACTACTCAACCACCATTAATGGCTAAAAAAAGTGGGCAGTCCTTTACAAATTTCCCCGAAAAATTGTTGGCTTTGTTGATTTTTTGTAAAGCCTCCCTGTGTCTTTCGTTATTGTTTTGTTTGTTTCTTTGACCACGAGTGTACAATTTTGTTGAATGTGTCACTGCTTGAGAAAAGCTGCATTTTTAATGACAGGAAGTGAAGAAGGGTTGTTGAGATTCAGAAATCAGCCCGGCAAACACGAGCCGCAAAACAGGATTCTGAAGGAGTTCCGTTTTCGAAACCCCTTTCTTGTTTTGACTTAACAGATTTGTGATTACAGTGGAACGCCGCTATAGCGAACACGACGAGGTCCACGCCAAATGTTCGGGACAGCGGTCATTCGGTACAGCGAAATTAATGTATCTGTTCATTATTTTTGTTTTTTAATAAATCTTGAGTTACAAAATTGATAATTAGTTTATCCTAAAATTTGTGAAGCTACCACTCAGGATTGATCTCTGATGCATGCTGTGGCGAATCTCGGTTGATTTGCTACTGCATAATGTTGGGAGCCAAGGACGATGTTTGTTACTGGCGAATGTTCGGTATCGCGGTGTTCCACTGTAAAGCGTAACAAAAGTTTGTCTTTGAATGAAAGGGACAGAATGACCGTTTGGATGCATGCCTGAAGAAAAAAGCTCTGCACAGTATTTTGAAGGCCTTTTGATGGCGTCCATTTGTAATGCGTATTTTGGGGCCAAAAAGTTTAATAATTAATAAAAATTTATAATAATAAAATTAATAAAAAGTATTCATACATACCTCAGAGAGTCTCCCCATTCCACAACATGCAACTTGACTGTGCATTAACATTTGATAGCCCACTGAGATGTGATAATGCCCGCTGTGTAAAACACACTGGTTCCTGGATACGAGACAGTTTTCTCGTTCCCTATTGGTCAAGAGTCCGTATGCAACACAGCACACAGAACGCTCCAGGCGTGCCCCAAGTCCATATACAAGGAGATTCTATTGGACAACTTGCAAAAGGGAAAATGAAAGTAAACTTTTGAAACAAAATCGTTGGAAACCCATCATAGATTGACATCTTTTGACTCTCTAACTACAAAGATATTTATGAATGGGAATTAATGTGTACATGGTCGGCTCAGTAGACTGAACGCCGATAATGCCCTCGCCGCGCATTTAATACCGGCCAAGCACGTATTTATTTCCTTAATAAAATGAATAAAGGGCATTACCTGAATATGCAATATGAGTCTGGTGCAAAACACAAGGGAAACATCGATCTAGCACATTGGCCAAAGAAATTGCAGGGAAGCTACTTAAAAGTTGTTCCTCTTTATATTCTTGTATCTGGCGCGTTCAGATCTCAGACAAATTCTGAAAACAGTGGTACTGGTAACCGCACGACTATGTGCCTTTTACACACTAGAGAGAGGTTGCCTGGTACTTGACAGATTAGCCATTCATATCATCTTGAAGTTGAAGAGAGTGCCAATGGGGAATGTGTGGCAAGTTGTGTTGAAGGGCATGGTAATTGGTGTAGTCATGGCATCCTATATAGGGTCAAATATTCTTAAATTTGGTTTAAAATAGTGTACATATATACATTGCAACCAACTTCTTTATCAGTACACACTGTTTGTAACTGTAGTCTGTTAAGAACAGTGAAGTCAAATTATTGAGTCAGAAAGTGTGCATTTGCAAGGAAATGGAAATTGGTTTGTTTTGCTTGTTGCTAAGGATGGAGAAAACTACAAACGTATAATTGATTTCAATTGATGTCATGACGATTTTATATTATCGGTGAAAACTTAAAACTTAAGCTTGAAGGAAAGGTGCCTCGCAGTGATAGAGTTTGTCGTTATTACTTTGGGACAATTTCTGACTTGCTTTCTACACATTAAACAAGAAGTTATCAGATCAAGCAAAGAGAGAGATCATTTCGATTTTGAGTATAGCATATTTAGAATCAACAGGAATAGTTTTTAATGAGAATGTCAGAGAAGGTCTGAGCCTAAGATAGGCTGTTGACTCTTGGCTGATTCTTGAAACATTACAAGTCTAGCTACGGACTCTCGCTCTGAACAAAGCTCTGGGCCAAGTGAAATACGAGCTCACCTGTGACAAAAGGTTAAAGGGTCAGTGCTGGAGTCAAATCAGTGAGCAGTTGTCTGAAAAGTCAAAGAAAACAGCATCCTTCAAGAACTCTTTAAAAATAACCAGAGGAAATGCCGTTTGATGTGTCCAAAGTATTGTTTTAAAATGTTATCTCTTAAATGTGCAAAGCCTTAAAATGTCCTCCCACCATAAATTAGATATGAAAAAAAATTCTTGTAAAGTATAGCTAAATTTTTATATTTTCTAAAAGTCATCGCCTTTTTGTAAGTGAAGGTCATCCAAATGAATTGTTGTCAATTGTAATTTCACCTTTCATTGTATTCACAAGTTAGCCCTAATAGACAAAATCAATCACTGCAATAAGTCCAAAGTTTTTTTGCATAATGTAAGGCTTTAAAATATAGAATTATGCAATTATAATGCAGAATCATCCTAGTCGTGGAGTCACTTCCAGTGTAACTAAAGACAAATTATGTATTGTCAATATTATGTAATCGGGATTTTACAGATTTTTCCAATTTGAGCAGAATAACTGATATCAGATATTTTGCTGGTAAAATTGTTAGTAAAATTCCGCCTTAGTTCCCCCTGAAGTTTTTCACAATCATTAAGCCTGATATCTTGCTGAACATTAAAATTCAGAACTTGTTTTTTATCGAAATTGATTAATGAACCCATTGGCATGACAACCAAACAGTTATCCTCTGCAACTTCCTTAGTGAAGCCTTTCACTGTGATTGAGTATCAGCATTTATATAAACAAAAGTGTACGTTGAAATTTTACAGAGTAATTGAAACAAGTTGATATACTGTATTTGTTTAAATTTGTTTACAGTGTACGTTCATCATGGGACTTGGGTTTCTTGTATGCTTTCAAAATTTTAAGCTACTTTAAGTGCTTTGACGTGTTTGCAACAGTAATATTATCCAGAGCTGGGCTCCTTTTGCGCCAAGTGTTGCCGGTATATATACCGTTTGTGCATCTATCCATTGGGGAAATATTTGGAGATGACATTGAAAACATTTTTTTCTGAGCAGAGTTCATCTGTGATTGGAATGGGGGAGAAGCTGTGATTTGTTCCCTGTTCATGTGTGGAGACGCCAGTCAATCTTTCCTCCCAACTCCGTGATTTTCCTCCCTCGCCTTCAAAACCGACATCTGTGGTCCCAACTAACAAAGTTAATTGCAAGTCACCAGAGCCATGTTGGAAAAAAATCTTGTACAGTGTCAGTCAATAAGAACCGTGAACATTTTCCACCAACGTAATGCCCACTTTCATCAGGATGCCAAGTTGAGGGGGCACGTCCCAACAAAGAGCTCAGTTTGCTCCTTCCGGTGCTCAAACGAACTTACCAAAACAAAGTGGCTTCGGCTCAACCCTGTTTTTCCCATCGTGATAAATTCTTCTTCACTGGATTGATTCATTCCTCCATGATTGATTGTGGCTCAGAAAAGCCAATCAAATCTTTCAATTTTTCAAGATCAACCCCCAAATGATCTTCCTGTTAGTGGGATTTGGTTCCACAGTAAGAAAAAAGTGCACTTAGATCTTGCTAAGTGTATCAGTCAAATTTCTCTGGGTTGATGGCAATACTCAGCTTGTTCTTTAAGCTTGTCTGTAAATACCACTAAGTATAAATGACCTGTTTACAGAGATGTTTTGTCAGCATTCTTTGATGTTTTGATAGGCCAGTGTATTGTTATTTTGGTTAGTGTATCTGCATAAATAGACATGTAAAAAAGAGCAATGTTCCACTTCCATATAATTTGGAAATCAGAATATTACGTATTCCCTGGGAATTCAGGTGACTTGGACTTCTTAGCTCCAGTATTATTTTTTATATGTGCAACAGTTATTATGCAAAAGTAATTTGTTTTGATTGCACTCTATTTGTGATTTTGCATCAAACTAAATGCTGATGGAGAAAAATTGCTTTTGGCTACTCTTGCAATCGGATTGCAATGGCATTTCATGTAATTTTTGTACTAGAAAATGAAAAAATCTTTATTTTTCGAGCGAATTTACGTTTTGTTGCAAGTATTTCAAGAGCTTCATGAAACAATTTCAAACCCTGTGTTAAAAATGCTTTCTTTTCGTTATTTTCAAGTTTGTGTATCCATTTGCTATGAATTTTCATTTTGTAATTGAATGATTGTACAGATAGATTTGTAGTCTTTGATTATTAAAATTCTTAAGTCTGAAATATCCCTTGCAGAATGCAAAATGTAAATAAATGCACATACAAGTATAATTCAAACAGTGTTACCAAAGTCCTGTCCACTTCACACAAAAAGCATCTTTTGAAACTGCTTCTCAAAATTGAAGCAAACCAGCTGGAACGTGTGGACCTTTTTTAACGCTCCTTTATGAAAGAAGACTTTTCCTTAGTCGTCTATTCTTCCAGCCGGAGCACAGGTTTTAGTCATGGTTGATGGGTTGCTGTGCCAAAACAGAGCCACATGTCACTTGTTTCTAAACTTTCAAGACATAGTTTAATAAGTAACATTTTTTGTATATTTTGGCTGCACTGCACAACTATTTCAAAGTCGCGAACACTATATAAACAAAAACCTTTACAAATAAACTTGTGCTTTGTATAGGCCCCGAGCTGGACCAAGAGAGGGCGCAATTTTCCTAGCAATGGTAGTAACAGCGTATCGCTGGTTCACGCACGACTAAGGACCGCAAACGTGGCCCGCCCGTCGCCTCTCGACAAACAAAATGAATACTCCCGACCAACATGGATCTTTTTAACCAATGAGGGGGTGCTTCTGCTCTCAGAGCCTTTCTGACGTTTCAAACATTCTTCTATTGGCTTCGACCCCCCCCCCGGTGCCATCGAATCACAGACTCGTCTAATAGATTCATGAAACCCCCTCCCGTATTAACATGTGGCCAACTGCTCGACACAAGGCCAGCATTTATTTTACTTGATTACAAACATAGCACGAACTTTGCAATTTTAAAGGATCGGAGGGCTGAAAGAAACCAAAAATTAAACGCTAAAGTTTTTTTCCTATTATTAACTTCTCCAGGGTCGGAAGGGGAAAATTGAATTTTGTCCATAATGTGTCCACTGTCGTGAAAAATAAAAACTGTTTCATTTTCCCCTAAAACTGCATCATTCGGAGTCAGCATGTTCATTCAAGATGCGGCTGCGTTGGAGAGCAGCATGGTTACGCAACTTACGGATACGTGCCGTGGGCGGGGCTTACTGGATCGGTCTATTTGAGCATGAAGGAAGGAAACACCATTTTTCCTCCATGATTTGAGACAAGAGTTTGGGATATTTTTCATTTGATTCCAAGAGTTAACTTTTAAAGGAAACATGTCATAAGTGTCTATTTGATTCACTTTTTATGCGTCTGTATACTCCTTTTCAATGTATGAAGACTATTTGAAATCCTTTTAGAGTTAATTAATGGCCATGGTTAAGTGGTAAAACCGACCAACTAGAGTTTACCGAATGAGGGCGGTAAATCGATCACCGTATACTAGTACAGTATAGGTTTTGAAGTGCAGAAACGCTGAAAATGGCCGTTGCAGTTATCAAGTAAGATGATCAAGAGCATTTTCGTTGTGGTTTTTAGTGAACAAAAACTTTACGTTTGGGTCAGTCTGTTGTATCAGTGAAATGCTAAATTTCTCCTCTTAGTGTTGGCAGAGATCATGTCGAAAATAATTCGAATTATTGCCGTGGAAGCAAGACAAATTATGTGTTCATTTTCATGTTCAGACGTACAGTGACGTAAACAGTCGCCCCGTTTCCACTTCGCCCCATCATTCGCCCCGCCGCCACTTGCTATAAGCTTTATTGAAAATACTGCATGGGTGATTTTGCACAATGGTAGAAAAGCATTGTGGGAAGGAAAATGGGGCAATGTTTGCTCCTTTTCCTTCCTACAATGCCTTTCTACCATTGTGCAAAATCATCCATAGGCAAGTTATTTAGCGCCAAGTCCACTTTGCCTCATGTCCGCTTTGCCCCAGCCATGCTTGAACGTGTTTGGAAACTGACACAAACAAGGCACATTTCTTGTTGCATGGATTAACACCATGTGACAATGGACATGATGGATTTGGTAATAAAATTGCAGGGCTCGCAGAATCGGTAGTCTGACATCCCGGGACAACCAGAATACATGTATTTTGTTGGGCAACCAAATGTTCCAGGCTGCCATCCAGACGGGCAAGCACCTGATTTTGTCAACACATTTTGTTGCCCGGCGTTTTGGACATTTCAGCACTGTGCACCGAAAAAAGATTGCAAAAAAAGACTGCAAAAAAAAATTGACATCCTAACCTTGATGTTGCACAACTGTACATGTTTGGGTAGGAGCACCATGGTACGTACGGTCGAATCGTGCACTGTGATACGTCTGGTCGAATCGTTGGCATGAACAACGCAGCCGCGTCTGTATTCAGTCGTTTTCCTTGTTTGGGATCACGAAAACGAGATTCAGTCATATTACAGCTCAATTATCATCAAATTCCAATGAAATGTATGTGTATATTTTCAAATTTTGAGCTTTAAATTTGTCTTACAAGGTCAACAAAAGTGACGACAACACTTTTCCTTGTTCTTGATGTGTTTTTTTTTACCTGCAAGGGGCCTGGGTAAGTTGGCCATAGGGGCTGGTGCCGTGTACGTGACTGTGGATCAAGGCATCTGGAGTGCGTCACCCGAGGGCACCAGCACTCTGCGCAACCTCACCGGTGCGTACAGCATCCCTAGCCGGGAGGATTATCTGCAGCAGGTAACCACGGCCAACAGTCAGGAGTTAACGGTTCAGAGTGTTGCAGTGACCTGTTGCTAACTGCGCAATGCCGCTTTGTTGTGATTTTGTGGAGCTGTTCAACCGATAAGCTATTTCTAGAAGTCTATTTCAGGGGCATGAAGCTGGAGACATTTGTTTTGGTGGTAAGGAGGGAACCCAGCCCTTGATTTCTGTTTGTTTTTTTTGTGCCCCATGATTTTTAGATGCCGTCAGCCAAAGGGATTGTGACACAGCTACAAGAAGGCTGGAACTCAGGTTGGTTTGACTGTGAGACTATCTGTGAGGTGTACATAATGGAGGAAGCACTAAAGGTCAAGGGTGGATCCAGCTCCAATGGTTTTCTTGGGGGGGGGGGACAAAACAAGTACGCAGCGTCCCCGGTGCACTTTTACATTAACTGATCGCACCAGTCACAACTAAGCAGCTGCTAAGAAAGAATATCCTCAATGAAATGACTCTGTCCATACAAAACAACATCCATACTTCAGCACTTTAATATGTTTACTTTTTATTGCTCCAAAAATCCTCACCAGTTTCTTTTTTTTTGTGGGGGGGGGCATGGCATGTGGCAGGCAAAATAAACCGTATTTGCTGTTGGCTTTGATGTCAATAACTGATGATAGGAGATCCTAGCCAACGAGACATGTTTCTGATCTAAACAACTCTCTTCAGAGCCACCTGTTCAACCATAGTCATATTTCCATACCATTCAGTGACAGACTTCATCAATACACTTCTGCCACTGCACAACAAAACTGGACCAACAAGTTCCTCTGCTCTCATTTGGTCGTCTTTTCATGGTCAAGTGACGGCCTAAATCAAACTGAATCAACAAAGATGAAGCCTGCATACATGTATTAACCCTAGCCCTCCAGGGTAGTTTGGCTAGGAACCCTGCCAGACACATCAGTCTGCCTCATTTGTCAAAGTGCCTGGTGTAACAAGATCCAACATGTCAATTCTCCCCATTGTCAAACAGCCTGAGAGTCTTTGGTTGTCCAAACTATACAGGGAACCGGACTAGGTACTTACAGATAATTATAAAGATGAACAAAGAATATGACCGGAGCGGGATTTGAACCTGCGACCTCTGGGATGCCGTACTGGTGCTCTACCAACTGAGCTATCCAGCCCTATGTTGGTGGCTCTTCCCATTTGTCAGTATCTTTCTTTGGGGGTGCTAGTCAGTAGTATTAATTAGTTTAATCTGTATCATTCTGTGTTAAATTTTGGTTGTGTCATGCATTTTGTGTGTCTTTTAGCAGATAATTTTAGAATGACATTGCTGGGGATTATCAATGCTGCATTCAATCCATGCTGCATTTACCAGATAAACTCTTGCTTGCATCCGATGAAGTGAACATTACACAGAAAGTTAGCACTGATTGTTTTGATCGCTCGTTTAGGTGTCAAGAGTACATTTGCATACGTAGCAGCTGCACCTGAGAAGGTTGGATATCTAGCCAGTTCAACCAGGAGCTGGTTTGTGGACTCAACTAGCGGAAGCGATAATTGATAAACCAAATGTGCATGAACATTTCAAGGCACCCTTGTAACAAAGGTGAGTTTGTAAATATCAAGGAATCAGAAAAAGAAACTTTTAAAACTCTTGATTCTGTTGTAGTTTGGGGTTTTTAACTCCTTTCAAAATTGGAATCGCATGTGCTGATTGGTCAAACCCATGTAAGTGTGGTTCCGAGGGAGGGCGCATGGCTGCAAAGGATGAACAATCTTGTTTGTCCAGACAACAGCGGGCTTGCCCAGTCAAACTGTACCAACAAGTGTTAAGGAAATCACCTGACAGCCAGTCCAGTGTCTGTATTGTAAAACTAACTGTGTAGGCCAATATGTTGCAGAGTGTGCTCATCTGTTTTTATGAAGGTTTATTCAATAAAGTTTCAAAATTAAATTTAGCTTCAACGTATGTTGTCAGTGTCTACTTTTCTGCAGGACATGCATTTGTTTAATTTGATGGAAGCTTTTTGGTTGGGTAAGGGTTCATGACATTACTAACTCTGTTTTCTTTACTCATTATTTGCAGATCTTCTTTGGTGTGAAGCTATGATTGCAACCACGTGTGTAGCCTAGAGTTTTGGTTTCCAAAATCACCCTCCTTACACCAGGATATTTTGAGTGGCCGTTGTTAAACTTTTGAAGAAAATAAGGGAGATTGCCACAACAACTACTTCAGAGTGGATGTTGCCAGCATTTACTGTGTAAATTGTTTAATTAGACTGACTGGATATTTTTTTTTGAGAGCTTTTGGTACTCAACTGTAGCATGATGTAAAATGTAAAGAGATGCCCCCAAAAACTACAAATCGAAAAATACGACAGATTCTTCCTAAAACACCTGTGCCGGAGGAGAAACCTTGCAAAAAAAGTCGTAATGCCAAAAATGAAAGTCATGTGTGCGAGACCTGTTCAAAGGAATACACGCGAGTGAGTCGGTACAGGGCCCACGTGAGGCTGCATACCGGAGAGCTGCCCTTTGCGTGCAGCTCTTGCGACAAGCGTTTTCGCTGCGCCGAGAGCCTGAATACCCACAAGGCGGTCCATTCCAACGAGAGGTCATTCGCGTGCGACCAGTGCAGCAGGAAGTACAAGACCTCGCACCAGCTGCGGAAGCATCAGCGCCTGGTGAGACTGGCTGTCTCCAGGGGTGAGCCCAATGACCACAGCCCAGTCAAGTGCAAGCTTTGCTCCTTCCGCATCATGTCAAAGAGCGAGGGGCGGCGGCACGCTCGCACACACCGCAAGAAGCAGCGCCCCTACGTCTGCAGCTTCTGCAAGGCGCGCTTCGGCCAGCTAGAGGAGCTGGGGAGGCATGAGCGAAAGCGGCAGTGCCTGGCCCCTGCTGATGGGGATGCACCTGCGGAAATCGAGGACTGCCGTAAATGCAGGAAGATCTTTGGAGGTGGCAGTAGCAGCAACACCGACCCACAGCAGCAGCTGAAGATGGCCTGCCGGCTACAGCACATCCACCAAATTCACAGCTACTCCAAAGCCCCACGCCACCAGACCTGCCACAGGTGCGGTGAGAAATTCACAAGCGGCCGGAGCCTGGGCAGGCACCTGGCCACACACTTTGAGATTGATCTGTACAGGTGCAACTCCTGTCATACAGAGTTTAAAGACAAGGCAAGCTACAAAGAACATGACTGTTCAAAAATGCCAAACGCTTGTGGAAAACCTATCCTGGTGGTGAAGTTTTTGCCTCATGTTGCAGTTCGGGAACCTGATGTCTTCCTGCCAACATCAATTCTTGAAAGTGAACAAGGAGCCATTAACTCTCAAATCAGCCAGACTTTTGATCTGATGACATCCTGAATGAAATGTTGAACTCTCAAACAGTAATGAGGACTGTTTATAGAACATAACAAGCTTCATGAACATTGGCTTTACTAGTTTTTCTAAAAATGATACAATGTTACTTTAGTTTAAACAGATTTACTCCGATTCTCTGAAGGATTTTTTTCAGCAGGGAAACCGGAATAATCCAAGTCCAACATTAAATAGGGACCCATTGACTGTGTCTTCGTCCTGCAACTTTCAAAGGCCATCTTACGCCAAGAAAATTAACACCTCAAATCCTTCAAAATCCTTCATGCTTGCTGGTGGATATTGGAATGAATAGGGCTCAGGTTGAAGTACACGCATTCTCAAATTGAACAAGTCGTAAGCCATGAGCATGTTCTTTGCAGCAAGCCAGTGGACATTTTGTGAAAGTTTTCAAATCATTTCTTCCTCATAAATGATCCTGTCAATATAGTCATTTTGATGTCGCCAGAAAGAGATAAGGCAGTCTACACATAAAAATGATGCATGTAAGATTTGCAAAATGTTACCCAAAACTCTAATACCTTTCAGTGTTCACTTCATCTTTGTTTTTATTGTCCACGCTTTGCTGTCCGGTTCTCCTGTGTACGGTAGTTTTGCAGTAACTGTTGATTCTGGAATGATTTGTAAAAAAATTACAAAGGTATAAGGTTGTTGAATTCTGTTTTTGTTCAGCAATAATTTGATTATAATACCCACGCACATTCAATGTGTGAAAGACTTCAGGACTGTATTAGTTGAAACCCCAGCAATAGTCGAAAACAAAAAAGAAATTTCAACTTGTATTTTTGTCCAGTCTGTATAACAAATCGCAGACGAATCTTATCTGTCATGAGGATCAGAGAAATTTGTCTCGTGTTACGTGAAAGGTGCAGATGTAGCAGCGGGTACATCTCCCCGGCGCAAATCCATCCTTGAAATAGTTGTTCGCGGTACCCGCTGCTACATCTGATTCGAACCGGCCAGACGACACCGACAAGCTCGGTGGTCGAGTGGTTAAGACTAGTTGGCAGGAGGTCGTGGGTTCGAGTTCCACCCAAGTACGCTTATGTTTTTTTCACAAGCCCTCGGGGGCATACACAGTGTTAAAATACACGTCGGGCAGGGCAAAAAATCCAAAGGTGACAATTTTCATCCCTTTTTCTCTTCGAAACTGAAATTTTTCGGGGTTGGACCATCAGCTTTACGATCTGTATGTGTTTCTTTTTAATACGTGTGTACAGGTTATTTAGGGGAAAAATTATGGTTGTCTTTTGGTCAAAGCTAGAATAAAAACATACCGCAGTTGTTCAAGCATTGTGCATTTCATACAGAAATAAACTGAAAGGAATATTCTGCGTTTACGACAGATCCTAACGTTTAATCTAGCCTTTGCTGACAAGAACTGGTCACGCGGCAGGTCAACTTGACTGAATCTAGAAGAACCCATCGACTGCAGTAGGTAAATATTTGTAACGTGCAATCTCGTTTTCACGTAGAAATATGCGCGAAGTGCGTAGCAACGACACCACCGGAAGTGACAGGTCGTTACAGAAATGCGTTTTACCCATCTTCAGGTGACTTGTCCAAAATATTACTTGAAGAACACAGTTAAAATTCCGACACGAGTGTTTCTTAGGGGTGGTTTCAGTGTGAAATCATTCTTCCCAAAATTATCAAACGTGATAGAAACTGCCCCAAATGAAATCCCCTAGGCGGACTACACGGAGTTTAGGGAAGCTTGCTGCATGATCTTTTATTTGTAGGCTCTAAACTATACTCCGCAATCAGTAAACAAATTTACAAGCCTGTGTAGAGCTCGGGTTTAACTCTCAGCAGTATACATGCAAAGTTACTTTTCCAGTAAGGTGCGCGAACATTAATTCTTGAGAAACGGTCTTTACGTTCAGGTTCTATTCATAGGAAGTTGCTGATTGCCGCCTTTCCCTACTTAAAAGTAAAACTCTTGCGTTAAAATGTCGCTTTCCTTTACTTAGATGTAGCCATTTAAATGACACAAAATAATCATTCGGCGATATTTCTTTGTTTGAATAGAAAAAAGAAAGAACTGATGCCTGAATCCCAAGTTACAATTTTACCCCTAGGACTGGGATGCATCAAGGTACCAGGAACCCCTCCTTTGGAACCAAATTAGACCAACAACTAATTAAAAAAAGTCTACACAATGTGGCGGCTCATGACAATCACAAGTTAGGGCAACATTTCTGTATAACACTCGGGCTCACAATATTGCTGTACATGTATATGAGAAGAGTTGTATTTTGACTACCGGGTAGTAAACGCCGGTTGCAGTCCTGTTGTTGTAACCCGGTATCGGGCGTGTGTAAGATAAGAACGCATCCGAACGCCATCGCCCCTATGTTTTGAATAATTATCCACCAGAGCAACCCCCATAAGCCACGCGGAGGAAACAGCCTCGATGAGAAAGAAATGGCCCTTGATGCGATCCCAGACGATTTGGAAATAATTAAGCACTTAAGCACTAATTAAGCATGATGAACAGTGGGCTTTCCTCAAAGTGACGGAAAAACGGGCCTGATAGGCGAGGGCGAGTAGATGCCAACTGCCTCAACGCTGTGACGTGACAAATGTCAGTGTACTCTGATTGCAGAAGATGAACCAGTTGGGGGGGGGGCGCTGATTGATCTTCGATTTCTGCAAAAAAAGCACCACAGTAAGAGTGCCCCTCGTTATCAGAGCGTGAAAACTGCACACCCTGAAAATCATCGCGCTCAGGAAAACAGCTTTAAATAGGATCGCTTCAAAAGTCGAAGAGCATACTCTCGGAAGAGCGTAGATCGTGTGCCCTAAAGAGTGGCAGGGAAATAGGCAACTGAGTATCTTTACATGGACAGAGCCGTTGAGCGCCCTCTAACATTTTTGCCACGACAAATTGTTGGGTATACAGAGAGCAAAAATAAAGCTGTTGTCATTCTCCGAATGGCTGCGACAAAATGGTCTTACCCCGTATTTTTTCTTAGCGCGAATTCAATAACAGCTGATTGGATAGAAGTCATCCCAGGGCATTTCAACAGGCCTGGGACTTTTATTCTTGAATAACTATCCAATATACCCTCCTTTTGCTTGTAATAATTGCTGACCCAAGTTGTTCGAAGGATTGGACAATCAACGAGTGCGAAAGACAGCAAACTATGAAGTTGCTGTTGTGCTGAGTGTAATGCCTTTTACCCTGCATGAGGGTAAAAGGGGTACATATAATGTCAATAGTTGTGAACTATTAGGATGATAAATTATCTCTATATGAATTTATTAACGGCGGTGGGTCGTGGAAGTGTTGGGTTAATATGCGCTTAAATTCAACCGAGCCGCGCCTTGCTGCCGCAACTTTGTCAAAGTGACCGACAATGCCTGCATCTGAAAAAAAGGTTTCTTTAGGGCAATCCAATCGCACAATCAGAACAAAATCATCCATTAACGATTTAAGACAGCCGCACACAAAACATTGCAATGATAAACAGGGATTTTCATAAGCATAAGCAGATTCAGTATTAAACCCTGTCCCTCCAGCAGGGTTACATTTTGTGGTGACTGAGTGATGCCCAACACGTACTCAAACAAACCATATACCGCATCTAAATTGAACACTTAAAGTTTGAAAGAGATTGACTATTAACGACAACGAAAACGCCACTATGATTTAAGATCTCTTGTGCTTCGATAATCGTAACTAACTGGTAAAAGCCAGTAAAATCAACTTACAGGAATGGTGAGATTGGAGAGTTGAATGCCTGTTGACGAAATAGAATACCTATAACACGCACCCAACAACGGGCTACGACGACAACAACAAAACAAAAAACACGACAGTTGTGAGAAAGAAATCCCGGTATAACAAGGTGGAAATCATGCATGAATTTGAACGCGTGTGATTAAAAAAAGATTTTTTTTTATTTTGCTGAAACTGGCTGGGAAAACCTATTATATTACCTACCGTTAACCGGCGTTTATACATCGAACATCCTCACAACACGGTACCTTTCCCTCGTAATTTTCCTTCATAATTTTCACACCAATGCAAACACAGTTCCGGAGGCGTAACTAGGGCAAAATGTCAAGTCCGGGGGCACCCGGGGGTGGACACATTTTTTCTTCAAGGGGGCACCACAAGAAAATAAGTCGGAGCTGCATTGTTATTATAAACTCGACAGAGCTTAATCACGGATTTCAAATAGGGGAGGGGGCACCCGGGGAGGGTCACGGGCATCCGCTGAGGGCTAGTGCCCCTGGCCCCCGTAGTTATACGTCACTGCACAGTGCATGTGCGTATTAAGTTAGAGGGGCGTATAGTAGGATAGGCTGTGCCGAATATCAGAATATCCAATTATTCGATCGATTATCGAACTTCTTGAATGTTATTTTCAGAATTAGAATATTCAAATGTGAAATTAACAAAAAGAAAGGAAGAATGTTCTTGCTTTAAATGAAAAAAATCGCACAATGGAGGCTTGTTTTAAGCAGATTGAACGGAAAAACAACAGAATAATACATCCTACGATTCAAACAGTAAATTCATTAAAAAATTAAAAGGAATAAAAACTTAAAGTTTCAACACGGCAAGAAGTGCTGTTTTTCTCTTCATCTTGCTTACTCGTGTCTGGAGATAGTCCTAGATGTGGGAAGACGTTGATTGTAATGTACAATTGAGTGTATTTTTTTCAACTGATTTTTTTAAATGGTTTGTCGGTGCGACCGAATATCGAATTGAAGGTTGAATATTATACTGGAAGTGACTCAGCCCTACAGTAGGGAAATGGGTCTTCAAAGGCGGCATTTTGCGTGTTCGTGTTTCGTGAACGGCCCTTTAGGCACTGCTTGCGATCGGCAGGGCAGTTTTTCATTTTCTTGTCCACTGAAACGTGTCCTTCACCTTTTCAGGGTCCGAAGGTGGATAACCTCTCCATCCCCGTCTATTTCTCACCATTCCTATAATTTTTCGTGCCGATGGATGACTCAGATAGGCCAGTATTCTTTGGCAAGTTTTGTCACACCTACAGTGCACTGTTCCCGTACCGTTCCCGCAAAATGAACGTTAAAGAAACGTTCACTTCGAGCAATCAGACACAAACTTTTTAAATGCGCATCAAGCCACCCAACCGCCGGGCGGGAGGCGAGGAGGGAACTGTCATGTTGTTTGTTGATGTTTATCGCGCGTGGTGATGGGAGGGACATGAGACACTGTACATGTACATGAACATTACCTGTCGCGAGGCGCGGACTGCATGTGCCCCGACAGGAAATTTCGGATCCAGCGTAGCGCGAAAGCTTGACGACGTGCGTTAAAGGGGAATACCACTGACCATAATCGCTCGACATCGGGCGTGGTCGCTTACCATGCAGTACATGCGGGGAGAAGTCCTGATCAAAACAAATCATGCATTGTAGTATCAACGTGCAAAAAGGCTAGAATTAGATCAGTGGTCATGGAGGAATGCGTTCTTATATTACCCAGATTGAGGTTCTTACGTATTAAAAGTCAACACAGGTTAAGCAACTTTGTCTTGTTAAAGGTTGTCGCATAATGAAGACCATGAAAAGATACATACAATGATCTTGACTTTCAACACCCTGACGCTACGTCCCAAATTTCTGGTCGATATTTTTCAATGGTTTTCTCGCGTTGCTTTAGCTTAGCAGTGACCTGAATAGAAAGATACTTTGCGGGGACAGGGACCGTTGGGAGGGTGGGACCCAGTTAACCATCACATGTAGGTGTGTCTACACCAGACATTGTGGCTGCGGCTTTGTTTTCAAGTATTGAAAGAACCCACAGTGCGTAGCCGTAGTCTTGGACAGTGTTGCGACAAGGCCTCGCGTTCTTGTAAAAGGTATCCGAACAAAGTGGACCTGCAATTCAACTGGTACCCATTCAAAGGAACGTAAACACAACAGATCGCTAGTGGTGGTGAGGGAGCAGTGAATTGAAGTCAACATTACTCCACACCCATAGGCCTTGTAGTACAGTAGTAGTTTTCCGCTCTGAGTGTATTCGGAGTGCTCGTGATGGAAGTACATGGGGAAATTGTTACTTTTTGCCAAAGAGTGGGCCAGTCTTCTGTTCAGATGCAGGCTGTATGGTGATTGTGTTTTAGTGGGAAATTATAAATGACTGAAGCTGAAGGGAAACCACCTCAGGTAAGCAAACTATTAGACTACATGATATATGAATATGATGAAGGTGTATGTAACGATAAACGCGTTAACTATGTTAAACCATGGAGGTAAACGTTCTGTGCATGTCATGCATGTGTACATGTAGGCCTAGTGCAAGGCATGAACACGACGAAGACGTACAGTACATGTACATGTCGATCGTGCACTGCCCCAACGTCACGAAGTTTGATTATTTTCCGTTGCGCAACAATTTGTGCCAAAGCTACTAGGACTAATATAGAACACACCAGAGAGCCTGCTCTGTTGTCGTGGGCATATAGGCTGTAGTACTGATCGGCCTGATGACCTGTAATTTAAAGCTGAGTTTCCTGAGGCCTACCTCAAACAGTATTCATCATGACTTCATGTTCCTTATCATTAGCATTGTGAGCACCCTGTTCCTGTGATAAGGAAACAAACTTTTAAGTCTACTTTTATGAAGCAACTCATTGAGATAAGTTGGTGATGCTTTCCTCTTTCAATTCAGAAAGATTATGTTAGTGAAGAGAGGACAGGGCTTTGATTTTTGAGGAAAATTATGTGGTAAAACAGCAGCATACATGATGTGGCAGAGCTTTCAATGAAGACGAATTAGGGAATGTCTGGTTCCTTGACCTGGATGAAGATATTTGACAAATGTTGATGGACTTATGTATATTCAAAATAGCCGTGTTGGGTAACCAGACATACATGTAGATGTGAAACAAAATGGTGTAATTCGACTGAGCGGTTGTTGTTCACCAAGTGCGGTTGAGAAATTGTTGGGATTTTGCTTAAATACCGTCAAAATTTACTAAAACTAGAGCTACATGTATTAGGATTAGGATTGCCTTTTAATTTCTGCATAAAATTCCACCCCTGTTTATGTGTGCCACAGACTTTCCCAGGCATCAATTCAAAATTTATCATGTCTGTCGTGTGTACGTGTATTACTGTATTTGAGTAATTTCAAGTTGTTTAAGTTGATGCAGCAACGAAAACCAGTCGTGCTATTTAGCGTCAACAAACGTTAACACACACAAGTAGCATCAAGAAAGCGTTAACAACTTACCGGTACCGGTATTTCAGGTACTTTTTATTATGTATTTATTTATTTTCTTTTGCGGATAAGCATCACACTTCATGATATCCACATTTGCACCCATGAAGCCACGTTGTAAGGAGTTATAATTGTTTAGGGTGAAAACAAGAAAATAAATCCGAGGGCACAAAATAAAATGCGTACTGGTGGAAATATTGATCTACAGTGTCTACATATAAGCAAGAACAACTTAAATCATGTGTAAATAGAACAATCACGAGTACATGTATGTAAGTTACAAACTTTGCTGAGTCAAGTACAGTCCTGTTTGACAGTTACATGTCTCTGTGCTCTCTGATAGTTTCCATCGAAGAAAGCTCATGTCCTTTAAAACTGGTATTATGTGCCTGCCGAAAGATCTGATACTGGGATATGTACATGTACATGTGCAGTAAAACATTCATCTTGCTGGCAGGATAAATCAATTAGGTTAATTACTGGTAATTATGGTATTGCATGAAATACTGTAACTTGGCCATTCAGAAATGTACTGGTATGTATGCGTACACATGTACACTGTACATTGCTTGTCATGTACTCGTACTGTATGTGTACATGTACGAGTACCGTAATGTACATTGTGCCCGGTGCATTTATCATGCGCATCTGTGAAGTTCACAGACCAGTGTCCCCAAATGGAGGGATGTATTAGCAATCACGGTATGCATACAGTGTACAGTACATGTTCAGTATTCCATGTTCCTGTACCGTTACATGTAATGTATGTTCATGTACATGTATCAGTTTTACAGTTTTTATGGATTCAGGGTGGTGCCAATACACCGAAGTCATTTTTTAATAAATCAAAGAATGTTAACCCCCCCCCTAGCCTGTATCACCAGATGCTTTTTTGCCGGAAACCTGTAGGCACATAATTGAGTTCTCTGAAATCCTCCCTAAAAATGTAGGAAACCATGTACATGTTGATCATGTGACATTATATGCACAGTACTGGGGATATTAGGGCTAAGTCAATTCGAATAATTCATTATTTGAAGATTTAGCCTTCAATTTGATCGAATGTCTGAATATTCAGTCGTACCGATTGGCAGATTGTTGATGAACAAACCATGATATCAGTTGCAATAATGCACACAATTGTAAAACTTCTCACATCTAGGAGTATGTGTATCTCCAGCCACAATTTAGCAAGATTTAAAGACGAACAGTATGCCTTGTCCTGTTGAAAATTTCTATTCCTTTAAAATTTTTCAATGAATAATTTACTCTTTGAATCATTGCAAGATTTCTGTGTCTTTTCATTTGAATTTGCTTGAAACAAGCCTCCATAGTGCTGCTTTTCTCACTTAAAACAAAAGAAAATTCTCCCTTCGTTTTCATGAATATTTTGCATTCGAATATTCAAATTCAGAAAATAATATTCAAATATTCTATACTCAATAAGCCACTTGCAAGTTAAATTTGAATAAAATCTAGTACACTTTTTTTTCTGATTGCACAGAAACGTAACAATTTGAATTCCCCAGACTAAAGACACTGTTGCTATACCTCGTGATTAGGGGCAAGCTTTTGCATAGCGACCACCATCTCTGGAATGGACTGGTTCCTTTGTGCCGTTCTTATCCATTGAGAACAGTGTATTGTTGCAAGACATCTCTTATGTAACTAAGCAAAAGCTTGCCCTGAATCATGAGGTAAAGCAACAGTGGTTTAGTATGGAGAATTCAAGTTGTTATGTTCTCGTGAATTCAAAGAACTCAGTGTACCAGATTTAATTCAAATTTAGCTCGCAAATTGCTTATTGATTATTCGGATATTCATCACAGCCCTAGGGGCTGTACATGTACATGTATGTGCCTCCAAGAGTTGGAAATGTACTTTTCAAACATTAATGATTGGTAACATTTTTTATTGGTGATTTATTCTTTACAAACAGCCGTTATAATTAATGCCTGTACCCTACTAGCATGTCGCATCGTAGGACATCTTCTGTTCCGAAGGTTCACGTTACTGTTTATTAACAGATTTATGATTAACTAAGAAGTGGAAGCTAAACTTAAGTTCTTGCTCAGCTGTCATGCTGAGGGTCATGGAAAGCTGGGCCATGTTTGCACAGCACGTATGACTAGTTACCTCCCCTCGGTGAGTGTTCTTTCCAATTGAATTGACGTCCACTGCAATTAAACTTTGGTCATGAATGTTTAAACTTTGACAAGTGGACCAGCAGTGAAAATGCTCTGGCCAGTTTTAGTCAGTTTTGATCAGAGTCTGTACCTCATTTGAAGGGCATTCATTCGCAAAAATCAGTTGTATGGAGGTCTAGTTTGTTTTTCCCAGAATTGACATGCAGATTTAGTACTTGAAAATTGTGTATTAAAGCCTCGGTGATCATTTGGTCAGCTGTAATGAGTGATGTGTGTGTTTTCCAGTAAAGTTTTCTTGTCTACGAGCAAGCATAAAGACATGTACCTGTACATGTACATGTTTTACATACAAAGTGTGGACATTCTTTTGTTCTCCTGTGGTTAAGGAAAGTTGAGGAAAATGTTCCTTTTTTTCAACTACTGTAAATAACTCCTTCGAGCTGGATTTTTGATGATGATGTCTTGGACTGTTCCTCTTCATTTTGCCACAGATAACCTCGACCCCAAAATGCTTCTGAAACTGTTTTTCAGAGAGGGGAATGCATTGTGTGGACGTGTGCGAGTCCACACAATGCCATCATACCCTACATTACGTGGACTTCTTTTGTGGAGAGGTCCACACTATGTATGCCACGCCTGTACATGTATGCATGTGTCAGGTGACCTACTTTGCAAGTTCGCATTCTTCTGAAAAATCTCGAAAACTCATAACAGTGTGAAGGGTATTCTTCGTCAGGATAGTTAATTGCAAAGTGAGCTTTCATTTCTCTCTCAAGTTCAGCAATCAGTTTGTTATGGCTATGAACCTACATGTACTGGTACATGTAAGGAAATCGTCATTATGAAAGATTGAAACTAACGAATTGATTTTGGGGTCTTTCAGGGGACGCTGCTGTCTGCTGAGGTGGAACCTTTTGTTCCAGGGCAGTCCAACTTTGCCAAGGCCGGAGGTACATGTACTGGTAGGCCCTCACCCACCAACGCTCAGCCTGGCCACACCCACGGCTCTGGACAGGTCTCAGCCGGGCATGCCCACCCAGGCTCCTTCAACCCTAAGACAGCAATGTCGGCGAGCCAGCAAAGCATTACCACCCCCAACGGATCCAGTTACACACTGACAGAACTACCACGCTACCTAACAAATTGCTATCCGTTTGTACAAGACAGGTAAGGTTTCTTTTGTCACTGTTTGTTGCAATGTCAGGATAGGCCAGCGTGTTGAGCCCTGCCCTATTATGCTCTGATCAATCACAGCCATGATTGATGTCCGATGTGCACGCACAAAAGCCCCGCATGCATGCACACGGGCATGGTGGGTGCGCCTGGAACATGCGGTACAGCATTGGAGAAGTGCATGTCTGAGGTTCCCATGTGTGAAGAGGGCAGGGTCACTGGATCATCTATTACTTGGTTGCTTCTTTGAAAAACAAATCCACTGTAAAAGTGAAGCTGTGTTCCCGCATGTATTTTCTTCTGTGTCATGTCAGTTCACCGTGTGCGCCACGTTAGACTATTACTATTATAACTACTGTGGAAAGTTTATTCGATGTGCGAAGTGACAGAAACGTCACACACCGCAGTCAGTGTGGAAATCACCGTTGACCTTTAGCGTAATATGACACTTAAACTTTGCCTGGAATAGAAACATTTGTGAAAAAGGATACCAGAACTCCACTTTTGGTTTGTCACCGATATTTAGAGGTGTAGAGGTTCTCTTCTCATTTGTGCTGACTGAATATCCTCCAATTGTCATCTCCCGTTAGATATTCTTTAGCATTTTCACTGACACCGTGACCAATGAGAAATATAATCAAATCTGCCCTGTTTGAACCGGTGAATGGATGACACGTGGTGAAATCACTGGGTACATATGTTCACTGTGCATATCGAATGCTCATATATCGTTGTGTTGGCGTGCTACATGTACCACATGTTCTCAAAGAAACAGGGAACCATGCCGCCGTGTTCATGCGCCCGCTACCAGTCTCAGTTTTTCATTTTTGGCAGGAGCATGGCTGTCAGTTTTCACCTTGGTTACTGTAATATGACAAGGTCGCACATCGTAGACAAATTCGGTGCACAAAGTGCTCTGAAATCATTAGCATTTTGTGTGGCATTTAAACAAAGTCACACTACCTGTCCTGCATGTTTCAAAAGTTTGCTCAGATTATAAATGGTCTGTGAATAAAAATAAAGTGAAACCTAATAGACCTAAATCCTCCAACCTGTTGAAGAATTTATAACGTAGGTCTGTGGGGGTTAACGATCTGAAATTGTCCGGCATATGACTGTTCCATGTACATGTACATGTATGTACCTCTAATGTCTGTACATTGTACAACGTGCACAAGTACCATAGATTTTTTGGTTTCAAAATTGTACTGAGAATAAAGCCTGGAGGAATACAAGATTGGACCTCCGACGTGCAAATGATTGAAATACCGGTAATTGCTGTGAACTTGAAGACCTCCCCAGGCTTGACCTTTTGGTTTGCCCTCAAAACTTTTCCTTCTGATTTTTTCCTCAGCCCGAATTCAGTGAATTACTGTTTATCAAAGCATTGCTTACACCTGGTTATGTCCAGTGTATACGTGTAAATTGACGTCTGTCTGTTTTTATGATTGACTCTGTGGTACAAAACACGTGGACAAAACCATTTTCTTGTCCCGTTATATTTTTAGGCACCTTCTAGTACATGTATGTACAGGGTAGTGTAAACTTGTGCATTGGCCATACATGTACATGTACATTGTATGTACATGTGTACATGTAATAGTTGTGCTGTTGAGGTACTGTACATCTACATACACGTAGGTACTGTACATACATGTATGTACTGTATGTACCATGAAAGACAGTTCATGTGCTCATACTGCTCATAGTGCTCAAGAGCTGTAAATGACAATTTCAACTTTTGTTAAGAGTGTAGCTCGAAATCAGAAAGAATCATAGTAAAAGCTCCCAAATCCTTGATTTATTGTGCTGGTGACATTTATACTGTGTACATTACATGTGCAGGTACATTGTATGCACCTGCACCGTGCAGTTTGTTTTCTTGTGCAACCGAGGTACCAGTACGTGCAATGGTACCTGTACCTACATGAACCTGGAAATGACAGGTCAGAGCGGTCCTGATCTGGCAAAGTTGATTCATCGTTTGTCGTAAACTTTTTTTTCTCCAGAAAACGTAAACGAATGCCAGAGAGTCATCTTAATTCTAAGAATAATGTACATGTACATGTACAGTATGCAAAAAGTGTTGGCATTTCTGTTTTCATTTCTGTCACGGAAAACTCCAGGAAAAGGACATTTGTTTCACATGATACTGACAGACCCCCTAAATGCTGTATGAATTTTATGACTTTGAGCTTTTACATTATGTATGGACCCGGTACATATACATGTACATGTATGTACATCCGTGCACCGGTACATGGGCCAACCCCTTTGCTGCGTTGTCGTGATGCTTCAATGCCAGACTTACATGTATAATGTACACCGTTCCATGCCGTGGGATGATCAATGGGATGTTTAACCTTGACACCTGCTTTACAACCTTTGGTATACAGTGAAAACGAAACCAAACATTTTGAGGTACCACCGGTATTGCACACACATGCAAAGTACATGTACGTGTACAGTATGAATGTACATTGTATGCACATAAGTGTTTGTGCATGTACAATTGATGCACATGTGGATGAATACATGTACTAGGGTGCATTTTGCCAAGTGGTACACGGACATAATGGCATATCTTGTGATTCATTGACTCGGCAATTTCTGTTGTCAGTCATGCAAGCAATGCTGGCTACAGAACCTGTACTGCACCGGTATGTATACATGTACATTCACATTATGAACCTGCACCGATATATGTACATAATCTGTATGTACATAATCTATACTGTACATGTATGTACATCATCCATGGTGGTTGATGTACGGTACTGGTAATATAGCCAATTTTAGCCCCTTGACGATGGCAATTTCTTTCTGAAAGCCGACTCCAAGAATTCCAGCCTCGCTTGGCCATGAAGGCCACCTGGCAAACTGCAAATTCTCGGTTTGTGGCCCTGCGTGCTGTGCACGCTTTGAATTACACAGTGAAAAGGCTCATTGTTCGGTGGCATGCGGCTCTACTCACGCTTCCACATTCCCGTTCCCTTTTTTCAAATTGGGGACTATTGTGAAGCTGGTGATTATGATGCAAATTTGGTCCTTTCATTTCTGGGCTACACACAAAGGCCAATCACCATATATACAAGAGCCAGGGTCTGCCTTCTTTCACCGTGTTCGCTCGAGTGTGGGCAGGCTGAGGATCTCAATTTTTACGGCGGCTCTAGCCGCTTCCCGGCGCGAAGGGGTTAAAGACAGTTATTTTGGCTCTACACCGTTTGGCAATACACCGTACCAGCATGTACATTTTTTTGTAGCCCTCATTTTGATAAAAATCTTTCCGACGTGTGTGCATTATTACAAAAGAATTTGTTTGAAGGAGAGTTTTGATGAAAAGGCATTGCACGCTCAAAACTTCCTGTCCGACTTACCGGTAATCCTAATGATGACCAAGTACATGTACAGTACGGTTTGCTTCATTCACTGGGTTGGAATTCTCTTGTTCTGTTGTTTGTCCACAGTATTACTGGCTCGGGACCCAAACCAGATGTGCGATGGTCAAGCTACCTGCCACACCAGCACCCGCCCCCCTCTCTCAGCTCGGCCCTCTCCTATCCTTCCCCTTCGGGCGACCCATACACCAGCCAGCAGTATCCCATGCAGGCTCACAATATGGTGATGCAGTATCCCCAGTCCTTCTTTTCCCACCCCGGGGGACCGCCCCAGCCGAGTCAGGGTCTCATGCCCGTGTCCCAGGGATCCTACCACACGGCGCAGCACTATCCTGGATATTACCCTAACTACCCCGCCGACGGGAGCCAGTTTCAGGTGGGGCCCTATCAAGGTGCCGGCTATGGCTCCTACATACAAAGGGAGCCGGTGCAGAGGCCCAGCAGGGTAAGGGTCTTGTTTTTTCCCTGGTTTGTTGCTGCAAAGCCTTTGTAATAACAACTTCCAATTGTTCTATGGATGTTTGTTTGTTCAATATCTCAGACATTAATCCACAACAAGTTTTGATGATGTTTTAGTCATTTGATGTTTGGGAGCTGCTATTGTGTATTCTGCTGCATCATTTTCTGGTGTCATACATGTGCATGTTACCGTGCAAGTGATAACCATTTTTACATTCAGTTTGTCATATACGTACTGTACGTGTAGTTGAAAGCACCTACATAAGCCTGATGTGTTTTCCAACTAAAGGTTTCTTCATTACTCTCAAAACCTTGTCAAAATCACTTTGGCACTTATTTTCTTTGTTTGTTTTTGAGAATTGGGTTTGCGGGTACACCATGGAGTCAGTCTCTTTTGGACGAGGTGTGGTTCTTAAAAGAACCGGTGAGTATAAGAACCACACGTCGTCCAAAAAAGATTGACTCCATGGTGTACCTGCAAACCCGTTTCTCATATTCCATCAATCATGCAAAGCTTCAAATCTTACTTTATTTTATTTGGCAACACCCATTCAGATTACAAATGATCGTACAAAAACACCTAAATTAACTCAAACAAAATAAAAAGAACTACATAAAAATCCAGGGCATTATCGAGGATAGCACGAAAAAGCTAGAAATAGCTTATTTCCATTGCCGTCCTTGCAACTATCAACCCTTGGTAATCCTCAACGTCCGTCTGATCCCAGAAGGAAGTAGTAAATGATTTTGCAAAATAAGGGGAGCACCAACACAGCCAATTCACAGTTTAATTGCCTGTAGGGAGTATTACAAGCATATAAAAGTTGAAATAATCTACTAGCACCTGTAGTTTCCTGCAGTGTCATATTCATGTCCATCACAAGACCCTTCACAAGGCCAGTCGTAAGTAACAGGGTGAACAATGACAAAATGATGCTTTGTCACAGCTCATTTGAATGACTTGTGAACTGGCTTAAAACTGAATGACTTGTGATGGACTCGAATACAACACTGGTGTCCTGTATAGGGGACGATTTGAAGAAGTTTGGGATTGCTAATGGAGTTAGAATGAAAACCTCAGGCATGCAGCTTTTCCACAAATCAGAGGATTGCTCCTTTTTTTGACTTACTTAAACTTAAACTTAAAAAGACTGTTCAAAAATCTCGTACAGCTTGACATATTGGTATCTTTCCCCTCCACTGAATTGCCCGTTGCATGCCTTCATCAACTATTTTCTGTTTTCCTCCCCTATTTTGGTTGGCAGTATTCCAGCAGTAGAGATCGCCAGTATTTAGGAGGCCACTCCACACGAGACCGGAGTTCATCATCCTCCAGCCTGGAAAGCAGGAGGTACACCAAGACCCTCGTCTGCGCGGATGTCGGCTGCCAAACAGGTGATCAGCACACATTCACCTCGTCTCAGGATTCTTGTTTTTGTTTTGACAGGATTGTCTAAGAATTAGGGGCATGATCTCTCAAGATACCGTACATGTACTTCCAAGTTTCAAGAGTTTTGGCCACACTCTGGACGTTTCTCCGTTTTTACTTTTTAAAAAAGGGAAACAAAATGAAACCCAAAAATGTGTGCAGATGTCACATAATCAGTCATTTAGAGGAGAACCCATTTTTTGTTTGCTAGATGAAGCCCCTTGAAAATCACAGTATTTTACTGGTGGGATTATCTCCCCGATTTTTTTCAGTAACACCGGGATGTAATACGCCAAATACAGCAGCAGGACTTGAGTTATGTTAAGTTTGAATATCCCTACCCTACTGAATGCTGCAGACTTATTTGAATGGTTAAAGTGTAGCTGCCGTGATTTTTTTCCTAGACACAACTTTTCTGCAACTTTGCACACTTCTTCAATGTGTGAAAAGTAATTGGTATCCCTTTTACATGGTACTGGTAGGTTAAACGCATGGAAAAGTGCACTTTTTAATGTGTTTTAAGCCATCCGTGTTTTGATGGACAACTGAGGGTGCTATTGCTGTGAGGCCATCCAGGGAAGGCATGATTTGGCATTTTTTTCTGTTAAAACTGTGAACCCAGATCTTACCCACGTTTCTGAGAAAGGTTGGCTTGCTTGCTTATTGCAATATTGCATGTACTTGTAGACCTGTACAGTCTGTGATTTGTCATTTGTACATTATGTTCCTCTGAGGTAGCAAACATGCTCAAAATGTAATGAAGGATGCCTAACAACTACATGTGTTGCCTGATGAAGTTTTAGCTCAGTGAATGCTGTATATGCCGAGCAAAACAATTTTAGGATCTCTGTTTCAAATCGAAAGTTGCGGAGTCATGGTTTGGGATTGTGCCCTAACTCAACGTTCGGGACATGCTCTCATTCAGCCGATTGCGGCTACACAATGCTGTGCACCGAACTGAAAAAATATTAGGAATCGCACGTACATGTACTTGTGCATTGTGGCAACAGTTGCGCATGAGTTGAAAACAGACTACATGTACATACAGCCTTTTCCAGAAATACTTCCTTAGACACATGGTTGGAAATGGCCTTTATCCATTGTTTCCTTCAAAATGGCAGCTTGGCAGAAAGAAAGTAATTTCACAAGGAAACTGTGGCCATCTTTTTGCATTTATGCTTTTCAACAATAATTTTGTCAGTTATTTTTTGGATAGCTGCAAATAATGGGCTGTACTTGTGCGCAACAATGAACCACCAAAGAAAAAAAAATTTAACATTGAAGTTTTGTTCCATGGATGACATCCCAGGTTTGCTCATGAATATAAAGTATCATTGGCATACAAACCAAAAAGGCAGCAAATTTGCCTTTAAAATGATGAAAATAACATTGAAAATGAGTTTAAATGACACAAAATTGCATTTTGGAGGTTTGTGTTTAAAAATCCCAATGCAGAGATTCTTTAATGCATGCAGGGAGGTCACTAGATTGATGATCAGTGAAGAATGTTTTTGATGCATTCCTCGGGGCAATCCCTCTCTGGCACTGCCAATTTGAGTTTGGGTTTTTGGTTTTTCTTCTTGGTGAAGATTTCCCTGATGAAATAGCCAACAAAACACTGGCTGAGAAGCCGAGCTTGCTGAGGCGGCATAAGTCCAAGCCCCGTCGTCGCTCACAGGGGAACCAGACCGGCCAGGAAACTTCCACCTCGACTGACTCAGAGACGGAACGCGGGACTGTGGATAGTGACAGTGGCTACTACAGCCCCAAGCATGGCAAGACCAACCACGCCTCTGTAGGAATGGCCACTCACGATACGGGCACTGGCCCCACTGCCGTCAAGGCGCAGGGCTACCAGCAATATACCGGGGCCGTTGTTGGCACGGTACCACGGCATGTCACCCAGCAATCAGGGAGCCCGTCGGCCGTCTACAGCATGCAGAACTCTATGCAAGCCATGATGCCCCAGATGGTACCTACCGCTAGCAACTATGCCCAGCCCCAGCACTTGCATCACCCAGTGCCCTCGAGGTTGCAGCAGCAGGTGCCACAGCAGCAACAGTTTCTACAGCAGCCGCCTTTAAGGCAACCATTACAGCAGCCCATCAGCTATGCCCGGATTCTTAGCCAGCCGCCGCTACCGCGTCACCCAGTCCCAGTGCCAAACCAAGCCTTGACCCTCCCCCCTGGACCGATGCACCAGCAGTCGCCGCTCGGCCAGCTTGTCGAGAATCCTAGAAAAAACTCTGGCGCTGCAGTCCCAGGCAATCGGACTGCTCAGCTGAAGCCCGGGGCCAAGTGCATTCCAGTGCAGCAGAATGGCGCGGCCGACCATTCCCCGGCCCAGAATTCCAAGCGGAAAAAGAAGAAAGATCGCAAGCGGGCAGGGCAGACTCGCCAAGGAGCGGAGGAACAGGGGATCGAATTGGCACCCCAGCCGCAACCCCCACCACCAGCTCTGATGGACATGGGCGATTTTCCGGAGCTACCCGTATCGGGAGAATCTGGGGGTGGAGCTATCCAGGGCTCCCAGCCACGATCTTACAGTGCAATCCTCCAGCAGCAGAAAGCAACTCCCATCAGAGAGCAGGTGAGGTACCGGTAGCCTCATGTGAACTAAGGCTTATTTGGTCAAACTCTAAGCTCACAAATACACAGAGCCTTGTGTGTTAAGAGTTACCAACCAACATGTGGTTTGTAGTACTTGGAATGCCCGGTTCCCATCCAGTTTTTTTACAAGTTTGATAAGCAGTACTATTGGCTCAGTACTCCAGAAAAATGTCAAGCCTCATTTGCTTCAGTTCTTTTCTTGTGACTGAGCAGTAATAGTCTAATTGTTGCTTTGATGTTGGAATTTGTTATGCCTGTCATCATTGCATTCATAAACATTGTCTTATGTTTTAATGTGGTACATGTAACTTGTCCTTAGCTGCCTATCATCCATGTTCAATTTTTCCCCTTAAACTAGCCCACTGTGAGACATTTCCCATACTGTACTTGTGGAATTGTTTTCAGATATTTCACCCAAAGAAAATCGAGATCACAGAAAAAAATGATCCTGTAAATATTTACCCTCCCCTGAAAGGAAGTCTTACAAACCAAAAGGTTTGTGACCAGTATTTTGTGTCTTTGTTATCATATGTACAGTACATGTATGTTTTGTGTATGTGGAATTCCAACTACATTGTGTATGATCAATAGTGTACCAGTAGGTATTGTATGCACGTTTTCAATGATCCAGTTAAGGTGATACAGTGCCATTTTTTCCCCTACTGTTTGTTGAATCCTGCCTAACATGAACTTTAAAATGAGAATCTTACATCCTGAGAGACCTGTGTACATGTATGTGAAGTTGAGAAACTATCAGAACAGCAAATATCATGTACATTTCAGTGTTGTAACCGAGACCTTGATGCCTGAGACCAAGACCGAGTCCGAGGCGTACGAGACCGAGACCAAGGCGTACGAGACCGAGACCAGGACTTTGAGACTTTTGTAGGTCGAGACCGAGACTGCAAAAGAAGGTCCGAGACAGTCTCGAGACCGCGACCAGGTCTTGAGACCTACATGTACAACACTGGTACATGTCTGTACCCTGTACAATGTACATGTACATGTGCCTCTGGCTGTTGGTCCTTTGGGAGGAGGCACACCGGTATTTTGGGTTTGATTTGTTGGGAATTGATTAATTTCAACTTTGTAACTTTGAACTACAGGGACTGTACTGGTCCATGTGCAATACGTTCAACCTTGATAAGTCAAACTCTGATAACTCAAAGCCCCCTATTAGTCAAAGAAAGAATGTAATTTCTTCAGTAAATCTAGTAACAGTCATATGCATTATACTTCATGTATCTGCTTAATTCAAAAGTCCGCTTAACTGAAATTTGGAATGAATTTTGGATTTTTGCCCTGCCCGACGTGTATTTTAACACTCTATACTTAGTGTATATGTATGCATGCCCCCGAAGGCTTGTGAAAAAAAAACCCCACAAGCCTTCGGGGGAAAACACTGAGTATGTATGTTAGGTGTACACGTCCGGCAGGGCAAAAATCCAAAATTAGTTTTACAGTTCTCCGGCACAAACCATCCTTGAAATAGTGAAATTGTGAAGCGCTTTCCATTAAGTTTACTGAGGTTTTGCTGTACCGGTACACATACATGTATAGTACCTACATGTACATGTGTAGTACCTACATGTACATGTACATGTATAGTACATGTACCTACATGTACATGTATAGTACATGTACCTACATGTACATGTATAGTACCTACATGTACATTTATGCACATGTACTAGCATATAACATTTATAAAATACACACACTGGTACATGTCCAATTACTTGTATTGTGATTGGGACAGTACATGAAAATGCACAGTAGTTCATTTTGCAGTAATAACGCACATGTACATGTACAGTACGTGTACATATGTGAACACTTAAACCATTACATTCATGCATGGCACGCCGTCCAACTTTAAAAGTACATGTAGCCTGTGGTACATGAAGTTGCAGTCAGCAATGATTGGAATCAACGAATGATGTGCTTCCAAATATGCATAGTAACAGAGAGTGGATAACACATAGCGATAGACTTGTACGTGAACATCATTACACATGATATTGTTGACTGGAGGTGTGATTTTTATCTAATGATTTCAGTGGGTAAGAACTGCTCTTCAAAAAGAATCTAGTCTGAGAGGGTGTATACATGTACATGTTCATACAGTACATGTGGCAAACTCTGTTTAATTATGCCCCCTTGCTGACAGACTGCTCAGTTAAACTTAGACGTGCACATGTGCACTGTCATGCTTCAGCACTCCACAGGTACCGTGTACATGTGTCATTCCCGTAGTGCACTCAACCACAATGGTATATTTATGAACAGACGAGGAGCCTCTCCAATTAATAAACTTGCCTACGTGTAGCTGCTCGCATCGGCTCTTTCTTGGATTTTGTTCCCACGTTCCCACGTGCTTGGGCGAAGTCAAATACAGCCCCCACCAATCCTTGCAAGGAAGAGATCAGACTCAAAGTCCAACATGTCACAGGAGGATGACTGGCTTGCTTGTTGCACATGATAATTACTTGCTGTACAAAATTGCTGTGCACGCAAGTTGGAATTTTGCATACTTGCACATGTATACGGTACATTACTGGTACATGTATTGCATGTGTGCATGTGCATTCACATATATAAGCAAAGTTAATGGGGTTTTTTCTTAGCTGTTTAATAATTGGTAATCATTTCTCGAGTTTGTTAACTGTACTTCGCCTACTGTAGGAAATCATGCTACATGTTCATATATTGTACATGTATTTTATCACTACCCCGGTAGGCGTTTTAGATTACACATGTACATGTAAGTACGTGTACATGCACTTACATACATGACATATGTACGTGTACATGTAAATACATGTATTGTACATGTACATGTACATGGTGTATGGGAGAGATGCTGTTTGTTTCACATATTTGTATGTTCTCACATGTAAACATTAGCTGTAACCATCCAAGAGTCTTGAAAATTACTGAAAAAGGTGGCTTTGGGTTTTGCAGGGTTTAGAGACTTCAGAATTCACACACCATTACACAGTTCTACAGGTACATGTACATGTACCGTTGTGGTAGTTGGTAATCCTTTCATGAAGAGTGGCCTTCGTGTACATGTACAGGAAGATTTTTTTATTACATGTACAATGTACATGGACCTCACGTACATGTACGTGGTTGTTGGATGAATTACTTTCATAGAGTACATGTACAGTGGAATGTCCGTGTGTCCAGCTTCTCACTCAGTGCTACAAGTAGATTGCACTTTTGCAGGTTGCTCAGGGGACGATTGTTAATTGTAAGGGATTGGTTCACTTCGGCCTTCACTTTATGGGACAAATCAGGCCAATTTGTTCAGTATGCATCTCCTCTTGGCCTCGTAGACTAGCCCCGAGGATGCTGACCTTGCGGCAGCCGTGGAGACCAGCCCCGCTGACATCATCAAACCGGAGGACCTTTTGAACCCGGAAGCTGCGGCCAGCGGGATCCGGGATGGGAAGAATGCACGGAAAAGACGGAAGAAGGCCATCCTGGCGGCCCAGGCAGCTGCAAAGGTAAATTTGTTTCTACTCACTGTCTGTTACCTACATGTACACACTGTGCACTCATCTAAAAGTCAGGACCCTTGATGGGCTTATGTTCTTGGAGCAGAATGCTCATGGGCAAGGAGCTATTGTTGTATATTTGTCAATGCCTGTGATAGTTACAGCCAAGTACAATGTACTTACATGTACATGTATCAAGCCTCTCGAAGTCACCCATTATGGTTCTCATAGCTACACGTACATGTAGATGTTAATTATGGTATTCACTGCTGTGTTTCTGTTACAATACTCATAGCCAGGTACTGTACTCAAATATCATTCACTGCCAAACACTCAGTGATATCCAGTTTCATAATCAAAGCAAAGCGTATCTTTTCTACACGTTGGTAAATGTAGGTACATGTACATGTACGTACTGTACTTACAACGCTCATTCGTCATGGTACTCACACTTCAATGTTTTCAGTATCTAGCCATATTCAAACACTAATCCTGTTTGTTTCTCTCATGTACTGATATTCACGGCTTAACTCACTGAGCTCACTATAAGATCGAAAGCTGCATGCAATTTAAGTCTTACATGTTACTCTGTTATTTATATCAGTCTATAGAGTATTAAGACATCTGGGCATAGTGACCTTTAACTGTGCCCCAACTGATACAGCAGTTTTCATCACTTTAGTGTTAAATATCTTGGCAACGATGAATTTTAAATTGCATCAGGAGAACCATGTTTTAGAACCTCCAGTTGATGTCTGTAGTGTTTTTTTTTTTGGCACAGCCAACCAAGTTTTTGCAAACGGAATTTTTCATCAGTGTTTTGTTCCATATGCTCCAACTTTGAAGAAAAGCACGTTGTCACATGTGAACTCCCACAATCCGTTGTGGGCCGGTAGAATAGGCCATATGATTGGTCAGATTGCACAAGATTTGTGACGTAATAGGCCGTCCAAATATGTTATACTCCAGACTGTATATTCACTGTTTGTCTCTCATCTCAGGAATATTCCGAAATAACGGAAGAGCAACGGCAACTTCAAGAGAACCTCAAGAAACCGAGCAAGAAGACCAAGATGCCCATCGATTTCGACCTGGGCGACATGCTTGCTGCACTGGAGGTAAGCTAGCCACGTCACGGATGGTTGAGTACAAGGATGGGCTTGTGGTAGGCTTTCGTACTGTGCTTGTCGTAGCCACTATTAAAACTACATGTATATGGATAGCCATTCTGAGGACGGTTGTGTGATATCCACTGTCAACATGGCACGAATAGCCTCAAGCCAGTTTGTGTGGATTGCCACTGTCTGCAGCGTATATAATATTGTGGCGCACAGTACCGGAAGGTACATGTACATGTACAAGGAGGCATCCTCATTGCACCGTCATGGATAGCCACTATCCAGGTTGCATGAAAAGTTACTTCCAGATACCTGTAGGAAGCACGTATTTTATTGCTAGAGATGTCTGAAACCTACCATCATTCACATTGCCAAGACGCCTGGCACGTAAGTGAGTTAAAGAATTTCAGTAAATATACCACAGAGCAAGAAGAGTTCAAATCCATGTGCAAGTGAAGTACAGTACATGTACCAGATTGAGACTGCAGATACCGGTAGGCCAGCAAGACTACCCGTATGGTACTTTCTGGAGAGCAGACATGGTCTATCAGGAGAAACCATCAAGATGCTGTGTACAGCTGAAAAACAAATGGATAAAAGTGTACATGTAGGTGCCAGTATGTATTGTGCATACCCTAGCAGTTCTCTTGTGGTGTACATGTGTTTGGCATACCCTGCTTTTACATGGAGAGATTGAAAAATTCACATAAGAAAACAAAATGGGAATGCAGGTACCTTGCAAATGAGGTGCAAGTGTGTTTACTATATACGGCAAGTCTTGACCTTACTGTCAGTTGTCCTGCTTGTAAGACTTCCGGTTGAAGTGGATTTCACCAGACACCCTCCATACACCCCAGAAAGTCTCTGACTAGGAAGTGTTGGCAGTGTCTAGATGAACTCTCGATAAAGTCACTGCAGTAAACACAGCAAGAGACTGAACACTTACACGTAGCACTGTTTTTGTGACTAATTTTTCCTGGGGATTTCTTCCTTTGGGTTTGTGTTCAAGAAAAAACATAAGTTTGCAAACCATCTGACATTGATTATACCGTACATGTAGGTGTACATGCACAAGTACATGTACATGTACCGGTATGATATACGTAGACATGTACATGCACCTGTACCATGTGTACATGTGTACACCTGTAAATTATTCATCGTTGCACCGAATGCTGTCCCCGAACCGTGAAGTAATTTACCAGTGGGGAGTTGAATAATGGAGGCTGGATCCATCTCTAAAGTTGTTTGGACTGTACATGTATATGTACCTATACGCCCCCAGGTACTTACTGGTAAATGTGCAGTTGTAAATTATGCACAATGATTACAAACTATCCTCGCTGAAATGTTTATTCGGTATCGTATGTGGCAGTTGTTTCTCACCAGTCGGTGTGTGACGAAAACAGCTTTTGAAATACATGTGGAATTGGAACTCACCGTGCCAAGATGTACAGGCAAATGTACAGTGTACCTTCATGTAATGTTAATTTTGGTTGATGACTTTCAGACGGGGTCACTGTCGTGGAAAGAGGCGTCTGTGCCGTGGTTATTGATAGCCTTACAAATATGCTTAGTAGATAGAATTTTCTTTATCCAAGTAGCCCAGATGCACCCCTTCTCCTCCATCCCAAAATAACATATTATGAAGTACCGGTGATGAAAAAGGTCAAACCTAAAAAACAACTGATTTAAAGAGCTGTTGGGGAAAACCTCGTGTAGAAACTTCCGAGTAATTTTGTCAGCAGTCTTCACGCTGTCGTAGAGTGGGGTGGGCGTGTGTAGAGAGTGCGTTGCTTTTTTACAAAGTGTGTCGACGTACCGTACATGGACTCCACAAAAAAGACGAAGTTGAACAAAATAAAAGAAACACACAGTGGTTCTTTTGGAGGCAATAAGTTTTCTGCCTAAGATGTAGTGGCCACGCATAGTCCTTGTTCAAGAAGTGATTGGCGTCTAGATTTTGAAGAAAAAAAGAAAACGTTTTTGAGATAAATGAAAGGATGATCTTAAATTTTAAAACTGCAAAAACCCACTGCGTGTACTTTGCAACAACTAATAATGCAGGGAGGAAACCTATACATGATTCTTTGAAAGGTGCTCGTAGATTTTGGCGTGAACCCAGTAATTGAAATGAACACAGTAGTTAATTAGCCAGTAAGTACATGTGAAGATACATGTAATGTACATGTACACCTGTTCCTTCGTGAAAACAAAATCCCATTTTTCCCCCACATCAGCTCTCGTTTTTTTTTTCCATAGGGACGGAGCGCACATGTTATATGCACGGACAGCAGAGAATGCAGCGTACATGTACAGTGATGCCTTTTCCTTCGTGAAGATGAATTTCAGTTGACCTACTTTTTATGCCTTTTCAGGCAGTACGTTTTGCACGTGTTCACAGGAGAGGCATGTTTGCAGTTTTCTTTTCAATAACAGATGCAACAGGTGGTTGTCAAGATGCCTGCTCCTTGCATCGTTAATCTAGAAATTGATTGGGTTTTGCCCCCCCCCAAAAAAAAGGAAAGAAGATATAGCTCCGAGAAGGAAAATCAGAACAAAAACAGTGTTTTTTTCCCAGTTGAAAAAGGTGCTGTGTAGTGGCAGGGGCCAGACACTGCATTTTTCTCTTGGCTAAGGCGGGGGGGGGGAGAAGGGAAGAAATAGGAGCAGGAGGGGGCATATTTCCCCCTTGACTTCCTTCCTGGATAGAGTGAAGGATATTATCGGTTGACTTCAGTCTTATCCTGTCAGGAGTCCCTGTAGGTCTGTGCGTGGGTGGTGGCAAGCCAAGGCGTGTGTACGTGTTTATGCAGCTGTGGGTGGGAATGAATATGCATTAATTACGGTTGTTGCCCTCGTGTGCTGCTTGTAGGAGCTGAGTGGCTCAGTGGCTTTTTATACTCGGGTGAGCCAAACTGTGTGGAAGTTGAGCCCGTCACGAGTCATCTAGATGGACAGTCGTAGCTGTTTGTCATTGTTAACTCTATAGAGTTGTGACGTGGTTGACTGCAGTGCTGGAACCAAAAGTATAGTCTTGTTGCAAGGCAGGAATGAAATTGGGTGCATGGTACCCTACTCGCATACTACATTTACATATATCGTACCCAGGACATGTAGTAGATGTGGAAAGGGAGTTTGCAGAAAGATATTTCAGTAGATGCAGAAAGATATTTCACGCAGTGCTACAGTGGGGTTGATGTTTTCCTGGACATGCTGGACATTTTAATAGCATGGGCCAATTGAATTTCCTCTTCGGCATTGCTTCCTCAGCTTATACGTGCTCTGTTGATGAAGTGGGAGGGGCAGACTGTTTCTGCCTTGGCCTTCTGTGGGTTGGGGTGTTTGTTGGGATGGGTATGGGCATGTGTGAGCAGGTGTGGTATGAACAGGTGTGGCATACATAGTGTGGACCTCATCTCAAAAGAAGTCCAAATAATGTAGGGTCTGAAGATGTGGTATGGACTCGCAGGGAAAAAGTGCATGTGTTAATAACAGACACCACATGTAAATGATCTGATGGTCATTCTTGCACGTTGTTTAGTCACAAATATGCGTAATTACATGTACATGATTGTAATGAATTTTTTGAACATCTGATATACTAGATACACATGTACTGTATATGCAAAATGAAAGAAAGTAATTTTCTGAAAGTCAGAATTGCAAGAATTTCATAGCACAGTTTGTTAATGTCATAACAGAGAAGTCCACATAACGTAGGGTTTGAGGACATGCTATGGACTCGGAGAAAAAGAGAGAAAATCTTAGCATTAAGTTTTCTTTGTCACCACACTGAACTTGTCTAGAAGTGAGGCAAACTCAAGTTCTGCTTAAGCTTATAATTCCATTTATTTTCTTGTATGTCTCCTACAGTACTTCTGAAAAGCAGGTTTGTGTACGTTTGCAGGTTTTCCGTTCAGGTATAAACTAAATTTCTGACTGGGAGCTGCTAAGCTTTGGAATTGGCTAAGCTTAAGAAAACGTTTGCTTTAGTGACAACTGGTTACCAACCAGAGTATAATGGTACATATATGTATTTTGCTCGTCATTCGTGCCCTGCTAATTTTAGCTCAGCTGATAAATTTTCTCAGTAAGATTTTCTGCTGTGGAGCTACAGTGTCTCTATAATTGGGCTATGTCCATCACTACAGAAACAACAGCAAGAGACCAAGGCCAAGACTCAGCAGCAGGGGATGGCGGGTAAAGGCCGGCCAGCCAACATGCCACTGACGACGGCCTCCAAGGCGCAGCAGCACAGCGAGGTCAAGCAGCCCACAGCAGCAGCTGTAGCCAAGGCGGCGGGCCCCAAGACAGCAGTGGCACCATTGCAACAGGCAGTGCGGGACCACCGCGAGCCCGTCAAGGTACGTGTGCCAGGTGATTGGTGCGTGCATGACAGAAAGTTGACTGGTACAATTTATTGATTTCACCACGAAGTGACGGATGGAATCGTTTTGGGCACCACGAAGTGACGTATGGGATAGTTTTGGGCACCACGAAGTGACGTATGGGATAGTTTTGGGCACCATGAAGTGACGTATGGGATAGTTTTGGGCACCTCGAAGTGACGTATGGGATAGTTTTGGGCACCATAAAGTGATGTATGGGATAGTTTTGGGCACCGCGAAGTGACGTATGGAATAGTTTTGGGCACCACGAAGGGACGTATGGGATAGTTTTGGGCACCACGAAGGGACGTATGGGATGGTTTTGGGCACCACGAAGTGACGTATGGGATAGTTTTGGGCACCACAAAGTGACGTACCATCCGTAGACTTTGTACACACGACACAACAGTTCGTGGTGCAGAAAAGAAACTGTCCATGATACATCAGTTTGTGATGTAACAGATGTATTGTATGCGGCAGGTTGGATGATGCCCTGAATGGAAGGGATGCAGTTGTTGCCGGCCATGCTGCGCTGTTTCTGGTATTTAGTCATGGATTGTCTTGTATTGCTGCATTCATTCAGCGATATCGTGCAGGGCTTTTATAATTGATTCATTTTTATTTGTGAGAATGCAAGCGTGTTACGCCAACTTTCCTTGTAACAAGGTCACATGAAACAGGCAAATGACATCACCTAACCAGAATCTTGTTACAAAAAGACTGAGAAAACCAAGCGAAACACAAGATTCTAGAGACTTAGGACTTCAGAATTTGTTCATCTTACATTTTAACAAAATTTTGTTATCGGAGTGCTCTTTGTATTGAGTGTTGACTGTGTTTCAGTTTGTGATGTTTGCGTTTCAACGTTGAAGACAAAACATTTCTTTGGAAAAGTCTTGGAAAAGAAAGCGAATGAAATGGTTGGAATGGTATAAAGGTTTTTGTTCGTAGATTTGGATTTATGTGTTTAGAAACTTGCCCTCCAGTTGTCCAGTTAAAAAATGAATACCTACGATCCTCTTACCGATTTTTCTCCTCAGGGCCACAATCCCCTGGATGCGTCGGCGCCACTGAAGAGGGGCAAGGAGAGGGAGACGCCGGTCAAGAAGAAGCCCAGCGCCCTGAAGCGGGTCATCCTGAAGGAGAGGGAGGAGAACAAGCGACTGCGCACCTTGCAGGAGACGTGCCTGTCCGACGCGGAGGAGTAAGTCTGCGTCCCAGGAGTAGGCGGCCCTGGCCGGGAATGACATGCGTGCCCGTGGTAGCGATCCGGCCAGCGGCTTCACTTGCATTCTCCTCAGACGGGCGTGTTATTTCTAAACGTAGCCACGTGATTTGGACATGACCCAAGTTGCACAGGGTTAAGATAGGGACTCTGTATAGACACAGTGAAAACTGAACTAGTATCTGCATAACCCCTGCTACTGTTTTAACAGTCGCTTAGAGTAAAAAATCAATCAATATCCCTTTCAGTACTGTATGTAATACATTCACACATTACATGTCCAAATTGATTTTGATTGAAAGTCAGCATTAATCAGTTGTGCACATGCACACCCTTATTAAGACACTATGTGGCATGGAGGGTACCATACTTTATTTCTTTTTACCTGAATGTGCACAAATGCATTACACTGACTATTTTAAGTATCAGTGCCTCTTTCTCTGTTAGGAGACTCTTGTGTGAGGGTTATAATATCTCTTGTGCTGTGGAATGCAACTTTTGCCAAGAAGACCACTAGCCCAGGCCGCAAACAAATGGAAAACACTTTCTTTTTTGGTTGATGAGTGAATAAAAGGAGCTAAAACATCTAGGAATCTTCCTAACTCTTGCAATGACCATAGTGTGAAATATTTATTAATTATCTTCTCTGCATTTCATGTTCTGTGAGATTCAGTACTTTGGACCTCGTCCTGTTTTTTTCTTGAAAATCAGCTTGTCTGTAGCTGTCTGCATTTCTTTTCTTATAATGCAGCGGACTGACTCAAGGTGATGACAAGAGCTTAGACACTGCAGGTGGTGATGCAGGCTTGGGCCTGTCTCAAGACGGTAAGTTCTGTCCTTTTCCGAATTACAAACCATTGTTTACAGATATTTTGGCTTTGAAAAACAGTAAAGTGTATTGGTCTTAAGTGTATGTATGTCAGCCGTATTAGAGTACGCTGCTTTTGTTTCCAAGCTAACTCGCAAATACTTGCGAGGGGTGAACTGATTCCTGCTGGAATGTCTTGGAGAGATTTGCACTTCATCCATCATGCGTTTTAAATTAAAGGAGAACAGAGCAAGAATGTATTCACTCCGCATTTGTCTCTCCTCACAGCCAGCGAGAGGGGCTCCAGCATGTCCCCTTTCATGGCCTCCCAGAGCGACCTCTCACCCTTGAGCCAGATGTCGCCCATGAGCATGAGCCCGCTGTCCCCCGGCTCGCCGTTGAGCTCAGGTCTGTCTAGTCCTGCGACAGGGTTCAAGTCGGCCTCGGCAGCCCAGGCCAACCCAACTATCCACAGTCGCAGGTTCAGAGAGTAAGTCTCCCGAGATGACGCTCGATTCCAAGACTACCATTTCTTTATTTTCTGTTGGGGGAGGGTTTCATTGGGCAAATGATCAAGGTTTTCAATGCATCTTTGTGCCTGTTTAGAATGTTAACAGATTCCCACATAAATGATAACAAATGTTTGGGTGCTGACACCTTCCGACTTCAAAACAGGTAGGCGGAAAGAATGGCAAAGATCATCTCTCAGGTTATGGCCACAGCTTCGTGTTTAAATTTGAATCCAAAATCATTTCCCGTTCAATCAGAATCCTTTTTGTCTGATTCTGGGCAGCGCGGCATTGCGTATAAAGAAAACAAACCCGAAACCGGGCTCCCCGGCGCGAAGTGGTTAAACTAACCAGCCAAAATGTCAACAAGAACTACTGTAAGTTGTGGGTTTTAAACAATAGATAAATTAGACATTTACATGTTAACTGTTGACACCCTTGACAATTAACTGCAAAAAAAAAGAAGTGTGTTTTAGGCATGCTCAAAATGTGCATATATCCAAAGGTTAGTGGTTTAGATGCTGAAGATCCCTGAATTGTGTACTTTTTTAAAATATGATTGTATTTAAAGCTGTACATTAAAAGGAGTTGCACCTTTCCAAATGTTGTGAATGTTGAAATTTACTTCACAGATCCAGTCTAAATGGACCAAACCTCTGCATTCTTTCATTTGTGTACAATGTTTCATGTGGTTTCTTTTCACGTTATTGGAATGGTGACATATTCTACGGCACAGGTACTGCAACCAAGTGTTGGATAAAGACATTGACGCCTGCTGCACCACACTTCTGCAGACCTTGGTCAGGTTCCAGGATAGACAGTACCATAAAGACCCAACAAAGGTAGGCATGGGGAGGGGTTCAGACCATGCCAGTGCTGTTCTGTTCTAAACGTGAGTGGATGATGCATTGGCAGGCTCTCATTTTTTTCAATTCATTGTAATCTTTAATGCTCTGCTAGTGCTGTGCCATTGATATGTGATATATACATGTATTCTGGTGAACCTTGGATATGAAATGACGAGTGTAGGGTGCTAACGGGTTGCCGGGCATTGTGGCCTGGCAACAACGACGTCTAACTTGTCGTCTGTTGCGTACTTGCTCAGATGAAGTTCAAGGGAACTAGGTAGTTACCCACTGTAGGAGATTAAAACCCCTTGTAGTTATTTTTTTCTCGGGTTTGTGACTGTAATTGCTTGCTCGTCATGAACAGGCCAAAGCCAAGCGAAGGATCGTGATGGGACTACGAGAGGTCACCAAGCATCTTAAACTCAAGAAGATCAAGTGCATCATGGTCTCCCCAAACCTAGAGAGAATACAATCCAAAGGTGAAGACACTTAACTGTCGACAGACTTTGTATGTGGGGAAAAAAAGGAGAAATGCATATGTACAACACCTGGAAAATAATTTCAAAGTTGTTGAAAAATCCAAACTCTGTCCAAAGACTGGAGGACCACAAGGCACCTCTGGAATGTTCTCCCGCGGATTCATTGCTTTTGATCCTCAGTAATTGTTCAGTTGAAATATTTGTTTAATGGCAATGTTGGGAACTGGTTTTGAATGCAGGTGGGCTGGACGATGCACTTAATCGTATCATGACGCTGTCGGCAGAGCAGAACGTGCCCGTGGTCTTTGCCCTCGGCCGGAAGGCGCTCGGCCGTGCCGTCAACAAGCTGGTCCCGGTCAGCGTCGTGGGAATCTTCAACTATGACGGAGCCGAGGTCGGTGGAAACACGAAAAAAAAAAACAAATCATAAATTCTCCTCTCACCTTTTCTAGTATTTGTTCCTCTTCCTGATCCGATGCCTCCGTTGGGAGAGGACCAGACTTTGACTCGAACCGGTACAACAACAAAAAGTTGTTGAAGGAAGAAATTATAATAAGCAGTATATTGAATAGTGGAAAACTTCTCTAACTGCTTGCCGACCGCACAGTCGTCCTGGGCACAGTATTCTTTTCAGGCCAAAATACTGACTTTACAAAGAGACAAGATACATGTATCATGTCCTTTACAAAGTTGGATTTAACAAATACAGCTATCCTTGATTGTCATTTGTTCAAGATTTGTGTGACATGTCTTTCCGCGGCTCTCGTTTTTTTTTCAAAGCTCTGAGACCATGGCGCAGAGTGACATTTGCTACAATGCCAGGCCATGGCCCACCATGGACCTTGAACTATTACAAGCCTGGTGTGCAAAATCTATGGGAATTACTGTAGTGTGTTGACGAGCATATGCATATTGCGACACTATGTACTGGATTTGCCAGAGTGTGCTTCAACGTGCTCCACATTTTGACACAGGGAATCCCTGTGCGGTCGAACATCATCCGGCCTGAAGTTGTTGAAAAGGACACGACTGTTGTTTATGAAAGCACGATTTTCATGTTTTGATGGACTCAAATGTGTCAGTTAGGATTAGTCAGTTTGGTTATTAAACGTACCTTGTTATAGTCACCTTCTCTGAGAATTCTTTTGGTGGTAATCTGCCGTGTCCAGTGTCTAAAATCAGCCTTGCAGTAACCCACTAAACTGTTAGCCTAAAGGGGCCCAGGATACACACGTACAGGCTAATGTACAGTGCACATTGAAGGCCCCTTGTCTTCCCTTTATGAGCACATTTTTGGAAGTAAGTCATCTTGCAAATACCTTTTTTCTTGAGGAGCATGCCCTCCCAGACACTACTGTTGGCCATGTCAGGAATGCTTACTAGAAAAAACTGTATGTTATGGGTTAATGTAGGTATTTTAATAGCTTTGCTGTTTGTCTCTGAAGCATTATCACATAATATCTAGTCAGTAAGGTCAAGTAAAAAGTGTGTTTTCGGTTAGTGTTTATTTGTCCTGTCGTTTTTCCTTTGTAGGAGTTTTACAAGAATCTTCTGGATCTAACCAAGAATGCGCGGGAGAGCTACAATACCATGATCCGGAAATACCAGCAGGAACTAGAAGCAGCCGCTACAGCCGTTCCATTCTCCAAACATCGCCATCACCTGGGCCACTACCGCAACCTGTCCGGCTGCAGTGGCATTTCCTTCAGCAGCGTCATTTCCGAGCCCATCTCCGAGGATTACCCGGACCCGGAGCCCGAGACAGATAGCCGGGGGAACGAGATTGTGCGGGAGGTACGATTCGACGAGGCCGTGACCACCGCGCAGTACGCCGCCTCCGCACCCGTTGCATCACTAACCGGCCAGGAATTTGTGGAGGCCGGGGACAGCAGCAACACAGGCGGCTACGAGAGCGACAGGGGTTTCAGCCAGGAAGGGGCGTATAGTGAGGACAGCGGCACTGTGGAACCGGGGACCTCCAAGACCTCCTCAGAAACCTTGGAGGCCGCAGAGCTGGATGATGTGGACGATATGGAGGGTGACAACGAGGACATGTATAACCTGAGTGACGTGGACGAAGACGAGGAACTAGATGCGATTGATATGATAGGAGTCGACGAAGATGAAGAAGATGAGGACGATGAAGATGAAGACAGAGGACTCTCCATTAAGACGGACCTCCCGCTGGATAAGGGACGGATTGCCAACTGGGTAGCTGAGACACAGAACACCATCCAGTCCTTAACACTCTGTGACAGTGACAAGAACCAAGGCTCCACTTCACTCTCGGAGGCGACGCTGGTCTCCGAGTCTTCAGATCATTCCGCCTCGGACAAAGACCCAACGTCCCTGCCATCCCCCCCCAGTCATTGCCCACACTCGCTGAATACCTGCGAGCGCACAAATGAAGAAGGCTGCACAAAACCCAAGAGGACAGATTGCAAATCAACTGCAGCAAGCAACACTGGTGGGAAACCATCAGGTTTGGTTGACGATCAGCCAAGCGAGAACCATCTAGGTTGCCTATCACAGGAGTCTAGCTAAAATTTGATAACTAGAAGTAATAGAATTTAAGAAATCCCTTTTATATTTTAAAATTGATGCAAGTTGCTCTGATGCATGTGTGATCAGTCCAGAGACATTTTTTTCAGTGCCAAAAAGTCCTTCCTAGTTTTGTATGCAGAAATCTCAAGTGGCCAAGTGTGGCTTTTGGTCGGACATTTAAGCCTAAAAGTTGATTCCAATGCCAGATTGACCCCTGGATCCCACCACAAAAAGTAAACTGTGCCCAATCCATGTTCGTCTATTTTGCATCAGCGCTCAGTGTGTCAAACATTATCCATTTCAATCCGCTTCGATTGTACCTTTGATTCCAGGGGGGCACAGGTGGCTAGTGCGTACAGTGCTCGCCTCTCACAACTGTGGCCCTGGGTTCGATTCCTGGTCCACAGCATAGGTGATTAGAATTGTTTGTTGGCTCTCTCACCTGTGCTATGAGGATCTTTTTCTCCAGTTAAGCGCCCTCTGTACAAAATCAACCTCTGCAACCTCTGGCTGTGCTCTGTGGGCAGATGAAAGTTGTTTGGCGGCGCACTTGAAAACATACTGTTTAGAATTTGCGCTTAACAAATGAATGCATTATTCTTGTGACAGTTAATAGGAGAAACCTTCTTGGATCCTTCGAAATCTCCCAGCGTGCATAAAACAACTCTAAAGATATGTTATTCCATGGAACGTGTAACCCCACGTTAATCAGTGACGGCCAGGCTCTTTGTGCCTCCACAATTTTGCCCAATCCTTTAAAATTTCGGGATGAATTTTCAGCGACCCAGGAAGGCACGGATTGGCCCTAATCATTTCACATGACATGACTCTGTGCAATGTACGCAGCACCCGGAGCGTCAGGGTTAGCGACCACGACGACCAACTTGTCTCACGGAGCTAGGAAAAGTCGGGCCCAAACAGGTTGTCAGCCCAAATGTCACATGAGGCAATGTCAGAATCGTGGCTGCGGCTTGCAGTTACACACAACTCGATGGGAAGTGACTGGAGCCACAACCATGGACTCGTGCGTAATTTAAAGTAGAAGCCAAGAAATTCGGACACAGCCTGATTTGTAATGACGAATGAGCTTGTATTAATTTCTCGGCCGATTTAGCCCAGAACCTACGAGCAAATGCACCTCTGGCGAGGAGGCTTTTACCAGCAGTTAGACTCGCTCTAAAATTTGGTGGCTTTTGTGAAACACTAATACTCAAAAAGATCATTTCAAGATTTCACGGGCCAAGTGTTGTGCCCAGATGCTTTCTTCAAGTGCTGCAAAAAGTTGGGAAGCCAACTGTTGGAAGGACCTTTTAGCATTGAACCAAAAGATAAGGGCACGAAACGTGCAAATGAAAATGATGAAAATCTATGCAGGTAATGAACGAAAAGCTGTACATGAACATTATATGTGTCAAGTAAACAGCCTGTAGTGTGCGTAATCTGTTACTGGTTTTGTTCTGAAGGACAGTATTTGGGTTGGAAAAATGTAAATACAAATTGTGACTTGGTCAACAGAATAGTTGCAGGTAGCTCTCCTGTGATATGTCGTGCATGTAATTGCAAAAAGGAAAGTTCAAGTATCTAAAACTTTTTTCATGTAATTCTTTCTTGGAGATATTATTGACACCTTTATGAACTCTAGCAAAGATGTGAGACCTACCAAATGAAAGCTCCTTAACCACTTACTGCCGAGGGACCCGGTTTAGGGTTCATTTTCTTTATACCTAATGCCGGGCTGCCTGAATTCAGACAAAAGAGCTGGGCCTTGTAACAAAACACCGTACTGGGAGCAAAAGACTGAGCTGCTGGGAATTGCCAACATTTTTTTCAGTTGTCAATAGCGGAAGAAATCCATTGTTTTGAAAGTTTCACCACTGTTTGTGGCATTCAGCAGGAGTGGATTACCATCGGGGATAAAAGTGCTCCAGCAATGAGTGATACAATACTGCTGCACACTAATCTGGCCCCGATTGAAAAGATGTCAGCAGCGCACTGTACTGGTTTCGGGACAAAAAAATTACACAAATCTGCACAATCTTGGCTCTTTTTAAAAGGCGGCAGGCCTGGCTGAAATACTCGGGCATCAGTAGATGTGGTCTGTCAGATTAGAGCAGCCACCAGAAAGTCATTTGTGTGGGTCTGTCTTGTTAATGAAACTATGAATTTTTAAAGAACTTTGAAAACAGAAAAAAAACCCACGAAAAATCACCCGGCCCAGCAGAATCGACATGGATAAATGAGCCTGACAGGAAGTGGTTAAGGAACTTCTTTTTCTGTAAATCTTTATCACATCTCTGAGAAGTCCATGTGTGACTTCTTGCCTATTGATAATGTGACCTCTTTTTTCAGTGGCAGGAGAACAGTATAGTATTGCAGCTTTGATCTTGTGACATCTTTCTTCAGATGGTGTATTTTATAGATGTGGGGCATGTGTCCCCAAACCATTCTCAGGTCCCAGAATTAGCCTCTACCGGTGTGTGCACATTTTCGTCAGCATATTTTTCTTTCATCTGTTCAAAGTTCGATTGAAGTCTGCTCACTCAATCAAAAGATTGAAACAATGCAAGCTGTGGCCCTTTGTACTTAACGTCTTCAGCAGAGACAATGATACATCATGAGGTCACATCCATGTGTTATTTCATACACTGGAATGCATTGTACATAGTGTATTGAGCCATCCACTTGTATCTGTCGCTACCGAGGACTTGTAAACGAAAGGTTGTGTGAGTGACCAGTTGTTGAAAGACCAGGGCCAAAGTTTTTGCACTTGAATGAGACATGTCAGGAAGAAGGTGAAAAACTGACAGGCAGGCTGGACACAGGTCTGTTGGGTTGGTCAAAGAAAACCTCCAGCCGGCCAAGCACGAAGTCAGTCACGTCTACTGTTAATTCTGTCATGCAGTGTATCATTCTCTTTTCCTCTCACACTGGAAAGTAGCTTTTGCTATCAGGACGGCAAAGAGAGGCAATTGGCTGGCATGCTGAAGACCGTTGGGACAACGGATTGGAAGCTGTGAAGCGAGGCGTACATGGGAGGAAAGCACGATGTCATCAGCACGTAGGCCTCTTTGTACACACAATCTTTGCAGAGTAGTCACAGAAATCATCCGTGGGTTTAGTATCCACAGACGTTTGGGAAAGCGCATCTTTTAAGATCTGAAATTTGAAAAATAATTCAGCTACCATGGGCACCCGTTCCCTGTGCTTTCTTCGATACACGTATCTTTCCTGTTCACTGCGAGCTCTTTGAAAACTTCCATTCCATAAAATGTTTGCTTGTTAAGCAAGTATTCAAGCAATTTCAAATCCATGTTATGATTAAGAATGGAACTTATATTCTAGACCACCTCAGGCAATGAGCACTGTGTGCAGCCGTGGAAAGTCCACTTGCCTATTTTTTTTTGCATACGCTTGCTTCCCTCAGCTCACATGCTGTTTTTAGCATGTGCCATAATGGAAGCACATGTGCTATTCACTACAGGAATTTGATATTGCAACAGCAACATGGTATCTTAATATATTTACAATTTATATACATATGTATTTGTTTATTATTTCCAATAGTTCTGATTCGTTTGAATTGTTTATCCTGTTGACAATGACAAGCACAGTGCCCTGTTTCTCTTGCTTTTCTTTGGCACAATGAATTTCCTTTGCGGTTGTATTTTGTTCTTGTGTCATGCTCAATCTTTTTGAAACTTGGCGTGCATGTAAAGATACTCCTTATCATTACAAACGTGAAGCTTGAACTAAGTCAGCTACACATGTATGCTTTTGTTGTTACTGTCATTTGAACATCATGGCTACACGTACATGTGTGCCAGCCCGCGCGTCGTGAACACCGCAGTTTTGGCCGACCTGTCTCGGGAAGGATGGGCACTGCGCAAGAACTGTACATTCCTTTTTGCAAAATTGGTGTTGAAATGGCTCTGCAGAGTTACTCTGAACGCTCTTAAAGGCTCAGCTCCTGAAAAAAAATGTTGCGGAGGGGGGTGCCTTCCCCCACCCAGCTGGCCCTGTTAGGGTTGACGCTGTTTTGGTGTGACGATTTTGTTGCGTCATCACAGCTTTCATGGCTGTTCTGTTTATGTTCATCCTTCGCTCTCTCACCGAGTGGCTGTACTGGACACTTCTGAAATTGTTCAAATTACTACCAATCAAAATTTGGTCGGACAGCAAGGGCTCGAGGTGAATGAGTGTATATTGCCAGTAAAACAGTATATATTACAAGAAATAAGCATTGTTCATTTGTAAATGATGTGAGCTTATTTATAGTATTCTCTATGCCTGTATCAATAATCTTACAGAATAATTTGCATGCGACAAAACTTGAGTATCATTGTAATCAAACTGTGGTGTTGAAAATGTGAGCTTGGAGGAAACTTACATCAGGTACCCTGTCAGCTGATAAGTGTATTTTTTTGTATTTTGCTCTTTTTCTCAGATTTTAAGGTATGAATTAAAGAACACATTGCATCCATGTATTGAAGAGTTGCAGGGAACACTCTAGAACAAATCACGCTTTCAATGAAAGATGCGAGTTTTTAGTACTTCGAAGCTAGACCATTTGAAACAATTGATTAGGTAGAACCTCTTGTGAAGACTAAGAATCAGTGTGGACTGGTGAGCTAGTCTATTGGGTTTGGGCTTGTCTACAGGCTGTCCAAGCTAGCCATTGGATAGCCCTTGAATATAACCCCACCTTCTTTGTCAGTGAAAATTGCATATTCATTGTCCCTTTTGTCTGCCGCAATAAGTAAGAGTATCAAAAAGAGTGCCGCCGACATGGCCAGCATGCATGGCTTATCGTCTTTTTTTTTTGGACACGTGGACTTGTCTCACCATGGCAACTTCAAGAAAAATTGAGTTGACTTCAGAGAAAACAGAATGGTTGAAATTCTGCCAGTTGTGTTTGATGGCCCTGAACAATTCAATACGAACACTTTAATGCCGCAAGAATTTTTTTTTTTAAAAGCACTTTGCTGTTTGCATGTTAAAAGTGGAATACCTCTGTCACAAAACTCTGAGTTGGCCACTGAAATTTTTTTGAATTAGAGATTTGGTCTGTGCAATGCAATTTCAAATAGATGAGACAAGGGTAGAAAATGACCATAGTTTTTTTGTGGTACCTAGTATAGCAGTAAGCAAATGTCTTGACATTGTAGCAATGAGGTAGATTATATTTAGTCTGTGTCGCTCATGAACGTGTACAGCATGTGTATACTTTGTATTCATGATCTCGATTTCTCGATGTATTATAATCACACTGGCAGAGGATGTAATTTTATGAAAATTACATTTTTTTTATTAATCGGATGAAGACGATTGTGGCGTCAGTGGTGTGTTAGTATTGTTTTTGTCCCCCTGGAATCTCATCCCTCCCTTAATTACCGTAACCCCGAGGGCCCTTTTTGCGAGGGAGCCCTCCTCAATCCTTCAGAATCCTTCAATTTGGGGGGTGAAAAAATTGGATTCTCCCTCAATCCCCCAAAATTTCTTGACAAGGTTACTTGGAGGTGTGCCTACTGCCTCAATCCTTCAAAATCCTCTGGCAATTCCTGTCATTATATTGACAGGAATTAAGCAGTGCGGCTGATGCAAAAGAAGTATTGGGCTAAATTAATGCCTGACTAAGCAAAAACAACACAAGGTTTAACCCACGACCGTCCCGCATGGCATCGTTTGCAATAAGCCATGCACTTTTGCCATTCACCCTCAATCCTCCAAAATCCTCTAAAACCACCCGAAGGATTTTGAAGGATTGAGGAGGGTTAGGGTTAAATATCACATGATATAAAATGCGCCCCGTTCTTTGATGGGATTGCACTGGTTTGTCGAAGAAAGCCTAAATTAGGAAAGGTATGCTTCCCATTGGTGGAGTGGTTAAACGGGATCTCTCTTCAAGGCTCCGGTGTTTTGGTCAAACTTTCCAGAATCCTTGTCGAAATGGGTAAAAAGGTCATGCAGAATGTTCCGTCTTCCACTAGTGCTTGAGTAACATTAGCAGTGAGCTTGTGAAATTCATTTTTTATCCTGTGGGTATCCCTTCAAGAACTAGCTTATGGTCCAGTGCCACATGTTAACACTGTCCACGACTGTAATGGTGCCAATGTCTTGTGGGTCTTTTCTTCGATGATGCCCCCCTTCAAGATTTAAGGAATATCAAACATTGCATAACTATTTAAGACAATATCTCCAAGCAAAAAGCTGGATTGAAAAGAAAAGAGTAAGTGCAGACAGAGGTTATAATTTCTCTTGGGAACTGAATTGTGTTACCAATTTACAACGTTGCAATATTTAACATCTGCATGTATTTGTGTGGATCTTTCGTCGTCTCCTCCAGTAACTATTTGACCCAACAAAAATATTAATCGCGCATAAAATGACAACAAACAAAAATAACATTTCAATATTCCTGAAGTAAAATGATAAAATTCCCATTTCCTTGGCTGAAAAAAAAAAGCAACACAAAATCAGTGACTGGATATACACATCCAAGAATCTGTACCTTCGAATGGAAGCTAAGTTCTCTTGGACAAATTCTACAAACTGATGTAAGGGCAGTATTTTCCTCTTTAAGGATTGGAAACAAAGTTCCAGATGATCTTTTAAAGTCTGGTTGGCATTTTCATTCCTCTAATCTCTCTTGTTTTTTTTCCCTGAAAAAATCTGCCCAATTCTCAATCTAGACACTGTACCGGAAGCATTCAACAGTTCCAAGTCTTGCGTGCCATCCTACAAAGGGTCCATTCACATTTCTACTGCCATCTTTTTTTTTCTGGTAACGTGTACATACTTCATAACTCCTCACTTCACCAAATGACAAATTTTACCAAATGATGCACAATACCACGAGATCAGTTCTCCCAAATATCACCGTGGATCTCAATTCGAGGTCACAGTGCGGTTGTCACCACGTACATTCGAAGTTACATATATAGCACCATCTTCGCAATTAGGTTTGAACACTTCACTGGAAATAATCAGAGTTGATCTAGTTCTTTGCAAACTGTGAGTAGACAGGGACCTAGACTTCATGAGAAACAGGGAAAATTAAGAATTTCTCACTTTGTTGACTTGGTACTCGTGTTCTCAGTCCGGCTAACACTGCAGTCTTCAATACAGCACTGTAAAAACCACTTTTACACAAAGTTATTCAGAAATGAGAATCACAAGTATTTTTGGATGAACATATGGATTTTCCAGATGGGGCGAGCAGAAATAATTCTGAACATGTGCATCAAAAACCTTGGTCTCGGAACATTTTCATTCCTTCCCAAGTTCCAACGACCAGGAACTGAGATGCGTCCTTGACACAGTTGTCCGATCAGTTAAAATCAGTCAAATGACCCCTATGTGTCTGTGTGCTGGGGCAAAATCAAGTGGAAGGAATTTTCGACTTGTCTGCGACTGTTGTAGCAAAGGAGGGTAATCATGATTTGGTCCAGCAGTTGTTTTTTTCTTTTGGACATAATGAAAGAAAAATTACTGAATCAAATTATTTTCCGTCTGTGTCAAATAAACTTCATTTCTACATTACTCTTGACATGTCTATTTCAAATACTGGGGTCCAATCTCACAGTGCTGCTTAACGGTCAGTGTGACAGATACTTTGAGACCCGACCTGAACCAAGAGAGGGCGCAAATTTCCCAGCAACAGATGTTCCCTTGGTCGGAACTGCACTTTGCTGGTTCATAAACGACTATGCAACGCATGCGTTAGGGTTGCACGGCTACCAGCAAAATATAAACTCCTGACCAACATGGCTCTTTTCAACCAATGAGGCGGCACTGCTGCTCAAGGCGAATAGCAGACAATCAGGGTAAGCACCAATTCACAACTTGGGTAAGCTAACACTTGCATGTGTGTGGAGATTTCTGTTGCCATGCCACCAATTTAAGCAATTTTTTCCTCGGTGGTTAAGTTTGCTATTGCTCTGCTTACCACTTTGACAGTCTCTGTGAAACAGATAAAGGCCGTGTTACTAGTACAAAAATCAGCTTATGAGCAGTACCATGAAATTTGGCCTGGCAGCATTGCTCAAAATTGGAACTTATCTGTACACACATAAAGGCTAAATGAGATGTCCTTCATAATTACTCTGGAATTAAATACAGCGCTCTAAATTTTGGCAATTTGGGGCACTGTTAAACATAGTGTACTGACCATCAATGAGCGAAGTATACAGTTAACTATAATACATACTGGATAACACACGCTGAGGACATCAACATGAAAACATCGTTTTCTGGCATTATATAAAAGATCTGTGCAAGAATTGGGAAATCGTAAAAGTTTACGGCAAAATTAAGTCTTCCAAATTTTCCTCAAAAAATATTCCTAAGCCAAAACGAAACAATACAAAAAACATCGCCCATCCAAAATATAAACCCTTGAAAGATAATTTGATCAGGTAATGTGATGGAGGGTGACTTACGTCCTTCAGTTGTTGAAATGATTCTCCACGATCCTCCAAAATTTTGTAGGAGATTTTGGATGATTTAGCATGATCATGGCTGATCAAAAAAATTTTTTTCCATGGTTGGTCAACTTGCAAACAAGCCAGAACAGTAACAAGCTTGACACTGTTAGTCAGTGGTCACCATTTTCTTTCCAAAGGAGAAAAAATCTGACTGACCACGTCAGAAAGCACACGTTGGGGAAAAAACCCCAATTTTATGAAGCAGCTTTCAATATGTACTGGCAGCCCATGGTTTACTTTGAAGCAAGAAACAAAGTTACCAGCTCAAGGAATCTATCATATTGATTGCTTCTCACTGGTTCCTTGCATCATTAAAATAGCCAATGAAATCAGCAGCATTGTCCAGCTAGCTCAGGCCTTGCCTGAATAATCTGGTTGTGGCTACAAATAACACATGAGCCAAGAGACACCACCAACCAGTGGCTATCTGCAGATCCCATAGACATGTGCATGATTGCTAGCCGCAGCCACGTAATTTAGATGCTTCCTCAGTGACATCAATCTCGGTGAAATGGTACTGAAATTTTGGAATTAGACCCACAGGTTTATTTTTTCCCTTTTGATTTTGATGTCAGATGAACGGATTGATTTGCGGCAGACAGCATTATGCCGACAAAGCTTTCATGGAAGAAATTTCTGTACAGAGTTCATGAGTTGGTTTGCTCACACACTTTTTTAAATGCTCGACAATTTTCTCCTCGTTTGTTCTCAATGAATTTCAAGTCTTGCCCAAAAGTGAAGCTTCTCTTAAATAAAGCCTAAATGGGTTACAATTTTAATTGTGCGTAAGTTTATAGTTATGGCAAAAGTAATCATGTATGGCTCTATCTTTGAATCTGACAATGGCCTGTCAATTTTCCAATGCTTTTTTTTAAAAGTAGTTATGGAGTGTAAATTTGAACAAGGCATATACATTTGCCCCGAGCGCACAAATTTGAACACGCATGTATGAAAATTAGGTTTTTCTTGTACATTTAGACGTAACTTGCAAGATCTGATTACACCTGTTCAGATAGGTCAGCATAACATCCTTGTTACTGAAGTTAGAAATCTGAATTTTGAATTCCATTCCCGACAATGCTGCTGTGCTTCACATCGACATTGTGGCCAAAGTCTGAAATTATGCAATCTCAAAAAAGAAAGAAAGGGGGAACCACTTTCATTCAGAATGCCCATAATCGATGCACGGTGTGAAATCGAAGCAACCACATATCAATCTTACTTAAGTTACTGTTATAGGTCATAGGTCATCAGCCGCATGATTTTTGAAATTTTTCTTCAAGAAGACTTGATTCATTTGGCCAGTTTCTGTCGGATCATGTAGTTGAGGATTCCGCCGTGGCGGAAATATGTCAGCTCCACGTCGGTGTCAAAGCGGATGATGGCCTCGAAAGAACGACCGTCACTTGTCTGTAAAAATGACCCAAATAACAACATTAACACTGAAAAACATATGACAGAAAAATACATTCAAACTGCGGGCGGTTGGTGACAGCGGTCGAAAATAAATAGACCAACGTGATGACCAGTGATAGAAGTCATCACTTATGGTGGAAGGCATGGCTCAACCATAGTGAGCTTCCGACATCAATGAGCTTCAGACATCTCTTCGACTAATAGGGTGTTTATTCTAAAATGCACATGCGCCTCAGACGACGAATGCATGAAGTACGCAGTTGAGTGTGGTGCTAACACAGTAACTCCCATCTCCTTAGAACAGGAATGTTTCGCCTATGATTTCTTTGTTCACCTGTATAAACTCACTGTCAAACTATGAAAGTATAGGTAAACTGCACAAAACACACTCCCGAATCCTGACTAGGGAAACTGTTCTGTTGAATGGTACCTTGATGGTAGTCTTCTGTCCAGGCTGCAAGTCCTCCGGTACGTCGATGGAATACTTCTCTTTACCGGTTAGGCCCAGGGAGTCAGCACTTTCACCGGGCAGGTACTGAAGCGGAATGATGCCCATGCCCACCAGGTTGCTGCGATGGATGCGCTCGTAGCTCTCCGCTATCACGGCGCGCACACCCTGAGGTTTTGAGCAACGAAACATGCGTAATACTGTGAATTGTGCCGCTAAATGCGGAACGGATCTGCTTCACTTTGCACTGATTCTTGCAAGCTGGCAAGAACTATCAGAAAATGAAGTCTTGAGGATTACTGTTTCTTGAATTACTGATTACTTTTCTTGAAGACAGAAACAGCAGCCACGAAATTGACATTTTTGTCACAGTAGAATGACCTGACAGTTCATGGAACAGATACTGAACAAGTACAAAATAAATCCTAACTGCCTGGAAGTTTTTGCTCAAACCTTCTAGAATCACCCCAAATCCTCTACAGTTCAGGAACACAATGGCACTTCAGTTTTCCAGAACATCTAGCCACGTTAAGAAAAGCCACTAAGATTTACTGCCTCCAATACTGAAACATTCTCCTCCAGCATCTGGTGAATTTTAGAGGATTTGGAAAGGTCTGAAGATGATGAATCTTAAGACTGGACTTACCAGCATCCATGGTCCCTTCGCAGCCCAGTCGCGCGACGATCCTGACCCATAGTCCTTTCCGGACAGGATAATCAAGGTGTGGCCCTCTCGCTGGTACCGCTCGGCCGCATCGAAGATATCCATGCTGTCGCCTGAAGGGATGTGAACAGTCTTGGGGCCCGGCTTTCCCACGAACTTGTTAACCAGGCGGATGTTGGCGAAGGTGCCACGGGCCATGACTGCGTCATTGCCCCGCCGGCTGCCGTAAGAGTTGAACTCGCGAGGTGTCAGGCCGCGCGAGGCCAGGTAGCGGGCCGCCGCGCTACTGCGTGCGATGCTGCCAGCTGGCGAGATGTGGTCAGTGGTGACTGAGTCGCCTAAGTTGAGGAGGACACTCGCGTCCTTGATTCCGGTGATTGGTGGCACTTCTTTCTCCTTGGAGATGAAACAATCCGTTGGAATTAAGAAAGGGGCTTGTAAAATGGTAATGTCAGTTTTTCTCTGTGACGACTGGTTTGAATCCCTCCAAGATCACACAATGTTTTTAAAAACTGTCGGCGGGTTGATTCAAAAGCTGGCATTTCACAGCTCAAGGACTGGACTTTTCAGTCCACACTGATTGTTACAGTATGGCCAAAGGGAAAAGGATATTCAGCTCAACTTGTTTTCATGCAGATTGGGTTATGTTACGGCAATACCAACAAGATCTCAGCACTTGTTTTCATTGAAAAGCGAAACGAGATGATATTTCATACATCACAGCATGACACATGCATAAAATCTATACACAGATCAAAAGAATGAAAACAGATCAATTCAGAAAGGAAAAAAAAATCTTTTTGGTTCAATTCCATTCTAAACACCTGTCCATCGGCTTCAAATCTGCCAACCATGCCACAGCACAAGTATGCTAGTATGGAAACAAAGATATCACAGGCAAATGGAGAATTCCCTTGCAACGCAACTTACCATGGTCTCAAAGAACGGTGGTGACTGGATGTAAGTGGACTGGGGGTCCCAGGGATACAGCATGCTTTCTGGGGCATCCAGGCTGTTCCAACGCTCGTTACCCTTCTGCAAGAGCAGCAAAAAATGGTCTCAATGGAGAGATGACGAGCCCACACTAGAAATATCAAATTAGGGTAATTACCAGTGTTGTAGATGAGACTGTCACAAGACCAGTCACTGGAGCAGTCTCAAGGCCATCCCTCAAGCAATAGGTTGAATGATGAGAAATGAGTGCCATTGCTGCAGTTTTTTGAATAGCTTCCGATTTGAATTCAGAACTGGAGATCTTGTGTTGGTCTTGTGACCAATCTGTGGGGTCTCGTGATGGTCTTGTGACCAATCTGTTGGGTCTTGTGTTGGTCTTGTGACCAATCTTTGGGGTCTCGTGATGGTCTTGTGACCAATCTGTGGGGTCTTGTGATGGTCTTGTGACCAATCTGTGGGGTCTTGTGATGGTCTTGTGACCAATGTGTGGGGTCTTGTGATGGTCTTGTGACCAATCTGTGGGGTCTTGTGATGGTCTTGTGACCAATCTGTGGGGTCTTGTGATGGTCTTAAGGGGTCTGGATTACACCACTGGTAATACCAACCACGTTACCTCTCATCCCTACACAGATATCTGTAGATTTCATAATGGCACATTGAGGCTAGGATCCCATAAACATGCTGGTTTGCACAAGTGAACAGCCCTGTGCATGTCTGACCGTTTTGCGAATGAATGTGCACAAATTCATGGTGTACACATGGGAGCAGGGCATGCTTTTCATGCACGTTGGAAACAGTGCTTTAATGCCTGTCCCTGGTTTGGAATCTTTGTTAAAGCTGAGAACAAGGACTTTAATTTCTAATTTGACTTGACTGCAAACCCTGCGACACAGTCAAGCTCAGTTTGCCAAACTTCCCACAATTCCATCTGCTCGACCAGTGGCCAAGAGAAGCGAGGGCATGCAAGCGCTGCAGTATTCAAGACAAGACAGGATGACATGAAGTCAGCCAGCATCAGCCCTACTCACAGCAATCTTGGCGTAGACTTCTTTGAACATGCCCGGGATGACGTACTGCCTCTCCACTTCGTGTATCTCGCTACGGCTGGGCCAGATGTCCCGTAGGAAGACCTCCGTACCGTCTGGCGAATTGCCTAAAAGATGGTCCCAGACAAAAATCCAGTCAGAATAAGGGCTAGTTGGATGAATGTGCGACACAGTTTGTACGGGGGTTGACAAACAAACAGACCTGGAACACTTATGGCAATTTCAAATAAACAACCGTTACTGAGTTGGCCACAACAAGAATGACGCGCAACTGGTGTCAAATGAACCCAACCAATATTCCCATTTCACTATTAGCGTTTCCTTTCCGCAAAGATTGCACTTAAAGCCCATGGGTGTGTACGATCAAAGCCTCTGTACATGGAAAAATCATCAATCAAGTTCATTTGTAATAAAAGTATGCCGCAGACAATCAGAACTAAATCTGGGAGTAAGTTGCCATAGAATTAATGAATAACCTCAATGTAACAGTAGACAAAGGGGTGGTTTCGATTAAGATTTTGGCCTATAAAGTAGAGATATGAATGGTGTCTAAACTTTACAGCTCATTGCCAGCGAAACGTAAAAGAAGTCCTGCACAGAATTTAAGTACAACTCATGGCAACCTTGGCTTATGCCAAGCCTTATCATTCCTGCATTTCGAACTCAAATCCCAAAATATGCCAATAGCTATAGCACACTGAGCTTGTCAATTTCAAAGCTCTTGGTCATGCTCCCCTACTTACCCAGTGGAGTGGTCTCAAAGTCAATGCGGACAGTGCCGGCCAGGGCATAGGCTATCACCAGCAGAGGGGAGGCCAGGTAGTTGGCCCTGGTGAGGGGGTGGATCCGACCCTCAAAATTGCGATTGCCGGACAGAACGCCACAGGCCACGAGGTCACCCTGCAAAAGCGAACGTTGCAGATTGATGAGATCAGAATTCAATTCCTCCTTTACATGATTGGGAAGGAGAAAAGTGGCACAACAAAGATGACAGTTTTTACTCATCTTAATCTTAAATGGAAAAAAAAATCAGTGGATGCATGGTGGAGTACTCCTTAAGTTTCTTAGCATTCAGAATTCTTCCGAATTCTGTGAAATCAACCACTTGGCAGGTAGCAAATCTCACACTTCTCGAAATCTTGCTCCCTTTTGAGGGACATTTAGCTCTACTTTCTCCAATCCCACAAAATCCTCTGAAACCTGTGAATTGTGAAGGGTTGGGATGGCTCACCTTTTCGATGGCTTTAGACACCGGCTCTGGCAGTGGGCCGCTGTTACCAATACATGTCATGCAGCCGTAGCCCACGATATCAAACCTGGAAGAAACAAGCCATGACACATCAAAACAACCAACCGGGAACTGTCCAGCACTGTGTTTGGCACTTGACAGAAGACTCTCCTGACACAAAGAGCCTTGCAGTCTGTTTGCAATGGGAAAGACAAGTTTGCGTTGGTGCTGGGAGCCGTCAGTTTTGAAAAGGAAATTGTCCCGTTGAATATTGTGAGGGAATGAATGCAGAGACAGGTGCCCAATTTTAAGAAGCCGTTTCAGAACAAAGAACAGCAAATCCCAGCAACAGGCAAAAACCACCCGAGAGAACTAATTATGACTGTTAACGAGATAATGGGCTTGTCGGTGTTTTGCTTTGCCCAGGAAAAATTTTCTACGCTCTGGAAGTTTGTGCTTTTCCCATGCGCACTGGAATTGTTGGGACGGGCCTACTTGTGCTGTTAAGCAGAAATAGCTGTGTTAGGCGTTCAGCATATTACCACAGCCTACAGAAATTTCCAATATACACGCGTGGAAATAATTTCAGCCGTAGCATTCTATTTCAGACAAACGTATCAAACAAAATACACTCCATACTATGTGCATTGCTGACTCAGTCTATGAACTGTGATTTTAGTGGAAAATGAGTGGGCACGCTTGGCAGCAGCATGCCGATGACATCCTGCCAACATTGCTTCCGGGTGGCACGTTACTGCACACTTTCAAACATGGGGGAACTGTTCTTCCTTACCCTAGTTTCTCTAGGTAGGGTATAACCCCGCTCTCCTGGAGGTAGTACGTAACCACGCCGCTGCCCGGACTCAAGCTGGTCTTGATGTAGGGGGCTACCGTTAGGCCAGCCGCCACAGCTTTCTTGGCGAGCAGTCCTGCACAAACGAGAGGACAGGGTCAGACCATTGGAAGGTTTTTGCAAGCCCAACGGTGAGCGATCTGAGGGCTTTTCAAGAACTGTCATTTTTCTTTTTGAGTAAAGTGGTTCTGAGAAGAATCTGTTTGCTTGACAGTCCAAAAATACCAGGCTGTTTTTCGCGAGGACATCCTCGGTCAGGCTAAGAGCAAAACTTCTCCAACAACGGTAAAAACGCAATGCTGAGAAATAGACCACTGCTTGGCACCACTAGCTTATGCACAAGGATATGCTTAGATGCTCGCGGGTGGATAGCATCAGTGTTTTAGTCAAGTCCGTAGCAAGTCCCATCACAGATCAAGTCACAATTCATTTCATGAGACCAGGGACAAGAAACAGGTTGAACAGTGACAGATGGATTCGTTTGTCACGGTTCATTTGAATAGCTTGTGACTTGGTTTAAGACTGGATGACTTGTGATGGCCTTGCGATGGCCTTCACTCCAACACTGAAAAGTAACTGTGGACCAGTTATGTGTTCTTCACATTCTCTCAATGTTATGTTGCACAGTATTCTGTGATAGCAATCGGGACAGATCCTGTGGAGTGAAGCTGAAGCATTTGTAGTTCAGAGAACGTCCAACGAAAACCTCCTTTTCCGAACGACAACATTTCACTGCTAAGACAGTCTTCAACTGACCTGCTCCCAGCATGACCGACGGATTGCTGGTGTTGGTGCAGCTGGTAACTGCGGCGATGACCACCGAACCATGTGTCAGCTGGTACTCCGCCCCATCCATCTGAAATGGCACAGTGGTTCCTTGCAGCTCCTTAGCGATGCCGAAGCCCTTGAAGCCTGCCTTGGTGTCCAGGCAGCTCTGGAAGTCCGTCGTCATCTCTGTCACCAGGATCCTGTCATGGGGCCGCTTGGGCCCACTGAGGCAGGACCGCACCGTGCTCAGGTCGAGCTCAACCACCTTGGGATTAAAAAAAAAAAGTCAAAGAACTATTAAGTAGAAACATTTCCTGAGCAAGCAAGGCATCTGCTCAGCAGGGGGTAGGTTACCAGCCAAAATACCTTGCATTGGGCATTTCTTGCGACTGGTTACCGGCTCATTGAAGCTTCGTGCATAGATTTGCTTACCAGTTCCGTTAAGCCAGTTCTCGAAATTGAACCCAGCCGAGGCTTATTCCGTACAGCTAGTAACCCCGCAAAAAGGGCACCAGCTGAAAAGGTTGCGGTGTGCACATCACCTTGCTGCTTCTCAAGCGACCTTCCCTCGCCTGAGAATTTCCTCAGCAAAAACCTCTGTTCATCTGCTCCCCTCATCAAGGAAAAGTTAAATCAGATGTAGGATGTGCAAGTTTTTCTCTGTATTTTTTTTCCCCAGTGGGTTAAAATTCCGAGTTCAAGTACTTTGAAGACTAAAAAATCATACACAGTTTTTCCTAATCTTAAGATGATATCGGGCAATATTTCATGTAAGTATCTCTATCTTTCAGTGCTTGAATGCAGATTTAATACCGAGGATTGAGGCTCTGACTGAGCCCTTCAAATGAGGCTGGGTGCTACAAAATTTTCAACTGGCTCTCTGTGGTTTAAACGTGTACTCCAGAAACCAGGAAAAGATGGGACTACACAACACTGTCACTTGAAAAACTGTGTTGAGCAAACTGACCTCTGAGAATACAGGGTCTTGGTCTGGGTTGGTGTAGTCTCTGAACATGTGATTGGCTTTACAGTAGGCTTCGATGAAGGCGATCTGCGTCTCATCACGACCTGGCAAAGAGAACGGCAGATTGGGATGAGAAACACGATTCGTCTCAATGACCTGCTGTTAAGCACCGTCCGGCACATTTCAGGCGAGAGGGCGGAATGTTCAAAGGGATGAAATGCATTCCACATGAACAAGAATGTTCCAAATGGAGTGAAATGTTCCACACGATATGGAAATCTCCTCCATGGAATAGGAAAGGTGCTGACAAATACCAATGCTCAGCACGGGACAGCAACGTTTCAACTGGGACAGGAATATTCCAAAGAGATCCAGAATAGTCCATGTGAGATGGGAATGCTGTACATGAAATATGCACGTTTCAACCTGGAGTGGAGTGGGTCCAACATTTCAGACTGTACCTCACACTGATATGCAGTGTTACATAATGGAGTAAGCGGGATTTCTTAGTGTTCGGTTTAGACAGGGCACGGGTTCGCAGCTGTCACGACAAATCTAGTCAAGCAGGCCATGTTTGGGGACAACAAATAGTCAGATCAGATTTTACTGGATCACTTTTTTTCCCTAATGATCTTTACTGACGACACAAACAGAACAAAGAAAAAAGTGGGCTGAAAACAAAGTATTTTCTTGTTGACATGACAGTCATTTAGCAAGGAGGAGTGGGGGATAGGGGACATTAGGATATGGGTAAGGATGGGGTGGCGTTTTGAAGACTTGCAAAAGAGTAAACTCTTGTGACTTGTACCCGTTTGCCTGAGGTAGGTGATACTGCTGTTGTCCACAGGGAAAAATCCAATGGTAGCACCATATTCCGGGCACATGTTGGCGATGGTGGCGCGGTCCGCTATGGACAGCTGGGCCACGCCTGGACCGAAGAACTCCACAAACTTGCCCACGACACCAACTTGGCGCAAGTGCTGAAAACAAGAAATTTTTTAGGACATATAAATGAGAGATTTCAAGGCGCACTGCAGCTGGCCGTAGACGTTTTACCAATCCTACCAATTGAAGCGATTAAACATAAATAATATGACAGCAAAATATATAGGAAAATACTGCTTAAAATTTAGTTTCTTCCAAACAGAATCTTTAAAAGTGAAATACCTTGCCTAAGGAAACAACACAAACCCGACACTGGCCAATTTCATGGCACTGCGTGAGCAAGTTAAAGCCTTCTTCCAGCTTTAGAGATAAAAAGTGTTGACCCTTCACAGCGGACACTTGAAAATGCAAGTGGACACCGACATTTCTACTGCTGTTTCATTAATTTTGCAAAAATTCTGCTCTTCATGTAAGCATACCCTGAGCAAAAATTGCTGCTTACAGCCTTGGAGGCAATCTGTGTTATAAGAAAATCTTGCCCTTAGAAGTACCCACAAAACATGGCCCAGTTGCAATTTAACCTTGCTGAATGCTGACGAGGTCACGCGTGCTGTATTAACTCAAGCTAACAAGCCACGGCCGACCCACCTTGGTAATGGTCAGCACGACGTCCGTCGATGTGGCCAACGAATCCATTTCACCGGTCAGTTTGTACCCAACGACCTTGGGGAGAACCATGCTGATGCACTGATTTAGCATAACTGCTTCCGCTTCGATGCCCCCGACCCCTGCAGAAAAAAGGAGAGCCAAAATACTGTGTATCGACTGGAGCAGCGGTAAGTATGTAAATTGCAGTAGTAGACGATTCTGGCACACTGCTCCTAGCAGAATCTTTCTGAAAGGTCAAGAAAAGACATGAAACGAGTGAGAGAGACTTGCGGAGACTAAAAGTTGGACCTTTCAAACTTTTCTAACAGAAACAAATGATTAATCTTACGACAGCTTGAAAACAGTAAGTCCTTTATGACTTGAGACTCTTCTCAGAGTTTGAAGAGAAACTTACATGTACTTTGTCATTTCCTGTTACAAAAGCATTTTTTTTTACCCGATGGAGATCTAGCATTATTTTGCATAACTTCCTTACTTCAGAATCTTCCACAACTTAGCTTATGGATGGCATTTTTTTGAACAAGCCTTTGCCAGGCTCCATCATAAATATGAATAATGGCGTGCAACATGGTACAAAACTTTCCAAAGACAAGTCTGTTTCCTTAATTATGGTGCTATCTCAATGGTAACTTGCCAGGATTGTTCAAAATCCATCGTGAGATTTACAATGATTTTTTAAGATACAAGAATGTCGAGTCTTGCCAATGTATATGTAAATTTACCCTGGGCATGAGTAATTCTGAACTTTGAGCAACAAAGATCAAGCCACAGTTTTCCACACTAGTTGAAATCTGGAATTAGGAAAATTTATTTATGTACTTATTGGTGAGCTAATCATCCCTGTTCGCTGCTGAGATACAAAGGGTCCCTCTGCAATGATGTTGAGCCAAAGGTAAATTAAGGTACCTCAGGCAGCACAGCTACAAATAAAACCAGAGAATGCTGAGAAAAACACTTGCGGCGCAGGGGAGAACCAACTGATGATTCTACTCAAAAAAATGGCCCTGGTTGGGAATCTGACCCAAGACCACGGTGGCAAGAGGCTAGCACTCTTAAGCACTGGCCACTTGTGCCACCCATTGGACATTTGTCAAACACTCACCCCATCCCACAATGCCCAGGCCGTTGATCATGGTGGTGTGGGAGTCTGTCCCCACGAGGCTATCGGGGTACAGCAGGCCATTCTTGTTAAAGATGACACGGGCGAGGTATTCAAGGTTGACCTGGTGGACTATTCCTGACCCGGGGGGAACAATCAGCATGTTCTCCAGTGCTTTTGCACCCCACTGGAAATCAAACAGCATAATAGGTCTCTGGGTGATGAACGTGAGTACTGAGACAACAAATCTACCTCCATGGAGCTCACAAACATTCAACACTAGGGAGACTATCCATAAGTTTTGAACACTTGCTTCATATCCTTTGAGCTTTCCCCTAAAAGAAAACCGGTTAGTTAGAATTTAATCCCACCTTAAGAAACAGGAATCTCTCTTTGTTTCTCTGGAACTCAATTTCTTGGTTTTTCCTGAGTGCATCGGAGCTGTTCAAGAAAAGAGAATCAAAGTCAAACCAATTCAACAAACGATTTTACACTCTGACCCTTGACCACAGAACCAGACTTTGTCCCTTTCACACAAATGTTGTTCCATTTTTGAAGATGCCCAACTCAGAAACCCCCAAGGAAGCGATTAGTTAAAGGAGTTAAGAAAAAGAAGAAAAGGCCACACTGAAACACCAAGATTAAGCTGGGTGAAGGGTGAGTGTGACTATTGATATAAAAAACTCACAATCTACCACAGAGGTAGTCAAATTCATCATAAGTCCTTCCACGAGACCAGTCATGAGTAACACGACGAACAATGACCGAATGTTTGGCATGGTAGCCATGGCTGTCACCTGACTTGCACTGGCTAATTGATCCCCATCATGCCTGGTGGTTGAGTGGTGAGATGTCTGCACTACCAAGCAGGTGATAGTGGGTTTGAGTAAGTTTACATTTTCACAAGCCTTCAGAACACACCGAATCTACAGTACAAATAAATATAAAATACCACAGGGCAAAAACACCCAAGATAAAATGAACATCTCCCCAACACAAAAGATTTCATTTTATACAGGAATGGTTTTTCCAACAGTTCATTTGAATAGCTTGCAAGAGGCTTAGGTTTGGATGACCTGTGATGAATTGGCCGAGACTTTTGATGAACCCGACTGCAGCTCTATGGTCTGATCGTACAGGGTTCCTAGCCTTTCATGAGTTTTCCCTACTAAATTTACAAAATTCCAAGATAATTGCTTCCAGTTTGGCACATCTATAAAGACACCATAACCAGTCATCCGATGGACATGCTGTTTGGACATGAGGCAAAAAGTAACAGACTGACCACTCTCTCGTGGGTCAACTTCCTTCCCTGACATTTACTCGTTTTGAGGCATTTTTCTCACATTTCCCAACTTTTCCCTGACTGGAAGAAGGGAAACTCATTTTCCAAGTCTTCCCTGATTTCCAGGGTGACTAGGAACCCTGATGTGACACATCACACAATACCACACATTAATAACACCCTAGGTTTTCCTTTATCTTTCAGAATCCACCAGGCTTTGGCAGAATTTGCAAAATTAAGAAAGGTAATGCCCCAATCACTGTTACTTTACATGGGGCTAAATGTCCCCAAATGCCCACAATGTGCCACTGGTGTCCTGAACCGTTGTAAAAAGTTACCGGTAGGCTTCACGTTAACAAACTTGAGAATACCAACTTTTACCCCAAACTCAGTGAGCTCGAAAGTAAGTGGCTGGACATTAGTAGAGTGCCAATTTACATCTGTAACAAAAGAACACGTCCCCTCCCCTTTTTTTCACAAATGAAATGTTGTAAGGCAGTACCTGGCAGCTGAACAGGCACCTGGCAGAGTATTTCCGCCAAGTACCAGTGAATATTGTGGTCCTCTGTACTATCCAATAAACTGGATAATAAGTCAGCACTGGTTCCCTGGTTTCAGCTGATCATTACAGATAATACACCTATACATTTTAGATACATGTACTTGTACTTGAAAGGAGAGTCTTGAGAATTTCTATCACCAGCGTGGTTCAACATTTACAACCTCGGAATCTCAATTCAAGGAGCCTAGACAGCACAAGTTGTCCTGTGCAGAAGTGTCTACTCTTTGTACAAGCTGGAGCAGAATGACCAACAGAGGGCCACAACGCACAGAGATTGAACAATGCAAAGATAAGGTTTTCTATTTTTAACACCAATCATAAAACAAGGTCAACGACAGATAGTTTCTAGGAGACAAAAGATATTTGAAGACAACAAATACAGAAATGGGTCTTTTGAACATCAGTAGATGTCATGAACAACCTTTTTTTCTCTTCTCTTGCATAATACTGCCTGATGATGCTGCCAACTTTTTTGAAATGGGAGCGTTGAAAACCAATTTACTTCCCTCTCAAGGAAACAAAACACAGTACGTGCATGAAACACTTTGGCTGTTATTGAGCAGCGCAAACATGACAGAAAGTTACGTGCATTTGCTAAAAGTTTTGTAATTCTATTTCAACAAGGTCAGGCAGTAATTTTTTCTTTTCTAGCAACATCCTGCCAAAAATAGAAATTAGTACAGGTGCATGAACGATAAAATCCATCAATACAAACACATAGTACGCTGAACAAACACCAGCATGCCTTGATTAAATACAACTGAAACTTTGCTACCATCGAAAAGGTACAAAAGTCAGCGCTGAGTCATTGGTGCTTTCAAGAAAAACACAGATCGTGCAATGTCTGATTTCGACAACAATTCCAATGACAAATGGAGAATGTATGAGGACAATGTATTGAATTATTGATATCTACAAATACTTACTATAAGAGACAAGACAGGGCACTCCATTTTAAAAAACTCAAACAGTAACAATGTGATGATACAGTATGTTCCACCTAAATTTGAATTTGAAATACTGAAAATGGGTAACTTTCTCGACACAGTTTTAAGGAAGTGACTCAAATTGGGTAGAAAATCTCTCATTTTGCAAAAGTACAGGAAAGCATGGGAACTTTATATTCTAATGAAAAATAAACAAAAACCCAACAGTCTAAACAGGTATAGACAAAAATGTACAATCAGTGCTTTGAATACCAGGTACCTGTCTGAACAGGTATCCGGTATCTCTCTGTAAAGAATTGGCTATCCACAAAATAGACATGAATACTTAGGAGCACAAGATTTTTGCAAGAAAACACCAAGTCAAACCTACTGGTGAGAATGCAATATTGATTGTCTAATGGCAAGCTCTGCATGTACTGTACATGAGTAATCAGCACTGATGGCAATACAGTGGAACGCTGCTGTAATGAACGTAACAGGGTTCACAGACCGGTAAACTGTTCAGTATCACAGCAGTGTTCGTTATAGCGGCGTTCCACTGGGAAAAGATCACTGGTGTAAATTTAGCATGGTCACAAACAACAGAGTACCGAAGTGTGACGTCACTGTGAACCAGACAGTAAAGTGCAAACGAATAGAGTACGCACGCGTGTTTGTTCACGCGCTGTTTCTCGAGCTAATGCCTTTTACACACTAATTGTGCGCATGACGTAATCACTTCGGTACTCTATGAACTACCTCATTTGACAAATGGCAGTTACATGTACACGTGTTTGTAACTTTAATGCAGCATCAATTGGATAAAAAAAGAACGTTAAGACCACTACAATGTAAGCGCAAAGACTATGAACAACTAAAACAAGAGCATTCAGCAGAATACCAGCAAGTGTTTCCACAGGAAAATGGCAAAGCAATAAAATGACAGGATCAACATTGGGCAGACAGTGGTAAACAGCATTCAAATAATTATGGAAGGCAAGGGAACAAAATTATACCATGTTCAAGCCCTGTGTGGGTGTCTGGGCATCGTTTGGGCAACCCGTAATCCATTCTGGACACCTTGTTTCATTCCACAATAAGCAGGTGCAGAAGAGCAGAACACTTTCCCGCCCTATTTTCTACTTCCAGGCAAATTTACCGGTAGAGAACCCACTTTCGAATGCTGGCCAAAATCCTAATTCCAAGCACAATGCTTCTGCAGTTCAAGTGAAGGGGGGGGGCACACCTCATACCCTTGTTTCATTCTTCTCTACCTCCATGTACATGTACGTGTACAATCTCTATGGGTTTTAGCTGACAGAGGCAAGCATCACTTGATTGACGCAGGAGGGTTGGAAACTGTTTGCGACCATGCACCGATACCAATAGAGCACGCACTTCCTTATGACTGACTTCATTACAATACCACTGGTACATGTACATGCTTATGCTTTGCTTTGTTACTATTTACATGGAGTGGTAATGAGAAATGACTGAACACTTCAGATCCTGTGATACACAAATTGAAAGTCACAGATCTGACTTGCTCTGACTACAGGAACAAAAACATCGCAAACTATGCCGTACGAAACAAAGTGGAGGGGAAGGAAACGAGAGGGATGCAGCAAGCTTGCTTTTGGGGAGAGATTTTTTCAAAAAGGTCACAGATTCTGTTCACAAATGCAGTGAAGCAAAATTGTAAGGTGAAAAAAAAAACATGTAAATGGAACAAGTGCACACAAGCAAAGTGCAAAGCAGTGGCAAGAGACGAAAATAAAGATCAAAGGAAAGTCAGCGAGCTAATTAAAAGAGCTAATTAAAAGAACAAAAACTAACACCTGGCAAATTTTTTTCTTCCCTCCTGAAGCCATGGCATTTAGTGCTACTGACAAAAAGAAAAACCAGAAAATGTGGACCAAAAAAGAGATTCCCGACTAACCCATCTGTGGACATGTGGTGAAAGGGACAAGTCTGGTCCTGAAGGGGTAGGCGAAAGCCAGACTCAACGGGTCCGCATAGCTTGCAGGCGCTGGCCCCCTGCTGTGCCCCTCCGCCGGGATTAGGGGTGCGGGGGACTATGGGACATGGCCTGCGAGTTGATAAAGAAACAGGAAAGGTTACAGACGGGAACAGACAAAGGGAGGGGGAGGGGAGGAACTGGTGGTGGTGTGATAAGATCTGAACAATGGCAGGGCAAGAATCTTTTGTCACAACCGGAACGTAAGGATTTCAGGAGTAGAAACATACAAAAAGGGGGAAGACAAAAGGTAGGCAGTAATTGTTCCCAAAGTATCAAAGGATTTTTCATGCACAGAGCATTTACAATGTATTACCATTTGAAAGACTGTCTGCAACGAAAGTATTCAATTCGATTTGCCAATTGTTCCCCGAGCGTACATTAGCCCCACTTCAGTCAAAAGAATCCCAGACAGTAAAAAAAAAAAATTCCATTTACTTTCCCCTGCCACAATTTGCACGCAGGCTCGGCGTAAACAGTCAGATTAAAACTCTGGTTAGCCCTGTGACCAGCCGCAGTCTGTTGATGTAGGCAGCTGGTAGACACGCAGCTGGCTTATCAATCATCCACAGTCCAAGCACAGCTACAATGTACATCAAGGTACCTAAGCAGTCAAAGCCAGCCATTTCTGTGTTGCCAATACCCCTAACGTACAGTGCATGTACAAGTGTGCAGTACACGTGTACCGTAGGCGGGGGGGGACTCTAAACCATAACCCACAATTACTTCACCGAGATGGATTTGGAGGACAACTGTGCCCAGAATGGGTGTTGGTACGCAGGGTTAATTGAATTAGTCTGCAGTGCACCTGTTTCACTATTTCATTTTGTATGATAGCATTATAAAAACATACAAGTATGTTCCTGTTCATCTTACGATGCCAACCTTAGTTTTTTTCTGAATATGCTGATGGTTGTTGCTAGGAATTTAAAGCCTCAAGTGTTCAAGCTCATTCACTGTTCCATCTTGTATATTTCAAGCACATGCCCATACATTACTGTACATCTTTCAATGGTATGTTTTGCAAAACTTATGTACATGTGTCACATGCAAAGTTGCTCAGATTTCATTATTCTATCAAATGCTGCCATTGACATTTTTACACACTGTGATCTTCATCGATCTGCAAAGTGTGGCTTTCATGGAGAAAAAAACATCAACGCGCTTCATTGCAACCTTAGAAAGGAATAATGCTTATTTTGGAAGATAATGATGTGTGGCGCAGGATTCACAAAGCCCGAGGGTAACTTTCAGTGCAAATGGAAGTGCCTGGGGGAAAAACGGGAAAAAGAAAATCCCTACAGTATGGAAAACCTTCAAACTGCGCAGTAAATGAAGTGAGCATCAAACAAGTCAGTTATTTTACATTATTGACAAAAGAGCTATTAATATTAATTATTAATGAGAGGCTGATATTCTGAAAAAACTTCAATAGAGGTTAGGAACTTCTTTTGCATCTCTGTAGTTGAAATCTTAACCCTTAACCC